CCAGCCACCACATCTGGCTAATTTCTGTATTTTTAGTAGGGACGGGGTTTCACCATGTTGGCCAGGCTGGTCTTGAACTTCTGACCTTGTGATCTGACCGCCTAGGCCTCCCAAAGTATTGGGATTACAGGTGTGAGCCACTGTGCCTAGCTACCTTGTTCTTTTTTATGGCTGTGGAGTACTCTATGGTATATGCGTACTATTTATTTATTTATTTATTTATTTATTTATTTAAGAGAGACAGGGATCTTACTATGTTGTCCAGGCTCAAATCCTGGGCTCAGGGAATCCTCCTGCTTTGGCATCCCAAAGTGCTGGTATTACAGACATCAGCCACCATGCCAGGCTTTGTTCTTTTTTATGGCTGTATGGTACTCTATGGTATATGTGTACTAGTTGTTTGTTTGTTTTTTTTTCTCCCTAATAGAGATGGGGATCTCACTATGTTGTCTAGGCTCGTCTTGAATGCCTGGGCTCTAGCAGTTCTCCTGCCTCGGCCTCCCAAAGTGCTGGGATTACAGGCAAGAACCACCATGCTTGGCCCCCTCTTTTTTTTTTTTTTTTTTTTTGAGACAGGCTCTCACTCTGTTGGCCAGACTGGCGTGCAGTGTTGCAATCACGGCTCACTACAGCATTGAGCTCTGGGGCTCAGGCGATTCTCCTACCTCAGCTTCCTGACTAGGTGGAACTACAAGTGCATGCCACCATGCCTGGTTAATTTTTGTATTTTTTGTAGAGATGGTGTTTTGCCATGTTGCCCAGGCTGGTCTTGAATTCGTGGCCTCAAGCAGTCTGCTTACCTTGGTCTCCCACAGTGCTGGTATTATAGGCGTGAGCCACCATGCCCAGCCTGTCCCACATTTTCTTCTTCTTCTTTTTTTTGAAACAGAGCCTCACTCTGTTGCCCAGGCTGGAGTGCAATGGTACAATCTCAGCTCATTGCAACCTTTGCCTCCCAGGTTCAAGCGATTCTCCTGCCTCAGCCTCCCCAATAGCTGAGATTATAGGCGTGTGTCACCATGCCCAGCTAATTTTTGTATTTTTAGTAGAGACAGGGTTTCACCATGTTGGTCAGGCTGGTCTCGAACTGCTGACCTCATGATCTGCCCGCCCTGCTCTCCCACTACAGGCATGAGTCACTGCACACGGCCTTTTTTTTTGCTTCCGAGACGGAGTCTTGCTCTGTCACCCAGGCTAGAGTGCAGTAGCACTGTCTCTGCTCACTGCAACTTCTGTCTCCTGGGTTCAAGCAATTCTCCTGCTTCAGCCTCCTAAGTAGCTGGGACTACAGGCACCTGCCATCACATCCAGCTAATTTCTGTATTTTCAGCAGAGATGGGGTTTCACCATATTGGCCAGGCTGGTCTTGAACTTCTGACCTCAAAATCTGCCTGCCTGGGCCTCCCAAAGTGCTGGGATTACAGGTGTGAGCCACCGTGCCTGGCTACCCCGCCCCCTTTTAAAAATTGAAACAGGATCTTGCTCTGGCACCCTGGCTGGAGTGCAATGGCATGATCACAGCTCATTGCAGCTGCAACCTCCTGGCCTCAAGCAATCCTCTTGGCTGGGCCTCCCAAAGTGCTGGGATTTCAGGCGTGAGCCACCACATTTTCTTTATCCAGTCTGTTTGGTAACATTTTTGCTCTTCTCCCTGAGAATGCTAAAGTTAGAGCAGCAAAGCTTATTATGGTTCTCAATAGTTTGTTTAAATCCCATTCTACATGTTGAATTCAGCCGTTGTTGGATAACAAAAGGAGGAATGAGTATTCAAGCAGAGGAAAGTGCCTGTGTGAATGGATGCGCATTGTGTTTGAGTCGAGGTGGGCTGGGGCTATACAGAAAGCCTCCCCAGGGTAACTACTGTCCTGACTTCTAACATTTCAGATTAGTTTTGTATTATGTCTTGAATTTTGTATTCTTTTATTTCTGCTTCTTTCCTTCAACGTTGTATTTGTGCTATTGGTCCATGATGTTGTGTGTGGCAATAATTTGTTTATTCACATTGTACAGTATTCCAGTACATGAATATTTATCCATTCTACTCTTGATGGACAGTTGTGTTGTTTAGCACTTGGTGTATTGTGTTTTTCATTTTGGCCATTCAGAAGTGTGGTGGTGTTGCATTTTGGTTTTAATGTGCAGCTCTCTGACTTGGGTACACATGTTGCTTGGCAGTTTGATGTTTTGTGTCAAAGTATCTGTGAATGGTTTATTTCCATAAGAACAGGAGTTTTTTGTTTGAAGCCTACTCCCCTCTGCCCAAAGTGAAATCTTAAACTCCAATATACAAAACAGATTAAAAGGAGTATTTGTTGAGAAGCAGTATAGCATGGTAATTAAGAACACAGATTCTGGAACCAGACTCTGACAGGAATCCTTGCTTTGCCATTTACTGTCTGTGTGACTTTGGGCGAGTTGCTTAGCTTCTGTTTGCTTCAGTTTCCTCATCTATACCATGGATGTGATAATAGTACTTTAATCATAAAGTTAATGTTAGGCTCAAATAAGGTAGTTTATATGCAATTCTTAGGACTGTATGGTACATAATAAGCAGTTTATAATGTTGGTTGCTATTAGTGGTGGTGATGGTGATATATATAAATTTACTTAAAAATTTATATCATTAGCTGACAAGAATAATAAGGCTCCACTATTACACAAATTTCAACTTGAGGGTTAAGAATGATAGTTGGATTTTATTTTAGCGTCAGCATTCAGTTTTTGTTTTTGTTGCACGTTATCAAGAAAAGAATGATTCACAAAGGTGAACAATTTAAAATAGATATGGTTTGTCCAATAGTCTCAGAATTCCTTTAAGCTTTTAGATCAATTTAAATGACAAGAAGTAGTAGAAAATGTTTATTTTGAAATTATTATTAAATATCTATAATTTGCTTGGATTTCCTTTTTTTTTTTTGAGACGGAGTTTCGCTCTTGTTACCCAGGCTGGAGTGCAATGGTGCGATCTCAGCTCACCGCAACCTCTGCCTCCTGGGTTCAGGCAATTCTCCTGCCTCAGCCTCCTGAGTAGCTGGGATTACAGGCACGCGCCACCATGCCCAGCTAATGTTTTGTATTTTTAGTAGAGACAGGGTTTCACCATGTTGACCAGGATGGTCTCGATCTCTTGACCTCGTGATCCACCCACCTCGGCCTCCCAAAGTGCTGGGATTACAGGCTTGAGCCACCACGCCCGGCCTGGATTTCCTGTTTTTAAATAAAAATCATAGATTTAAATTTTATTTAAAAAGGATTAATTTATGGTTTAGCATCTATTAGTTTATCACAACACATCTGCATAATAAATTTGCTTATTATCGCTTTCAGCCACAGGATAAGATGAGCAGCAGATGTACTCAGCACTTGGATGGCATGATAAAGTGTGCTCCGTGGGTACTGTAGTGTGTTTACTCTCGTGCAAATGTAATGAGCCAATGACACATAAGCTTGAATTAGAAACAAATCAAAACAAAGAGAGCAGTTTTCCTCATCACATGTTTTCAAGATATTTAAACAAATAATGGGACACAAACCCAAATTTAATTTTCTGGGCAGCACAAAGTATGTTTTGTTTGGTGTCTGGTGTGTTAATACTAGGAGGCATATAAAACATTCATATATCTACTGTCAGAGTATTAGTTCATACTAGTTCCTTCTACAGCTGTCCTCCACAGTCAGCAGTTGTAGATTACACACAGCCTTGCCTGTTTGCAGCCAGCTGACCCTGAAACCCAGGGAACATTTTCAGCTATGCTAAGGCTTTCCAACTGACATAAATGAGTATCTTGACATGCTCCGCTAGCACCAGCTTTATTTCTCCCCAGACTGTCTCCCACTGCTCCTTAGCCAAGTATGGGCTCCTCCAGGCTGGCTAGTCTCTGCTCTGCCTCACCACCACCCTCTGCCTCACCACTGGCATGGTTTTGTGTTCCCTTCTCTGTGGTAACAGTATCAGGAGTGCTGTCATTACCATCTGTCTTGAGTACCGTAATTTCTTCCTTTGTGGTTCTGTGTGGACTCCACCTCCTTCCTGAATCATTCATCTTTGCTATCAGTTATTGTTTGCTGTGGAATCCTGTCCTGACATTCTGTATCTCAGGATCTATTAATAAAACTTTTTATTATTATTATTTTTTGAGACAGAGTTTCGCTCTTAATACCCAGGCTGGAGTACGATGGCGCTATCTCAGCTCACCGCAACCTCCGCCTCCCGGATTCAGGCAATTCTCCTGCCTCAGCCTCCTGAGTAGCTGGGATTACAGGCACGTGCCACCATGCCCAGCTAATTTTTTGTATTTTTAGTAGAGGCAGGGTTTCACCATGTTGACCAGGATGGTCTCGATCTCTTGACCTCGTGATCCACCTGCCTCGGCCTCCCAAAGTGCTGGGATTACAGCCTTGAGCCACCGCGCCCAGCCTAATAAAACTTTTAAAAAAATATTCTGAAGTTATGCTCTATGAGCACTACCCCAAGTCAGTGCCACTCACAAAACCCATCAGCAGAGGGAGCTAAATAAAAGAAGATGAAAAAAATAATAATAATAAAATAAAAGAAGATGAGTTCCTGAAATTTAGGAAACCTGAAGCAGAAAAAGTACTTATAAACAATAAACTTTCACAAACTGCCATTACTAAAGAAAAGGCTTGAGTAGTGTTAGAAACAAATGATTTGGGCCCTAATCCCAGCTTAAAACTTCAATGAGGCGATTTGTGTTTTTGAAAGAGTTAATTCTGTATCACGTTAAAAAAAAATTGTTTAGGGGATGACCTGATATATATAGGAATATTAGAGAACCAATTTTGATATAGTCTCCTTCTCTGAAAGTTTTCATTATTAAGGGTGATAAAATGAGGTCACTGCTTTATGAAGACTTTTATATGGAACACTGAATCTGAAAGTTGCTAAAGATTGTGGATAGCCCATTCTAAGTTTTAAACATGTACTTTTTCAAGTAAATTTCTTACTTTGCTTTGATCAAATGTATTTATCTTAATTTCAGTTAGCAGACTTGAAGAAAGGGAAGCAGAACTGAAGAAGGAATATAATGCACTACATCAAAGACACACTGAGGTGGGTTTCTAGGTTTTTCATTACCATGGCATTATTGCGACAAAGAAGTAAACCTTAGAAAGTATGTCTTAATTTTTCTTTGAAAATCAGAATTTTTAAAGAAAGAATTATTCTTGGGGATTTTTTCAAGAAAACATTAAATTCCATGGAATTTACCTAGTTACCAAATATCAACTTTTCTTGTTTTTCATCTAGAATTAGCTTTTTATGTGGTGAATTAGTATGCCACAGAATAATTTAATTATTTAAGACAGTTCTAGTACTTGTCTCCTTGACCGGCTAAGCAAAACCCTATGTGCACATAATGAAGTTTCTGGGATGCTAAGATGAGAGAACTGATTTGTTTTGTTTACAGTTTAGAAATTATGGATTGGTAAGTTACAGGTAAAAGGTCTCCACATTTATTATCCAGTGTAAAGGACTTATCTGCATGAAGCTCATAACAAATAATATAAACACAAATTATAATGTGTTAAATCAAAATAACTCAAAAGTAGGTTTTTTGCATGAGTTTTTAGTATTTTAAGTTAACAGTTTCAGCACACAATCTTCTCAAAGCAAATTAGAAAATGTACTTGAGGGTTTTTTAACCTTTTTATGATTCTCTGTCAGCCTCTCATTTGCTTTTGTTTCTATTATGTTAATGTGAACATTGTTTTTTGTATATCATGGTCAATCTGGGGTTCACATACCCATATAAATAGACTTTTCATAGTTTTATGCAATATTTGTTACATGAAAAAAAAAAATCCTCTCTTTTCCCCTTGCTAGTCCTGTCTTTCCTGTGATACATATGGGTTCCAGTCTTAGCTCCTGTTTATTTTTTCCTTCCGATTTGTGTGATCTCTTAACCTGTGCCTGGTAGAAACTATGTTGTTGTTGTTTTTCTTTAGAAGAGTATAAAAATCTTTATAATCTATGATCAGAAAACAACAATTTAAAATCATGTTTTGGAGGATATCCATAGAGACTGTATTCTGTGTACAGTAAGCATTTTAATACTGCAAAGATTGTATTTACATTATTGTATTGTAGCTATATTCTGTTGTTGCGTGTGTGTGTGTGTGTGTGTGTGTGTGTGTGTGTGTGTTGGGGGGTATCTGTGTGTGTGTGAGTGACAGTCTCTTGCTCTGTTGCCCAACCTGGAGTGCAGTGGTGTGATCTCGGTTCATTGCAACCTCCACCTCCCAGGTTCAAGTGATTTTCGCCCCTCAGCTTCCCGAGTAGCTGATATTACAGGTGTGTGCAACCATACCCGGCTAACTTGTATTTTTAGTATAGTAGAGACGGGGTTTCTCCACGTTGGCCAGGCTGGTCTTGAGCTCCTGACCTCAGGTGATCCACTCGCTCGCCTTGGCCTTCCAAAGTGCTGGCATTACAGTTGTGAGCCAGCATGCCCAGACGTTGCTATTTATTTATTTTCTAAAATTCTGTAATACCTGCTACTGCTTTTAAGGAATAGAAAATCCCACCACACTCAGTTGCATTTGCCTTTGAATAATGTGGTTAGCACTTTCTTGGGGTAGGGTGTAGAATTTTCCCTGTTAGCCGAGACATGTGAGATTTGATTATTACAATTTTAGCTTAATAACCATACCCAGAGCGTGAAGTATCACAGAATTGATATCTAGTAGTAGACACAAAGGATGGTCCATGAAGGGCTGGAACCATAGAGCTCAGGGAAGACAAAAGCAGGTTACACAGCAGCTTTTTCAGTGTATAAAAAAATACCCACATTTTGGCTGGGAGCAGTGGCTCATGCCTGTAATCCCAGCACTTTGGGAGGCCAAGGTGAGTGGATCACTTGAGCCCAGGAGTTGGAGACCAGTGTCGGCAACATTGTGAAATTCTGACTGTACCAAAAAAAAAAAAATATATATATATATACACAAAAATTGGCCAGGCATGGTGGCCTGCACCTGTAGTCCCAGCTACTCGGGAGGCTGAGGTGGGAGGATCACTTGAGCCCAGGAGGTAGGGGCTACAGTGAACCAATATTGTGCCACTGCACTCCAGCCTGGGTGACAGAACCTGTCTCACAAAAAAAAAAACCAAAAAAAAACACACCAAAATAACCTTAGATTTTAATGACATTTGTTAGATATTAAGGTTTAATTTTGGTGGATATTAAGATTTAATGACATTTAGTGGATATTAAGGTTGTTAAAAAGCTTATTATTGATTCTGTTTATACTGTTCATGTCAATGCCTAAAAAATGCACTCTATGTACTGTTTACCCAAGTAGTACTTATTAAAGCTGATAAATATACATACATATATGTCATATATATTATATACATATATATGTATTTTTAATTAGACAGGGTCCCCCTCTGTTCCCCAGGCTGGAATGCAGTGGCGCAGTCATGGCTCACTATGTTGCCCAGGCTGGTCTGGAACTGCTGGGCTTAAGTGATCTCCTGCCTTGGTCTGCCAGAGTGTTGAGATTATAGGCATTAAGCTACTGTACCCAGCTATAAATATATTTGGAGGAAGTAATTGATAGTGATAAATAAGAAATAATGCTTTTGTTTCTTAAATGAAACTCTAATCTTTGTTAATAATTGAAGATTATTAAATTATGATGTATTAAAGTATAAAATATAAAAGGTATACATTATTATTATTTTTTTTGAGATGGTAGAGTCTTGTTCTGTTGCCCAGGCTGGAGTGATCTTGGCTCACTGCAGCCTCTGCCTCTCAGGTTCAAGCAATTCTCCCACCTCAGCCTCCCAAGTAGTTGGGATTACAGGGGCGCACCACCGTGCCTGACTAATTTTTGCATTTTTTGTAGAGATGGGATTTCACCATGTTGATCAGGCTGGTCTTGAACTCCTGACTTCAGGTGATCCACCCCCCTTGGCCTCCCAAGTTGCTGGGATTACAGGTGTGAGCCATCATGCCTGGCCTAAAATATATACATTCTTAAAAAATAACTATAAAGTGAAATTTCATATTTTTAAATTATTTAGTAAAGATGAAGATCTGTGCTTATAAAAAAGCCTGACATGCCAATTTTAAATGAAAAGATACAATTTTTTTTGGCTATTTTTATTCCTTGAGGGAAGGATAGTCTAGGAAGTAAAAAAGAACTCAGGAAAAATCATAATTACCAAGTCAGAGAGCTAGGTCTGTCCAGTAACCAAGACAGATTTCCCATGCAGCTTGAAAGCTCTTCATACATCTCCTCCCTCAGTTATCTGTACTTCTCCTCTGACCTGATAGGCTCCCTATATTTTGTTTTGCCTCAAGGAAGGAAGGTTTATGTAACATAGATAGGGCTGCTTTGAAATGTGGGTCTGTTCTGCTCTATCTAGCCCACAATTTTTTCTGTTTATACATCTGTTCAAGAGATGTCATTCAATTAGCAATTATAAATAGCTATTTAAAGCCAAAGAACTAGGCGTCCTTAAAACATAAACTCCGAAAACATTCAGGGAAAGGAAGCCTGAAGCGGGTTAACCTTAACCTTTTCACTATTGCTTCCAAAGAAGGTAGTATCTTTTAATAGTTAACACTTTTATGAAACACATTCGTTGTTGCTTAAAGGAAGCCTACAGTGGCTTTTTAAAAATTTGATTTAAGAATAACTATTCTTTTTTTAAAAAATCTATGTTTTGTATCAAAAGAGGATAACTAGTCTTTAAGAATAAATAGTCAACTATTCTTAAATTTTTGTAAACATTACTGAATTTGCTTAAAAGAAGACATGCCTTAAAGAGGGCAGTGGAAGAAATATAGAGGACAAACAGTTTTTAAGCACTCGGGCCCACATGTGTATGCTAATCACCAAAAACTTTATCCCTTTGGGATCTTGGGATGGTCTCACATCAGGGAGTGTTTGAATGCATTCTTATTTTATCCTCTGACCAAAATTCTCATCCATTCCCATTTTACAGATTGAGGTTTAGAAAGAGTCTATGAAATGATTTGCCCAAATTCCATGCTAGTTAGTAACTATATTTGAAGCCAGGTTTGTCAGATTCTATTGCCTAAACTTTTTTTTTTTTTTTTTTTTTTTTGAGATGGAGTCTCTCTCTTGTCCAAGCTGGAGTGCAGTGGCATGATCTCGGCCTACTGCAACCTCTACCTACTGGGTTAATGTGATTCTCCCACCTCAGCCTCCTGAATAGTTGGGAATATAGGCTCATGACACCATGCTTGGCTACTTTTTGTATTTTTAGTAGACACTGGGTTTCACCACGTTGCCCAGGCTGGTCTTAAACTCCTGGCTTCAAGTGATCCACCCATCCTGGCCTCCCGAAGTGCTGAGATTACATGCATGAGCCACAGCACCCAGCCTGCCTGAACTCTTAATAACATTAACACCTTTAGGTTCCACTAGACATTTTTCTTTCTCTTTCCTTCCTCCCTTCCATCTTTCTTTTTTTTTTTTTTTTAATTTTAAAATTCTCTCCTTTCCTTTCCTTTTTCCTTTTTCCTTTCCTCCCCTGCCCTCCCCTCCCCCTTCCCCTCTTCCCTCCTCATCCCCCCTCCCCCTCCCCTTCCCCATCTTTCCCACCCCTCCCCCTTCCCCTTCCCCATCCTCCCTTCCCCCTCCTTCTTCCCCCTCCCCTTCCCCTCCCCCTCTCTCCTCCTCCCTCTTCCCTCTTCCCCTCTCCCTCTCCCCTCCCCTTCCCCTCCCTCTCCCCTCCCCCTTTCCCCTTCCCCCCTCCCCGTTCCCTCTTCCCTCTGCTCTTCCCCCTTCCCCTCTTCCCCTCCCCATCTCTCCCACCCCTCTTCCCCTTCTCCCCTCTCTCCTCCTTCCCCCTCCCCCTCCCCTCCATCCCCCCTCCTCCCCCTCCCCCTTCCCCATCCACCCTCCCCTCCCTTCCACCATCCACCCTCTCCTCCTCATCCCCATCCCCTCTGCCCTCCCCTCCCCCTTCCCCTTCTCCCCCCCACTTCCTCTCTCTCCCATCCCTCTCCTCCATCCCCCTCCCCTCCCCCTCTCCCCCACTGTCCATTCCCTTCTTCCCCATTCTTCCTTCCCCCTCCCCCATCCCGTCCGTCCATCCGTCCATCCTTCCTTCCTTCCTTCCTCTTTCTCTCTTGCTCTCTTTTTCATATTTCTCTCTTTCTCTTGTTCTTTCTTTCTTTGGAGGTGGAGTCTTACCATCTTGCTCAGACTGGTCTCAAACTCCTGGGATCAAGAGATCCTCCTGCCTCCACCTCCCAAAGTGTTGGTATTACAGGCATCAGCCACCATGCCAAGCCTGACATTTTTCTTCCTTTTTTTTTTTTTGCTTTGAGATGGAGTCTTACTCTGTCACCCAGGCTGGAGTGCAGTGGCACAATCTCAGCTCACTGCAACCTCTGCCTTCTGTGTTCGAGCAATTCTCCTGTCTCAGCCTCCTCAGTAGCTGGGATTATAGGCCCTTGCCACCATGCCCGACTAATTTTGTTCATAGTTTTAGTAGTGTTGGGGGGGTTCACCACTTTTGCCAGGTTGGTCTCAAACTCCTGACCTCAAGCAATCCACCTAGTTCAGCCTCCCAAAGTGCTGGGATTACAGGCATGAACCACTGCATTTCATTAAAAGAAAATTTAGAGTTTAACCCTTTTTTAGATTTTGATTTTTTTTAAAAAATTAAGCATTTAAGATAATAGAGAATCAGTCTATAGAATGGCTATTTGGGGGACAACTATGTTTTCATTTTGATTGTCATTCTTTTTCTATATTGAGTTCATAGATTACTATAACAGCAATCTGGGATAGGTCTGTTTTCTTCATCTGAATGTTTAAAGAAAATTAGGTCCTTCATTTGAACAAATCAATCCCATACATACAATTACTTTACTATTCTGTGTATTTAAGAATTCACGGCTGGACTCTGTGGCTCACACCTGTAATCCCAACACTTTGGGAGACTGAGGCGGGTGGATTACTTGAGGTCAGGAATTTGAGACCAGCCTGGCCAACATGACAAATCCCCATCTCTACTAAAAATGCAAAAATCAGCCAGACATGGTGTAGTACCTTGCTGCTTGAGAGAGCACGTGTAGTACCTTGCTGCTTGAGAGGCTGAGGCAGGAGAATCACTTCAGTGTGTGAGGCGGAGGCTGCAATGAGCTGAGATTGTACCACTGCACTCCAGCCTGGGCGACAGAGTGAGACATTGTCTCAAAAGAAGAAACAAACAAACAAACAAACAAAAAGAATTCACCTTAGGCTTGTTTTTTTTTTTTGAAACAGGTCCTCATTCTGTCACCCAGTCACTCAGGCTGGAGTGCAGTGGTATGATCATGGCTCACTGCAGCTTTGACCTCCCTGGCTCAAATGATCCTTCTGCCTCAACCTCCCATGTAGCTGGTACTACAGGCACGTCCCAAAATACCCAGCTAATTTTAAAAAATTTTTTTATAGACATAGGGTCGCTCAGGTTGGTCTCGAACTCCTGGGCTCAAGCAGTCCTCCCACCTCAGCTTCCCAAAGTGCTGGGATTCCAAGCATTAGCTATTGTACCTGGCCTCTTTTATTTTTAAAGTTTTTTTTTTTTTTTTTAGGGGTCTCATTCTGTTGTCCAGGCTGGAGTGCAGTAGCATGATCATTAGCTCACTGCAGCCTTGAACTCCTGGGTCCAAGTAGTTCTGTCACTTCTGCCTCCCAAGCAATAGGGACTACAGACGAGTGCCTGCTAGTTGTTATATACTTTTTCTAGAGTCAGTGTTTTGCTGTGTTGTTGAGACTGAACTCAAATTCCTGGCCTCAAACAATCCTCCTACCTCCCAGAGTGCTGGGATTACAGGCATGAGCCACTGCAAAGCCTTAATTTAGGTCTTCTAAAACCTTTTGAAAATTTAAATTGAGCTTGATTAGGCCTGACAGTCACTTTGTTATATTAGTTTCAGTTTGATTTTTTTTTTTCCTGAAAATTCTTTCTGACACAAGAAAGCTCATTATTTCTGACTTACTGACAGATGAAAGGTGTATTTCTGCAAAACTGTTTTGTAAATGGTGGTAAAATCTATACATTTAAAATAAAAAGTATGTTAATTAAAAATTTTAAGATACGATACTATAGCCATGTGATTCTGTTTTTATTCTTTGTGGATAGCATTTGTTCTTTGGACTAGTATTTATTGGGGAAATAGTATGGTTAATTTGTTTTATTTCATTCATCAGAGTTCAGCTTTTTGTTTATTTCATGATAAATGACATCTTTAAATTAAGTTACATTTCTTAATTTTTGTACATGCCAAATAAAATTTCTACAACAAAAGTATTCTTTGTAAAGTGAATTTAAAATTTAAAAAAATCCATTTTGTTATTTAATATGCTACAGTGCATTTTTTTTTTTTTACTATTCTCATGGTAGTTTATGAGATCTGATACAGTGCATAATTTAAGTTAAAAAGAGATTGCAATCCGTCTTAATACAGCCGAAGTTTAGTGACTTCCAAAACTATTCTATCTACAGTGTTAAGAATTCAAGTAATATTCCTTATGCGTGGTGAGAAAGGACATTAAAAAAGAAAAAAAGAATTCAAATAATATTCCCAAGAAAGACATCAGCCTTTGCTTGCCTTTTAATATTTACCCCTTAAATACTAACACTATTTCTTGTTTTTTAAAATTCATTTTTTTCTTATTCATATCATGTTAGTATGTCTAGCAAAGGCCTCTTGATTTTATGTTTTAATTCCAAATTTAGGCTTTTTAAAAGTGAAACTATACATTACCAAGAATCAAATAGGACCTTAGAAGTTCTTGGCAGTTTATGTACTTTATATTCTTGAAGTTTTCCCTTTCATATTCAGCTTGTCTATCATATGATTCCTTATCTAAGACTCAAAAAGTGTTCTAATTTTTTTCATTTGTGTTAATTTGCTGCTGTTATTATAGATGATTATGCTAAGTAATGATACCAGTAATAGTCAAAGGAGAAAGTATTTTATCATTCTTTCAACCAAATTTACAGAAAGAGGAAACTTTTCTTGGTATTAAATTAATTACATTGAAAGTTATATTTATTCTGTTAGTTCCTTTTCAAATGGAGAAGATCAGCACATAAGGATATGGTTTCTTTAGAAGTCTCACATTAATTTCTTTGTTGTGTCTCATTTTAGTGAATGGGTTTCTCAAATGCCATCTATTATTTTTAACTGATGTTTTTATCACTTCTTTTCCAGTGTCTGTTTACTAATTTGTGTTCTTTACGTCAATATTATTTTATTTAATAGCGTCACATATTGTAAAAAAAAATGCTTTTGTTTGTTTTTGTTATTGTTATGCTAACCAAGATATTAGCTACTTTTGTGGACACCAGTATCCTTAAATGGAAGCACTTGTCTATTACTTTCCATTAAAATTTTTTTCATTCCTTAATATTCTCTTACATGGAATTGAGTAGTCTGATAAATAAGAAAATTATACAAAAATGTTTTCCTTGTTATAACACTATGATTTTATTCCAGATATTAGCCTTAAATGTTGTGTATTTTTTTCTGTCTTGAAAATAGATGATCCATAATTATATGGAACACTTAGAAAGAACAAAACTTCATCAGCTCTCAGGGAGTGATCAACTAGAATCCACAGCTCATAGTAGAATTAGGTAAGCTTTGTTATGTATTTTGCCTTGAGAAAAAGTAAAATAAATAATATGTTTGTTTCTGTTTTTTTCTGTACTTTAATCCTGGAACAATAGTGAGGCTTATTCAAAAAGCTCTCCATTGTGGCTGGAATGCTACAGGAGAGAATAGCACAGAAAAATAGAAACTGTTTTTACCATTAAATTATAAGCCATCCATATAAGCAGCACATTGAGCATTTAGGTTGTTTTCTGATACTTGATGTAGATTATACTAGGTTTTAAATTTTCTAATTTGTGGGAATGCTGAAATTTTTTATTTCTCCTGTGTAATTGGTTCGAAGTCCTTTTTGTTACAGAGAGGCATATTTGAAAGGGTTAGCTAGCCATCTGTTTGATGTAGGAGTGTGAATAAATTATGTAGATCTTCAGGCATTGTAGCCAATGAGCTAAGCCAGGACTCTTAGTGGAGGGGAAAATAGTTAATAGGCTGGCTGTCGCTCGGGGTTGCTGCATAAATGCTAGGAGCAGCAGCTCTATGGTTATGAGGTGGGGAGAGCGGAATGACGTCATCGCTTGGGAGCTGCTGCAGGATGGAGTGGAAAGCTGCTGCTGATGGCATTGTTTTTGTGGCAGCAAGCTGAATGACAGATCCTCACTACAAAGATACCCCTTTGGCCCCCGTGTAGGCCTCCTGGTTCGGGCGTTTCACCATGCCAGCACAGCGCCATGAGTCCTGGATGCATGCTGCTGTTTGTGTTTGGCTTTGTTGGCGGGGCGGTGGTCATTAATTCTGCTATCTTAGTATCTCTCTCTGTTTTGCTGCTTGTGCACTTTTCTATTTCTACCGGTGTGCCAGCTCTGACGCAGAACCTACCAAGGATACTCAGGTACTCCCATCTCTCTTAGAAGCCCCTGCTTAGCTGGTTTTTCTTTAATTTTTAGTTCCACGGGTCTGCTTTGTAACCATTTCTGTTGAAGATTGAAACAATGGAAAATGGCCTGAAGCTAGGATTTTGATTCTTATTTATAGTAATTTATAGACCATCAGTTAGGATTATAGCTTTGTGTTTAGAAATCACTGACTAAAGAAAAGGATTTTCGTATCGTAGTTACACACAAGTACAAGGTCAATGTGGTCTTGTTTTAAGCAGAATCTTCAAAGTAAAAGGAGAGAGCAAGAGTAGAGTGCCGGGTCCAAGTTTATACAACCTCTGCATTTAGCTTCTGAGCATTTAGGGGCAAATATCTTTTATGCTTGTACTTATAGTCAATTAGACACAGGCCATAAGTTTATTTTGTTTTAATTATCCTTTGACTGATAGAGGTTCAGCTATCATTTTTGTAATTTTTGATAATAGCTCATGGGAAATGACAATTTAAATATTTTCCTCCTAAGACAAAATGTTTTAAAGTGAAAAAATTTAAGACTTTTAGGTTAAGGAATGCATTTTTCCCCATTATTTACACATCAAAGTTGTGAAAGCTTTACAAAGTCTATTCACTATTGTTTTGTCAGATGTTGCCCTTTCTTTTCTTTGTAGTCTTGGGTGACAAATATCCATGCCTGCTTGTGGGGGTAGTCATTAATCTCTGTAGCTTTACTGTTGCTGACTCTACTTATACCCTGTAAGAGCCATCTTCTATGTTTTAGAGGCTTAAGGTTGTGGTTTCTTTTGTTTTCTAAACCATCAGACTAACATTCTCTGTTTTGTTTAGATTTCTGCTTTTTGCATGATTTTAAATGAAAGTTCATAGTATATAGTTTTTATCTATTATTTAAATGTTCATAAAATATTTAAACCCTAATTGTGGATTTAGATAAATTAAGAAGAATTAAAGTAGTAAATTTCCTCAGTGTGTTTCTTTTTATTCATAAGTCAGTTCAAGTTCAATATTAGTTGAAACCCCAGCAATTAAATTTCATCTGTGAGTTAAAACTAGATACTTGATCTTTCATTTTCTTTCTTGATTTCTAAAAATTGGGAACAATCTTACTACTTGTACGTATGTTAGTACATACAAGATTTGTATACATGTATCTGTATATTTAGGGTTTGAAGAAATTAAAAGCAGCTGAACTTAAGAATATGTAGAATATTTAAAAGACTAATGTTAAGGGGCTGTCTTGGGTTTAGGTTTCATTTGAGAGGGCAGTGCCATGAGCTGCTGTGCGGTGCCTGCAAGTGGGTACAACAAGGCTTTAGAGTTGAACTGCCTGGGTGCAAATGCTCTATTGCATGTGGCTGTAGGACCTTTGGCAAGTTGCTTAATCTCTCTCTGCCTGAGTTTTCTCTCCTGATGGGACTTAACCCTATTGGGTTGTTTTAAAAATAAGTGATTTTATTATTTTGTGTTTAATTATAGGTGTAAGATATATGGTAAATTAATCCGGTAAATAATTTTCATAGTTACTTATATGTGCCTAAGTTTAGCAGAAATTGTTTTAGCTACAGCTTTTATTGATAAAATACCTTGTAATTAAATTTTTAAAGTTCTTTACCACAAAAATTGCTACTGATCTGATTAAAGATGTCAAAGTCTTAGATATTAATGTTAAATTGCCAAAAAGTTGGTAGTTCCAAGTAGGAGTTTCCAAGGGAAGCAAAGGGCCTGAAGTTGAACAGGACTGGCTTGAATCCAAACTCAGCCAATTACTAGTGCCTAAAGTCTCTAAGCATCACTTTTTCTACTCTGAAAGTTGGAAAAATAATCCCTGTTTCTCAATAAGGATTAGATGAGATAATGTAAATAAATCATGTAGCTCAGTACCCATCATGTGGTGAGTGTTCAACAAATGTACTCTTTTATCTCCCTTTATAGATTTTACAAATTAGTTGTATTAAATGTGAATATAGCCAAAAGGCTGTTTCAAAAATGTAGGTGTAAAATTATTTACACACATAAGCTAACATTTAATAACCAACTCAAAAATGGATATATAGAAGTAGGGCAATTAAGAAAATAAAACAAGATTTCTGATAGTTGGTGACAGCTTTGTTTTCTAGACAAGTAGTAACAGATGTTTCAGTCTGCAGGTGTAAATCTGCCACTTGATAGTTTTCCACGTGTTTCTCTTTTTTCCCCCCCTTCTGTGACTTTAACTGAAGCATTTAATACATACCAACATAGTACTGGACTAATGTTAACCTTTCTGGGTTTCTTTTCAAAAGTAGGATTCTCACAAACTTGCCTAATTATGCCAACTATATGTAATTTATAAGTAAAATAAGGGGAGGAGTACGTAGTGATTATTTTTTCAGAGTTGGAACATTGTGTCCCACTAGACAGATAGCTGTCAGTCTCTGAAGAGATGTCCCCTCCCTGTAGAGTAGTTTCTGAATGATAGACACGAGCAAATTAAAAAGGTGGGAATTCTACTTGAAATTTGGGTTGTAGATTTTGTTGACTGTTGATTATAGATTTTGTTGACTGATTTTGTTTAATTTTAGGAAAGTAAAACTTGGATTCATAGAAGACTCCTTCCCCCAGTAGTTTTAAACTTTTTTAGTATTTGATATGTGTGAGAATGAATGTGGTGTTATTCATATAGGATAATAATTCTAATGACTGGCTTATATTTTGATTTCTGTTAGTATGAGGGAGTCTTATGAAGTCTATATATCATCTTCCTGGTTGTCTTTGCATTTTGGGTTAGAGAACTTTTCATTATATCCGGTCATTAAATTCCCAGTCACCTTTTGCTTAAGTCATTAAGGTGTGTCAGAAAATAAATAAAAGTCAGCTAGAAGCTCTTAGACCTCTTGGATTTTTCGTTCACAAAATATGGGGGGAAAACACTAGGTTGACAACTTACTTTGTCCAGAATGGATATGAAAAGGAAATCTATCTACTAATCACTGTCACTATCATTTAATGAAAGGGCATTTTAAAATTAGAGAAGAAGAAAAGATGTAATTTAAAATAAGGGTCAGTCATTTTCTTTTTCTTTTTTTGAGCTGGAGTCTCGCTCTGTCACCCAGGCTGGAGTGCAGTGATGCAATCTCGACTCACTGCAACCTCTGCCTCCCAGGTGCAAACAATTCTTCAGCCTCAGCCTCCCCAGTACTTGCGACTACGGGCTTGCACCACTGTGCCTGGCTGATTTTTATATTTTTTTAGTAGAGACAGGGTTTCACCATGTTGGCCAGGATGGTCTTGATCTTCTGACCTCTTGATCTGCCCGCCTTGGCCTCCCAAAGTGCTGGGATTACAGGTGTGAGCTACTGTGCCTTGAAATGGCCAGGGTCATTTTCAAGAAAGAATAGGGTTCTATAGTATATGGGAATATATATGTGATAAAATATGTAGTATATTATCTATGCACTAAGGAAATAATAAATAATGCCTCTTTTTTTCATGGACTTATGAAAACCTTGTTGCTGAACAGCATTTGGGAATAACTGGTATAAACATAATAACTGACTAGTCACTTTAATTTTTGTCATTTGATCGTCCTGGCAGCCGATAGTCAGAAACTTAGATTTGGTATTAAAATTTACCCTTTTGGCCAGGTGCAGTGGCTAATGCCTGTAATCCCAGAAGGCCGAAGCAGGCAGATCACATGAGGTCAGGAGTTCAAGACCAGCCTGGCCAACATGGTGAAACCTTGTTTCTATTAAAAATACAAAAATTAGCTGGGTGTGGTGGTACATACTTGTAATCCCACTACTTGGGAGGCTGAGGCAGAATTACTTGAACCTGGGAGGCAGAGGTTGCAGTGAGCTGAGATTGTTTCACTGCATTCCAGTCTGGGCGACACAGCAAGACTCTGTCTCAAAAAAAAAAACCAAACCAAAAAAAGCTACCTTCTTATTACACTGCCTTCCTGCTTTTGAATTTTCCCCCTAAATAAAAGTTCTGTTTTTAAATTTTATTTCCTTGTGCATGCAAATTTAATTAAATGTAATCTGTCAACCCCTTTGCTTCACCTCATTTTTAAAAAGGCATGGGGCAGTTTTATCAGTCCTTTTAGATTGTTAGGAATGGAAGAACACACCTTTTGTATTAAGTGAAGGCCCATTTCAAAAGCGGCTCAAGTTTCTTGGTATAAAAATGAACCACAGAATAAAAGACTTAGCAAAACTGAAATTTTCCCACTTTTATTAATAACCTCATTGTTTCTATTCTAACTTACATTATTACCAGTAGAGGTTTGAATTCCAGGAGGCACCAAACCTTTAGTGTCTGATTTCTTTCCAGTTTCTGCACTCTTGAGTTAATGACCCAGGATGACTGGCTAGTGGGCTTGTTTCTACCCTCTAAAAGTGCCTTCATTTGGAATCTTCTGTGTATCAACAAAGGATGTGTTTCTTATTGAAATTCTATTATTATTAAAATTGTAACTCTTGTTCATTGAAACTTCCCACAAAGCAGTAGAAATTCAGTAATCTTTTGTAGAATTATTTGGCCTTCTTATTTGAAAAAACAATGGTTTTTTCATACGTACCATGCTTGAAAGGAACTCATATAGTGGTTCTGTAGAAAAATAGAGCTTTCCTACTGGAGTGGGGTGGGGAAGAAAGATATTTCTGAGTTCTTTTCATCATTAAGGTAGCCCTTATTTAGATAATATGTTGATTTTCCTCTAGGCAGGAAAGGCATACCCTGAAGAGGCTTCAGTAAACATCCAGGGATTAGCGAGAGGATTTGGGAAGTCTAGAAATGAGTTGCACTCACTTCCAAAGAAGGAGGTTGCAGGTTCCCCTAGGGCTAAGCTACATATAAAAAACTCAGCAGCAGCTCTTTTCCAGACCAGACTAGACCACTGACTGCTTCTTAGGCAAGGAACTCATCATTAACTTAAAAGATTTCCTTAACCCTTCTTACCACTTTTCTTAGTTGATTCTTGAGGCTAACTAAACTGAGACTGTCCTTTCTCTTTGGTAAGTCTGTTTTATTCAGATGGGCAGACAGCGTTATTTTTGAGTGATGGTTTTAAAACAGTGACAGTCCAGGCTTATTACTTATAGTCATGGCAAATTAAAAAGTGAAAGTAAATGAAGACCTAATTTTTTTTCTCCCCTCTTCAAATAGAAAAGAACGTCCTATATCATTAGGAATTTTCCCATTACCTGCTGGAGATGGATTGCTTACACCTGACACTCAGAAAGGAGGAGAGACCCCTGGATCTGAGCAATGGAAATTTCAGGAATTAAGTCAACCACGTTCTCATACCAGCCTGAAGGTAAGCTTTATGCTATTGAAATCGTTAGTTTACATTTCATCAACTTTCTTATCCTAATTGAAGTGCTAGATGACTACAGTATAGTAAAATATAATCGTTTGTATACATTTAGTTTTTTATTTTATTTTATTTTTGAGACGGAGTTTCGCTCTTGTTGCCCAGGCTGGAGTGCAATGGCGCGATCTCGGCTCACTGCAACCTCTACCTCCTGGGTTCAGGCAATTCTCCTGCCTCAGCCTCCTGAGTAGCTGGGATTACAGGCACACGCCACCATGCCCAGCTAATTTTTAGCATTTATAGTAGAGACGGGGTTTTACCATGTTGACCAGGATGGTCTCGATCTCTTGACCTCGTGATCCACCTGCCTCGGCCTCCCAAAATGCTGGGATTACAGGCTTGAGCCACCGCGCCTGGCCGTATACATTTAGTTTTTTAAATTTATTTTTTTAATTGGAAATGAGCTCTTCCCAAAGAGTGTGATTTTTACTATTTTATTTCAAATTATGTAGGAAAACAAGTGAAGCATTATATCATCTTGATTAGCATACTAATGACAAATTAATTTCTATTTGGTTTAGGCTAGGGTGACTAGTGAACCTAATTATATTAGAATTGAAAATCACTATTACCAGAAAGCGTTGGTTCACTGTTGGAGGCTTTCCAGTACAGCAGGGTTTCACTTACAGAAAAATGAAACAAATACACTGTTCCTTCCTTAAAACCACATCATAAAGCAATCTACAAAAATGAATTATGTTTAGCTAAAAAGGCCTGGTATAAATTAATTATAGATTATGTTCTTGACCGAGAACTTCCATCAAATATGTGATAAATATAAACAATAATGTACACTGAGTGGATATGAACTAATGGCTAACTTTTAAGAATATTTGAAGTTATATTCTGGAGCTTTTAAAATGAAATATAAAGATATTGATTATAAAAGATCCTTTGTTACCTTATCTACTATGGTATATCTACTCTTATCATGAGACACCACCTACAATAAATAGAAATGAATTACATGTATCTTATTTCCTTTTCGTGCTTTATTTTTCCTCATAATGCTTATCATGGTCTAAGTACGTAAAGATAGCTCTTAACAATGCTTCTAAAATACTGTCATTTGCTGTATTTATTTGCCTCTAGAGTCTAGACTCTTCACTAAGAACATAAATTTCATGAGATTTATTTGCTGCTATATCCCCAGCACTAGGAAAGTGTGTAGCACATTGTAGGTACTCAGAACATGTTTGTTGAATGAATGATTTGTTTTAGATGTTAGAATCTTTGGGGACAATATAAGTGGTAGAGGCATTTAGAATTATTCTATTGACTTTTGAAATGTGCTCAAAACAGTAAGCAGTTGATAAATACTTGATAGCTTTTCTCCCACTGAAAAGTATTTTTAACAGTAAGAGTTACCTTACATTTTCCCCTTCTTGATCAATTTGTTAGAAGCTAATACTGCTTAGTATTATCCCACGGTGATGTTACTGGGTCAGTGTCTCTCTCTCTCTCTCTCTCTCTCTCTCTCTCTCTCTCTCTCTCTCTCTCTCTCTCAGTGGAGTCTTGCTCCGTCACTCAGGCTGGAGTGCACAGCATGATCTTGGCTTACTGCAACTTCCGGTTCAAACAATTCTCCTGCCTCAGCCTCCTGAGTACCTGGGATTACAGGCGCCACCACCATGCCTGGCTAATTTTTGTATTTTTAATAGAGATGAGGTTTCACCATGTTGGCCAGGCTGGTCTTGAAAGCCTGACCTAAGGTGATCCACTCGCCTCGGCCTCCCAAAGTGCTGGGATTACAGGTGTGAGCCATCATGCCCAGCTGTAATTCTCTCTTTCTTTTACTCCTATACCACAGTGGCTCCTTTAGCCTGCTGGTAGGTTTAATAGATTTTCGAAAACACTCATGTCTCAGTCGCCTACTTGCCATGTCTGCTTTCCCAAAACAAAATTAAGTAGGAGGGATACTTTTAGTACCATGGCAACTGTATTTTAATTACTACTCAAAAGTGCACCTTAAGAGATTATTACAATTCTCTTTTTTTTTTTCTGAGATGGAGTTTCGCTCTTGTTACCCAGGCTGGAATGCAATGGCGTGATCTCGGCTCACCACAACCTCAGCCTCCTGAGTTCAGACAATTCTCCTGACTCAGCCTCCTGAGTAGCTGGGATTACAGGCACCCGCCACTATGCCCAGATAATTTTTTGTATTTTGTTTAGTAGAGACGGGGTTTCACCATGTTGACCAGGATGGTCTCGATCTTTTGACCTTGTGATCCACCCACCTCGGCCTCCAAAGTGCTGGGATTACAGGCTTGAGCCACCGCGCCTGGCCCAATTCTCTTCATTTTTTAATGCACTGATATGCTGTGCCATAACTTTATTGACAAGTTATAAATCAATTAACAAATTATTTCTATAGACTTAAGTAGTTTCTTGTGTCCTCCCTAGAAATACTAAGGGAAGTACTCCAGAGAGTTTTTAGAACTAAAACCCTGTCTCTCTCTACTTGGTTTGTATCTGTAGCCACTAAATGAGATAAAGACTCAATGGATAAGGATTTCCAGGAATGGGGTAGTGCTTACAAAATGACAAAAGTCTAGTTTGTAAAGTATGTTACTAGTTATGATGTACAGTATTTTATTACTCACCTAAACCCTTGTCATTCACTAGATAACTTTCTACTTTACCAGGGCTGGAAGTCAGGGATTTAGGATTCACTTGTGGGCTATGCCATAGGCATGTCACATGCCCTATCATCTTGATTTCCATGTATTATGGGAATTGGACTATATTCTAATTTAAAATATCATTTCCTCTGAGATTGGGGATGACCTAGCCATCTTATTTTTTTTGAGATGGAGTCTCGCTCTGTCGCCAAGGCTGGAGTGCAATGGTGCGATCTCGGCTCACTGCAACCTCCGTCTCCTGGGTTCAAGCGATTCTCCTGTCTCAGCCTCCATAGTAGCTGGGATTATAGGTGCCCACCACCATGCCCAGCTAATTTTTGTATTTTTAGTAGAGAGAGGGTTTTACCATATTGGTCAGGTTGGTCTTGAACTCCTGACCTCGTTATCTGCCCACCTAGGCCTCCCAAAGTGCTTGGATTAGAGGCGTGAGCCACCGAGCCCAGCCGACCTAGCCATCTTTTAGGGCATGCTTTGATTTCATTATGAAAAAATGGAGGTGTAAATTATAATTAACATTAGTTTTAGTACCACAATTTTTCTGTGAAGTAAGGTTAAGGTGAAAATATCCTGGGAGAAAACCACAGGACAGAGAATGACAGAAAATTTTGTGGCAGAAGAACAGCAGATAAGGGGATTTGCCAGTGATGGTGAAGTTATAGCTCTTCTTTGTTGGTATATTACCAGTTTCTCATTGTGGGAGACCTGTGGTGAGTGAGGTTGTAAATAATCCAATGGATTTTCTAGGAATGAGGCACCTAGAAAAATGTACAAGATCTTAAAAAGAAATGTTTGTACATATTCTTGATTTATCACAATCTTATAGAGATCGACAAGTATGTAAACAAATACATGAAATAATAGAACTTCAAGTATTGTTAAAGCAAGGTAAGCTAAAGAATAATTACAAGGAAGGGGTACTTATTTTAGGGTGTGAGAGAAAGCCTCTGGAAGATGGCTTGCATCCTGACATGGGGACATGCAGGTGCATGGAAAGGTCTGGAGGAGTACATGTTGAAGATGAGATGGCAAATGCTAAGGCCCTGACATGGGGAAACACTTCAGCATGTTTAAATGGCAATTTTCTCTTCATTCCACTCAGACTTTCAGTCCTACCTACTGCACCAACATGCCTTCTGTCAAGGGTGCTGAAATAATCCATCTTTCCAAATCTAATGGAAAATTCTCAATCCTCATCTTACCTTTTAGCAGCAAGTATATATTTTTCTTTGAAGAGCATCCTTGGTTGTTTATTATTATTATTATTTTTTTGAGACGGAGTTTTGCTCTTGTTACCCAGGCTGGAGTGCAATGGTGCCATCTTGGCTCACCGCAACCTCCACCTCCTGGGTTCAGGCAATTCTCCTGCCTCAGCCTCCCGAGTAGCTGGGATTACAGACACGCGCCACCATGCCCAGCTAATTTTTTGTATTTTTAGTAGAGATGAGGTTTCACTGTGTTGACCAGGATGGTCTCGATCTCTTGACCTTGTGATCCACCCGCCTCGACCTCCCAAAGTGCTGGGATTACAGGCTTGAGCCGCCGTGCCCTGCGGTTGTTGATTATTAGTAGAATGTGACATTTAGATATGACAAAAGCAATTTTAATGAAACCAATTGGATAGACACCTACTTGTGAAAATTTTAGAGTTCTCGTAAAGTCACATGACTTGCGATACTTTAAACTGCTGTGAGAAGCTCTTGTTAGCAGAGTTTGGTATGTAAAGCCAGTCGATGTGTGCTGCATTCTTCAGGGGATGTGCTTAGCATGCAGAACAGGAAACGTCTAAACAGAGCCAGCATTTTTGTTGAGAGAATTTTCCATCCTCCTCCATTTGTGGTTAAGTTCTGAAATTGTTCCTATTTCTTTAGTTTCCACAAGCTTTAATCTTTATAGTAGTTGAATTGTATCTATTGTTATTTAAAATTTCTATTATAAAATATATGTGTAATTTAAAAAGTTAGTTCCGTTTTAAAAAACTTTTTTGAAGTAATCTTAGACTTACAGAAAAGTTGCAAAACTAGTACAGAGTTCCATATACCCTTCATCCAGCATCCCCTGATGTTAACTAACCATAACAGTCATCAAAGCTATGAAATTAACATTGGTACAATACTGTTAGGTAAATCTGTATTTGAGTTTTACCAGTTTTTCCACAAATATCCTTTTTCCCTTCCAGAATCCAGCCCAGGATCCCACATTGCTTTTTTTTTTTTTTTTTTTCCTAAAATTTTATTGGCCAGACGTGGCCAATAAAATTTTATTACAGGCTCACACCTGTAATCCCAGCACTTTGGGAAGCCATGATGGGTTGATCATGAGGTCAGGAGTTCGAGACCAGTCTGGCCAACATGGCGAAACCGTGTCTGTACTAAAAATACAAAAATTAGCTGGGCATGGTGGTGGGTGCCTGTAATCCCAGCTACTCAGCAAGCTGAGGTGGGAGAATTGCTTGAACCTGGGAGGCAGAGGTTGTGGTGAGCTGAGTTTGCACCATTGTACTCCAGTCTGGGTAACAAGAGCAAAACTCTGTCACAAAAAAAAAAAAAGTTATTGCAGACAGGATCTCACTGTGTTGCCCAGGTTGTTCTCAAACTCCTGGCCTCAAGTGATCTCCTGTCTCCGCCTGTCAAAGTGCAGGGATTATAGGCATGAGCCACCACATCTGGCTTTAACATTGCTTCACACTTCCCAGTGTGTGACAATTCCTCAGTCTTGTCTTGTCTTTCCTGACCTTAAGATTTTTGAAGAGTACTGGTTATTTTGTAGAATGCCTCTCTGTTTGGGCTTCTCTGATTTCTCATTATTAGATTGAGGTTATGTATTTTCAGCAAGAATACAACAGAATCTAATATCTTGGTGTGGATGTACTTTGAGACTATGGAGATACCCTGTTTCTCCTCAAACTTTCATTCACTGATTTTAGCATTCATCAGTGAATTTTTCCTACAACAATTATTAGTAAAATATTGCTAATGGTTATTTTCTGTTTTCTTCATTCTAAATTTATTAATTGGAATTCTTCTGTCAGGGAGAGTTGTCTCTCCTCTCCTTTCCACCATTCCAGTTTGAATTCAAGGGATATATATTTTATTCTGTGGCCTATACAAACCTATCACTTGTTTTGTTTCTCAAATTGTTCTAGTTTTGGACATTGAAAGCTCTTTTAGATTGGCTCCTGTGTTCTTTTGACTTATCCCATCTTTTTTTGAATGCTTTCTTCCTTATTGACTGTAAAATGCTCCAAGCTGTTGTATTTCACCGCCCTACTCTTAAAAATTTGACTACTTTTCAAAGGAGCTCTGGCACATTTTTTGGGAGAAGGGTATTTAGGAACTGTGATCTAGACACTGTTTGTTTGTTTGTTTATTTCTGGTTTGGGTTTTTCCATTAGTTTATACCTCCTTTTTGGAATTTTGTATATGTACTAGGGTAAAATAAGAGTTTTTTTTTTTTAAACATCATTGTTACATTTCATTGTTTTTGCTTTCATTTATGACAGTGGATAAGAAATTTGTTCTGTAAGCTCAGTTTTTGCTTATAAGCTTTTTCCCTCACATAGATCTTTATTTGGTAACTTTAGGAACCACCCATAGATGACTGTTAAGGTTTGGAAGGAATAAAGGGTAAAGATTTTATTGTGTTGTAAGTTGACCAAGATGCATATGTATGTTGAGAATAGAAACCGGTAAAAATGTAAATAAGCAGCACTTTCAAAATAAGTGATGGTGTTTAAAGCTTGTAGTTTAAATGTGACTTCATTTGAGGTACTTGGTACATAGGTATTTTTTAATACCTATGTTTACTGTTTAAACAAACTTTTAGAATATAAGAAGTTGTTTAAAATATTTTCTACTGAAAAATTACCTTTTTCTTTTCATCTTTTATTTTTATTTTTTTGGTTGAGAGGGAGTCTCACTCTGTCACCAGGCTGGAGTACAGTGGTGCAATCTCAGCTCACTGCAACCTCTGCCTCCCGGGTTCAGGCGATTCTCCTGCCTCAGCCTCCCGAGTAGCTGGGATTACAGACATGCACCACCACGCCCAGCTACTTTTCGTATTTTTTAGTTGAAACGGGGTTTCACCATGTTAGCCAGGATTGTCTTGATCTCTTGACCTCGTGATCAGCCTGCCTTGGCCTCCCCAAAGTGCTGGGATTACAGGTGTGAGCCACCGCACCCAGGCTATAATTTCTTTCTCTTTTTTTTTTTGGAAATGGAGTTTCACTCTTGTTGCTCAGGCTGGAGTGCAATGGTGCAGTCTCGGCTCACTGCAACCTCTGCCTTACAGGTTCAAGTAATTCTCCTGCCTCAGCCTCCTGAGTAGCTGGGATTACAGGTACCCTCCACCACGCCCAACTAATTCAGTATTTTTAGTAGAGACGGGGTTTCTCCATGTTGGTCAGGCTGGTCTTGAACTCCCAACCTCAGGTGATCCGCCTGCCTGGGCCTCCCAAAGTGCTGGGATTATAGGTGTGAGCCATTGCACCGGGCCTATTATATCTTTTAAAAAGTTATTTAACTACTCGGGAGGCTGAGGTGAGAAGATTGATTGAAGCCGGGAGTTCCAGGTTGCAGTACACTATAATGGTGCCTGTGAATAGCATGACACACCAGCCTGGGGAATACAGCAAGATCCTGTGTCTAAAAAAATTATATTACTCCAGTTTCACAATTTTTAGTAATACTGAAGAATATAGAGTAGATATGGGAAGTTTCTTCAACCCTAAATTTCATTCTCCCCTCCCCACCTCCCAGTCTTTGTAAATAGTTGATGTATCCCTGGCCCTTTTCTTTTCTTTTTTCTTTTTCTTTTTTTTTTTTTTTTTTTTTTTTTGAGACAGAGTTTTGCTCTTGTTACCCAGGCTGGAGTGCAATGGCGCGATCTCGGCTCACCACAACCTCTACCTCCTGGGTTCAAGCAGTTCTCCTGCCTCAGCCTCCTGAGTATCTGGGATTACAGGCACGTGCCACCATGCCCAGCTAATTTTTTGTGTTTTTAGTAGAGACAGGGTTTCACCATGTTGACCAGGATGGTCTCGATCTCTTGACCTCATGATCCACCCGCCTTGGCCTCCCAAAGTGCTGGGATTACAGGCTTGAGCCACCGTGCCCGGCTGGCCCTTTTCTTTACAGGTGCACATAGATACTGCTTTTTTAAGATACGTGGGTTTATAAGTATTTCCCTGCTGCTTGCTTTTTTTTTTTTTCATTTGGTAACATGTCTTGGCAATCTTTCTACTTTTATATAGAGAGTGCTATCCAAGTTTTTACCGAGTTTTTGTTGAAGAGAATGATTAAAGATGATGATGATCCAGAATCAAATATCATGTAAATAAACATTAAGTGCTTTTACCACCAAAAAAAAGTGTGAGGCACTAGGTAAGTTTATTGGCTTGACTGTGCTGATTCTTTCACAGTGTGTATTAAAAAATCCTCTTAACTATATATGTATTGTCAGTTATACCTCAATAAAGCTAAGGGTAAAAAACCACGTCTATTAAAGAGAGGAGGCAGTGTGACTCCTACAAGTGAATCATGCCTTGCTAATCTTTGTATTTTTAAGGGCATAACTGAGAGCTAGTAGCCTTTCAAAAAGACGTTGATGAATTTCCAGACCAAGAATATTTAAAACTGTTGGTATATAAGAGAAACATATCTGTTTCATAGAGGAAAAGTGTATAGATAGAAATAGAGAATATGAATAAATAGATTTTTATGAAAGAGAATTTGGGACTGCGCACGTGGCTTACGCCTGTAATCTCAGCACTTTGGGAGGCCAAGGAGGGTGAATTGCTGGAGCCCAGGAGTTTGAGACTGGCCTGGGCAACATGGGAAGACCAAGTCACTACTAAAAACATAAAAATGTATCTAGGCATGGTGGGGTATACCTGTAATCCTAGCTACTTGGGAGGCTGAGGTGGAAGAATCACCCAACCCTTGCAAAGTTGAGGCTGCAATGAGTCGTGATTACGTCACTGCACTCCAGCCTGAGTGATAGGAGTGAGACCCTGTCTCAAAAAAAAAAAAAAAAAAGGTATTTAGATTTTAGTGATCCTTTGATCATTAGTGTTATCTAACTGATTCAGTAATGATAGAGAAAGGAGGTGTGATAAACATTTCTGTGTATGCTGCACTAAAATATTAGTATGTTAAATAGTCGAAGGGATGGGAATAAATCTCAGGAAGATTTCATAAAGTGATGTAAGCAGAAAAAAATGTTAAATAATGAGCTGCATGTCGATAAATAATAGACACTGACCCAAGTGATGGCTTCTGAACCATGATCTTACTTAAACTAGGGTCTTAAGGTCTGCCTAAGTGAAAACAAAACAAAGGCTGCAAACATTCATTTTAAACACGGTAGATAATAGACGAATCTTATATCCTGGGAGATAGTGCAAGCCAAAGATACAGCTATGTTAAAACCTAGTAAACACATAATTTTTTTCTCTTTTATAATCTTCCCTTTTTCTAGGTCAGCAATAGTCCCGAACCTCTGAAGGCTGTAGAACAGGAGGTGAGAATGGTGCTTCTTAACATTTTGCAAAAAAATACACTAAAGTGATTATCGATTACTTCCTCAACTGCTATTCTTAAGACATTAAATTCTCAGTTTTGAAGACTATTGGTGTAATTCACTGAAATATAAAGAAAATTATTTCCATTACAGTGGTTGTCAGGGCTTTACTGTAATCTGTAATTTATTCCTTCCCCAAAATAAGCATTTTTAAATAAAGGGAAGAAAATATAAATAAATCCTGTAAAATTTGGCCTCTTTCCATTTATCCAGCTCTATGTAATGGTATACTTTCCAGAAATAACTGCCTCAGGACATAATGTATGTAACTTGTATGTGTCCTGGATGTGTCCTAATGTGACATTTTACTATGGGCTGCTTCTTTAGTTTAATAGAGTTCTTCATCTCCAGTCAGGGCACCATTCAGCTTTATTCAACAAACATCTGTTAAGAGCCTACTACAGACTGGGTGCAGTGGCTCACGCCTGAAATCCTAACACTTTGGGAGGCTGAGGCAGGCAGATCACTTGGTCAGGAGTTTGAGACTAGCCTGGCCAACATGGTGAAACCTCATCTCTAATAAAAATACAAAAATTAGCTGGGCATGGTGGCAGATGCCTGTAATCGCAGCTACTTGGGAGGCTGAGGCCAGAGAATTGCTTGAATCTGGGAGGCAGAGGTTGGAGTTAGCCAAGATGCTACCACTGCTACCAGCCTGGGCAACAGAGCAACACTCTGTCTCAAAAAAAAAAAAAAAAAAAAAAAGCCTGCTACATGTCAGGCTTGATATGCTGGGCACCGAGAATAACAAGATATCTGTGACTTTCTGCTATGTGCTAGGTCAGGGGTTGACCTGGGTCTGTGGAAGCTCTCTAGCATCAGCAGTGAAACAATATCCTCTTCCTTCAAAATGTACTCGGTGTTAGGATAGTCATACCTTTCCTTTAATAATTGAATTCTCTTGAAGCTACAATTCTATTTACACTTAGATGTGTTTTACCTAAATGTGAGTATCTAGAGTTATGGTTTTTAGTTCTTTTTGGGTCACAGACTCTTAGGAATCAAATTATTTTAAACTCTCCAGAAGAATGCATGTACATATGCCACATAGCTGTAAATCAAAAGAGTTTTAAGAACCAGTGCTTTAGAGACTTACTTTTACTTGGGGAGAAAGAAATGTAGGTATAAAATTATAAGGTGATTTGTATTAATAGTGAGAGATTCTATGTGGGGCTAGTTACTTGTTTGTAATTTTGTCTTTATTTTCATTTGGCTTAAAATCTTCAAATCTGAGTTGCTTGCCTTTGTTTAGCTTATTTCAGAAGTTAGGCAGGCTACTCAGGAAAACACTGCATTGGCATGTAGTGTCTGTAAGTTGTCATTAATGAAATAGTTTATTTTCTCTAGTTGTAAACATAGTTTATAGTGAGTTAGAAAATAATTGTGCTGCAATGCCAGATAATACATGACATATATATTCTATATAGCACTGAGCACATGATGCGTTTGATAAATGGAACAACTGAAAATATTTTGAAGGGCTTATAGACTTTTAGCATGATATTTAAAACCCATAAGAAAATGACTCAAAGACCAGACTACTTTTACTACAGTATCTCAAGTGAAACTAAAAGTAGTGACATTTATTTTGTGTGTGCGTGGTAAAAACACACAAAAATTACCATCTTATGAGCTCTGATGTGATCTCCACAGGCAGAAAAAAAAAATAGTCTTAACCGTTTTTAAGTATACAGTTCAATAGTGTAAGTATACAGTTCAGTAGTGTTATGTATATTCATATTGTAAAACAGAGTGCCAGAACTTTTCATCTTGCAAATCTAAAACTAACTCATTAAATAATAACTTCCTTTCCAACTCCTCCAGCCCCTGGAAACTACCATTTTACTTTCTGTTTCTATGAATTTGACATCATATATTAAATACCTCACATAAATAGAATCATGTAGTATTTGTCTTTTTGAGACTGGCTTATTTTATTTACCATAATGGTCTCAAAGTTTATTCATGTAGCATGTGACAGAATTCCCTTCCTTTTTAAGGCTGAGTAATATTCAGTTGTATGTATATACCACGTTTTGTTTGTTGATGGACATTTGGGTTGGTTTCACCTTATGGCTGTTATGAATGATGCTTTTGTGAATACATAACCCAGAAGTGAGATTGTTGGATGATATTGTAGTTCTATTTTTAATGTTTTTAGGAAGTTCCATACTGTTTTCTAGAGTGGTTGCATCATTTTACAATCCTACCAGCAATGCACAAGTGTCGATATATTCACGTCCTCGTTTTCTTGATAGTGGTCATCCTAATGGGGGCCAGGTGATAGCTCATTGTGGTTTTGCTTTGCATTTTTTCAGTGATTAGTGATGTCGATTGTCATTTTATATACTTCTTGGCCATTTGTGTATTATCTTTGACTTGCATCTCTTTTTTTTTCCAAAGCACAACTTAAATATGCACAGGCATACCATTCTTTTTTTTTTTTTTTTTTTAGATGGAGTTTCGCTCTTGTTACCCAGGCTGGAGTGCAATGGCGCAATCTCGGCTCACCGCAACCTCCGCCTCCTGGGTTCAGGCAATTCTCCTGCCTCAGCCTCCTGAGTAGCTGAGATTACAGGCACGCACCACCATGCCCAGTTGATTTTTTTGTATTTTTAGTAGAGACGGGGTTTCACCATGTTGACCAGGATGGTCTCGATCTCTTGACCTCGTGATCCACCCGCCTCGGCCTCCCAAAGTGCTGGGATTACAGGCTTGAGCCACCGCGCCCGGCCCATACCATTCTTTTATACGCAGTTCCAAATCTTGTACTTGCTTTATGTGAACACTCTGTAGTGACATGTACACCTGCAATGTGGCAGTTCCTTAAAGGCTCTAAAGGGGAAAATGGGGCTATAAAATAAATATGTTAGAGAGAGACCTGACAACTGTGGAAGTCTCCGTGTTTGACACCATTCACGCCATTGAAAAACATATCTTAATGATGTCAGACAATAGGATTTGATAGGCTAGGGGTCATTTGCAGTCAAGACTATTAGCCAAAACAGCACCACCTGGCACGTGACCTAATATAAAATAGGAATTTGCAGTCTCAAGAAGCCACAGATTGAATGTGAAATAACAACATGCAACTCCCCTGGAACTTTGTGTTGAATGATTCATAATAAATGCTTTTCAATTGGGACCTCATAAGAATTTTCCCTTGTTGCGTATATAGTCATGTGTCGTTTAATGACAGAGATACATTCTGAGAAATGCGTAGGTAGGTGATTTTGTGATAGGAATATCACGGAGTGAATTTACATAAACTTAGATGGCATAGCTTACTACACATCCAAGCTACATGGTATGGCCTATTGCTCTTAGGCTGCAAACTCTACAGCATGTACCAAATATTACAGGCAGTTGTAGCACAATGGTATTTGTACATAGAAAAGATATGGCAAAAATACAGTATGAAAGATTTAAATGGTTTACCTCTATAGAGCACCTGCCATGGATGGAGGGAGCTTGCAGGACTGCAAATTGCTCTTGGTAAGTCTGAGAGAGCAGTGAGTGAATATGAAGGCCTTAGAGCATTACTGGACATTGCTGTAGACTTTATAAAATGCTGTCCACTTAAACTACTCTGCATTTATTTATTTTTTTCTTTCTTCAATAATAAATTAGCCTTAGCTTACTATAACTCTTTTACTTTATAAACTTTAACATCATTTTTACCTTTTTGACTTTTTTAATAATGGTTAGCTTAAAACACAAACATGTTGTATAGCTATATGAAAATATTTTCTTTATATCTGTATTCTATAAGCTTTTGTCTATTTTTAAAATGTATATATATTTTTGCTTTTTAAACTTTTTTGTTAAAAACCAAGACACACACATAATAGCCTTGGACTACACAGGGTCAGGTTCGTCAGTGTCAGTATCTTCTACCTCCACACCTGCCCCACTGGAAAGTTTTTAGGGGCAGTGACACACATGGACCTGTCATCTCCTATGATGACAGTGTCTTCTTCTGGGGTACTTCCTGAAGGACCTGCTTGAGGCTGTTTTATAATTAACTTTATTATTTTTTTTTAAGTAGAAGGAGGCGTATACACTGGCAGTGAAAAGTATAGTAGATACATAAACCAGTAACGTGGTTGTTTATGGTTACCAAGTATTATATACTGTATAGAATTGTATGTACTGTACTTTTATACAGCCAGCAGTGCAGTAGTTTTGTTAACACCCTAGTGCATTGCACTAGGATATTATGACAGTTGCAGCATCACTGGGCAACAGGAATTTTTCAGCTCCGTTTTAATCTTAGGGGATCACCATCATGTATACTGTATGCTGTCTGTTATTGGCCAAAATGCCATTATGCGGATGTGGCACATGATTGTATTATCTTATGCGCATACATTTGACCAAAAGCAGTATATTTTAATTTTTAACAGGCTGATATATATTTTTTGAAACAGGGTCTCGCTCTGTTGCCCAGGCTGGAGTGCAGTGGTGTGATCTCAGCTCACTGCAACCTCCTTCGCCTTCTGGATTCAAGTGATTCTTGCACCTCAGCTGCCCAAGTAGCTGGGACTACAGGCATACGCCACCATGCCCAGCTAATTTTTGTATTTTTAGTAGAGACAAGGTTTCACCATGTTGGCCAGTCTGATCTCAAACTCCTGATCTCAGGTGATCCACCCAACTTGGCCTCCCAAAGAGCTGTGATTACACACATGAGCCACTGCACTTGGTCTCATTGTATCTTTAATTGGAAGCAGTTAGTGAGGGATAGTACAAGAATATTGTACCGCTGGCCAAATGCTATGGCCAATTTGCCATCAAAGTGCTTTTCTGCTAATCTTAGTAGCTTTATGTCTCCACTGCCTGGGATACCAAGGAGAAAGACCTCTTATGAAAATGGTTTCGAGGCTGGGCACAGTGGCTCATGCCTGTAATCCCAGCACTTTGGGAGGCTGAGGCAGGTGGATCACCTGAGGTCGGCAGTTCGAGACCAGCCTGACCAACATGGAGAAACCCCATCTGTACTAAAAATACAAAGTTTGCCAGGCATGTTGGCGCATGCCTATAGTACCAGCTACTCCAGAGGCTGAGGCAGGACAATCACTTGAACCTCGGAGGTGGAAGTTGTGGTGAGCCAAGATCGCACCATTGCACTCCAGCCTGGGCAACGAGAGCAAAACTTCATCTCAAAAAAACAAAACAAAAAAAACCCCAGTTTCCCTAAAATCTGAGCTTTTCCCTTCTCTGCTCTCATGCTGTATCCCTGGGATCTAGTTGTCAGAAGTACAGCCCACACAATGAGCTATTTTAAAGAGTGTAAACTATTTTTATGCGGTAAGTATAAGAGGGAAGTAAGTTACAGATAAGCAAATCTCATGTTATTTGGATAGTCTAGGATAAATTTAAAACATCATTTTCTTTCTTTTTTTTTTTTTTTGAGACGGAGTTTCACTCTTGTTACCCAGGCTGGAGTGCAATGGCGCGATCTTGGCTCACTGCAACCTCCGCCTCCTGGGTTCAGGCAATTCTCCTGCCTCAGCCTCCTGAGTAGCTGGGATTACAGACACGTGCCACCACGCCCAGCTAATTTTTTGTATTTTTAGTGGAGACGGGGTTTCACCATGTTGACCAGGATGGTCTCGATCTCTTGACCTCGTGATCCACCTGCCTCGGCCTCCCAAAGTGCTGGGATTACAGGCTTGAGCCACCACGCCCGGCAACATCATTTTCTTTTAAGTAGATCCTGATTCACCACTTCCTTGTAGCCTGAAACCTTGGTATTGCTGAGGTATCACGGTCCTTTTCTTGTTTTAGGTTCAGCTCTCTCTTGGTTATTTTCTTTCTTTCTTTTTTTCTTTTCCTTTTCACCTAATGATGTCTAGACTGTCTCCTGGTTATTTTATTTCATGCTGCCAGATCCACAAATGAATTTTGGAAGGTGGACTTTTGCCACACTTTATATGTTGGGAACTTTTAAATTACTAAATATAATTTTTTCTAAGGTGAAAATAATCTGGCTCTTGGAGGGAGTGAGGGGCCTGGAATAATAAGGAGGAAGAAGAAATAATGTCTCTATGTTTTAGAGGTAAATGACAATTCCGGATTGACCTAAAATTATTTATTTGCAAAATAGTTTCAAAGGCATATCACTTTCTCATATAGATGAACTCAATATTCTCTAGGGCTTTCTGAATCCACGGTCTTAATGGGTTTTAACTGCTTTCATCAACACTGTTTATCAGAAACATAGACTGTTTGTTTATTTTATATTTTTAAATGTGTATTAGCTTTGAAACCTTTAAGAATGGGAATTCATGGCTAGTCTGAAAGTAGTGAGTTATCTTGATTGTTCTCAGTCAGTTACAGATCGAACTCCTTGTTCTACTCTTTCCCCCCTTCTCACTACTGCACTTGTCTTAAAAAAGACAAAAAAAAAGAATGGGAATTCTTGTAACATGGGCACAATCTCAGCTCACCTCTGCCTCCTGGGTTCAAGTGACTCTCATGCCTTAACCCTCCCTAGTAGCTGGGACTACAGGCATGTACCACCATGCTGGGCTAATTTTTGGCATTTTTAGTAGAGACAAGGTTTCGCCAGGTTGCCCAGGCTGGGGGAAAAAAAAAAGTATTTCTTAACTCATTTTTAAAGTAGTTTGGAATAAATTACTCAATTTAGTAATAAATTACTCAATTAAAATTTCTTCTAAATTACTTTTATTTGTAGGTTGAACTTTCTGATGTTAGCAAAGGTGAATCTAAAGCTACCATTTCAGCATCAACAGCTAATTCAGATGTGGCAATAATTCCTACTAATACTCCCTTAAGGGAATTATATATAGTTTATATAATTTGTAATATTATAAATATAATTATAAATAAAATATAATTATATATTTATAATTATACAAATAGTTATGTTATAATAATAGCTAATATTTTAAATACTTAGTATGTGTGAAACACATTGCTAAGCCATAATGTAGAATAATTTGTAACCTTATGAAGTAGACATCATTATCTCTATTTATAGATTATAAAGGTATAGAAAGAATATGTAACTTACCCAAGGTCATGCATTTAGTGAATGATAAATTCACTTAATTTACCCTAATCCTCCTCCTCCTCCTCCTCCTCCTCCTCCTCCTCCTCCTCCTCATTATTATTATTATTATTATTATTACTGGTGGTGGTGGTGATGGTAAACTTTTTGTCAGGTTCTCTTTTTTTAAAACCTGGTTGCTCCAAATGATCTTCATTCTTGATAGCCACTGGACAATTGCTTTTATTGACTTTGAAGCTGCAAACCTCTTTGAATATCTGATAAAAGCTATAGATTCTTTTCGCAGAAAAACACATTGTACACAAATTTTTGCATACAGTTTCAGTCTACACATACCTCTTGAAACCTATGTGTAGATCCTATAATAGTAATCAAATTTCATTGAGTATGTAACTCATCTGGATTGCGGTTACCTATTCTCAATGCCTAAAGTTTGGTACATTAAGTCTGGAGTTGGACATAGACTCTGTCTTCTCCTCCTTAATCCCTCCTCTCTCTCTCTCCTTTTTTTTTTTTTTTGCTGGGCTCAAGGGATCCTCCCGCCTCAGCTGGAATTACAGGCATGTGTGTGGCTGGAATCTGCCCTTTTAGCAAGCACCTTAAGTACTTCAAAGGATTTAGATGCAGGATGTTTTAATACAACACTTTACAAAGAAACGCCGAGATTAAGAATTTGGTTATTCTCCTGCTGTTTTAGAGCAGCTATTACAGAGAATGATGTGGACATTAATGCATAGTTTTATTGGTAATAATTCTTGTATTTTCAAATTTTCTGTTTAGAAAAATCCCATCTGAAAAAAATGTGATTTACTTAAATATTTCCCAATTATTTGCAGAGGGACTAGAGAGATAATTTATTGATAATCAGTGGCTCTTTATTGTGTTTATTTAAAAAAAAAAAAGAACTTTCTCTAGTAGGTTTATTTCTTACCCCATTTAATGTGGCTTAGAGTAAATATGTCATTTAAAATTTTATTCTAAATTATTTTTATTTAGGATGAGCTTTCTGATGTTAGCCAAGGCGGATCTAAAGCTACCACTCCAGCATCAACAGCTAATTCAGATGTGGCAACAATTCCTCCCGATACTCCATTAAAGGAAGAAAACGAAGGATTTGTGAAGATTACAGATACACCAAATAAGTCAGAGATAAGCAAACACATTGAAGTACAGGTAGCCCAAGAAACTAGAAATGTATCTACTGGTGAGTGACCCTAGTTCTTTACTTATTAGGAAAGTATTCAGTAAACCCAGATAATGTGGGTATGAGAAAATATGTCTTTGCAGGTGTTGCCTGCTTTGTGTTTATAAAATAGGCAGATATTGTTGGTCCTCTGTATCTGTGGTTCTGCATCTATAGCTTCATCCAGCTGTAGATTGAAAATATTTGAAAAAAAAAGATAGCTCTACCTATACTAAACATGCATATTCTTTTTTCTTATTGTCCCTTAAACAGTACAGTATGACGATTATTTACATAGCATTTATGTTGTATTAGGTATTATAAGTAATCTGCAGATGATTTAAAGTATATGGGAGGATATTAATATGTTATATGCAAATACAATGCCATTTTATATAAGGAACTTGAGTATCCATGGATTTTGGTATTTTGGTGGGTTCTGGAACCAGTCCCCCATGGATACCAAGAGGAGACTGTACTTACTTGTATTCAGTTGTAAATAAGCTTAAAAAGAGGTAATGCTTAATAGTCTTGGGAGAGAAACTATTGGTGCCAGGAGTTGCGGGCCAGGTCTGAGAGTCTAAAAGACAGGAGGACAGTTCGTTTCTGTCCCCTATCTTAGTTTAGTCTTTGTCTTTAGTTTCTTTAAATTCCATCTTTTAAATAGGAATGAAAGCAGGACCTTGGATACACTGCATTGTTCCACGAAACACAAAGGCAAACTTTCTTTGGTTGCTTATTAGTTTTTGATATGAACTGTTAATGGAACATATGACATACTGTCTAATGCTGTGTTTCCTAAAACCCAGTCTTGTACATTTTTGAAAAATGTTCAGATGATACCATAAAAACAACAGGGATTTTTATATTGGGGTACTATGTAATATATGTTTTGTTTGTTTCATCATGTCCTTTTTAAAGGCTCTGCTGAAAATGAAGAGAAGTCAGAAGTTCAAGCGATCATTGAATCTACTCCTGAGTTGGATATGGACAAAGATCTCAGTGGATATAAAGGTTCAAGGTAAAATAAATGTCAGATGAAGACATCTTCCCTCCCCCAAACTCCCATAAACACTGTTCTCTGGTCTCTGACTGGATAAAATGGATTCAGATGTTTCGTTGAAGAAATGTTGGTATTAGATTCTAATTCCTCTTCTTGAAACTGGACACTGTACATGGTTTACATTTTTTGTAAAATGTTACCTTTGCAGCATCACAGATTAGGTGCATGAGTAGGAAGGATGGTGTCTTAGCTATTTTGTACTACTATAACAAAATACCAGAGTGGGTTGGTTATTTATTTATTTTTTTGAGACGGAGTCTTGCTCTGTTGCTCAGGCCGGAGTGCTGTGGTGTGATCTCAGCTCACTGCAACCTCCACCTCCCAGGTTCAAGCGATTGTCCTGCCTCAGCCTCCTGAGTAGCTGGGATTACAGGTACCTGCCACCACACCCAGCTAATCTTTTTTTTTTTTTTTGTATTTTTTAGTAGAGATGGGATTTCACCATGTTAGCCATGCTGGTCTCAAACTCCTGATCTCGTTATCCACCCGCCTCAGCCTCCCAAATTGCTGGGATTGCAGGCGTGAGCCATTGCGCCTGGCCAATTTATAAAGAACAGAAATTAATTTTCTCACAGTTCTGGAGGCTAGGAAGGCCAAGATCAAGGTGCTGGCAGGGTGAGTTTTCTGGTGAGGGCTACTCTTTGCTTTCAAGTTGGTGCCTTGTTGCTGCATCCTCTGGAGGGGAGGAACTCTATGTCCTTATATAGCAGAAGGACAAGTGAGCCCTGAACACTGGATAAAGCCTCATTATTTTATAAGGATCCCAGTCCTATTAACCTGAGAGAAGCCCTTATGGCCTAATCACCTCTTGAAGGTCCTATCTTAATATCACATTGGCAACAACTGAATTTTATAGGGTACACATTCGAACTATAGCAGATAAGGGAAAAAAGACAGCCAAGACATATCCTATAGTTTCTGTAACTTGAGGACCAAGAAGCAGGAGTGAAGGGAAGTAACAGAGTGGACTTGGCTGGGCTGGCTGCAGTGCTACTTTGAGGGCATGAAACAGACCTTTGGTTATAGAGCATGCTTATTTTAGGGCCAGTGTCAGGAGACTCGAGCCTGCCTGACACTTCAGTCTAGCCCTCTCCTGACTGGGGCTGGGTCCCCTCCCCCAACACATACCTTGGGTTTGTGCATGTTTTCTGCAGGTGTGTTCAGAAGGCAGTTTCTTTTTTATGTGTACATATGCTAAATAAACGTGATTTAAAAAACAAAACAAAAAAGTTTGAACAAACTTTCGTACCTTCCCCCAGATCAGGAAGGGAGAATATACTTCCATCTTGAGAACTATAATCTGATTATTGGAAGAAATTAGTCTCATTTTACATGGGAAGGCTGCTTAGTGGTAGGAAGAAAATGGTTAGACATCACCCCTTTTTATTTTGTTTTGTTTTTGAGACAGAGTTCCACTCTTGTTACCCAGGCTGGAGTGCAATGGCGCGATCTTGACTCACCACAACCTCCGCCTCCTGGATTCAAACAATTCTCCCCCCTCAGCCTCCCGAGTAGCTGGGACTACAGGCGCGCGCCACCATGCCCAGCTAATTTTTGTATTTTTAGTAGAGATGGGGTTTCACCATGTTGACCAGGATGGTCTCGATCTCTTGACCTCGTGATCCATCTGCCTCGGCCTCCCAGAGTGGTGGGACTACAGGTGTGCGCCACCCCACCAGGCTACTTTTTATATTTTTAGTAGAGACGGGGTTTTACCACATTGGCCAGGCTGGTCTCAAACTCCTGAGCACAAGTTACCTGCCCCCTTCTACCTCCCAAAGTACTGGGAGGTTAGATACATCCTAATCAGGATTATCCAGAATACATTGATGCTCAAGAATATCAGATAGGAGCTACTGCCTTTCTTTTCATTTCTTCCATAAAGTTTATCTTTTAACTAATTAATGACTATAAGAATGCATGAGATTTATTGATCCATGTTAAGCATTGCACAGTATGCTGTAGCGGTTAAAAGCATAGACCCTAGTGTAAGACTGCATGGGTTCAAATCCTGTTTTGAATTTGAATCTTAGGTATGTTTTCTCATCTAGAAAACAGCATTATGTTAATACATCAGATGGTTGTGAGGATTAAATGAATCAGTATATGATAAATCATTGCAAAATGCCCCATTCAATAAATGTTAACTAATATTATTGTTTTCATCATGATCTTATATAATTTGATCCTGATTATAACCTTATGAGGTAGATGTTTTTATCCTTATTTTGTAAATAAAGAGACTTAGAACTTGTTCAAGTAGTTTGTCCCAGATTACCAAGCTAACAAGAGGTGGACCTGGAATTCAAATCCAGAACCCTCTGTCCGTCTGTCTGTCTGTCTGTCTGTCTCTCAGACAGGTTCTCATTCCGTCACCACTGTTTTTCCTGGATTCTACATCATCACCCTGCTTCTTGATTTATGCCTTTGTTTTGACAGAGCATATATCCTTACTAGCTTTCTGGGTAAAGGGTGCATGACTTTATCACTTCTTAGCTCTCTCTCATGCTGTCTCTCTTCAGATAGCTAAAATAACATGCTTGTGCTACTCCTCCTTCATTCCTCCCCTTTTCAGCTGAGATTCTGTGAGAAAATGTAGTCCTAATGCCCTAAACATCCCTTGTGTATAATGAATTAGCGTTGCTCCTATGCATCTAGAATAGGACTCTAGGTATATACTTCCCTTGGGAGAATGGAGAAAATAGTCACTTAAATCATTTTCTGTATTCTGTAGATCAAGTAAGAACCCTGGTTGAAAAAGGCTGTGATGCTAGCTGTTGGCTTTCTATAGTAGAAGATGAGGATATAATGCCTAAACCACCATCCTTTTATCCTCCTAATATTATTATATTTCAGATTCTGGTAATATTATTTACATCATTATGACTATAAAATTAATCTGCAATTCTACTTAGTCACAGATTATAGTATAATTACATTTCATTTCCTTTTTTTTGTTTTTTGTTTTTTTTTGAGATGGAGTCTCACTCTATCTCCCGGGCTGGAGTGCAGTGGCACGATCTCGGCTCACTGCAACCTCCACCCCTCAGTGATTCTCAAGTCTTTGAAGTTCAAGTGATTCTCCTACCTCAGCATTCTGAGTAGCTGGGATTACAGGTGCCCGTCACCATGCCCAGCTAATTTTGTATTTTTGGTAGAGACGGGGTTTCACCATGTTGGTCAGGCTGATCTCGAACTCTTGACCTCGTGATCTGCCCACCTCAGCCTCCCAAAGTGCTGGGATTACAGGCATGAGCCACTGTGCCTGGCCCATTTAATTTCTTTTACAACTTTCTGTTCTTCTGAAATTAATAAAGCTTTTGGTTATTTTGTTTCTTTTCCTTATGTTTCTTTTTTTTTTTTTTTGAGATGGAGTTTCGCTCTTGTTACCCAGGCTGGAGTGCAATGGCACGATCTCGGCTCACCGCAACCTCCGCCTCCTGGGTTCAGGCAATTCTCCTGCCTCTCAGCCTCCTGAGTAGCTGGGATTATAGGCACGTGCCACCATGCCCAGCTAATTTTTTTGTATTTTTAGTAGAGACGGGGTTTCACCATGTTGACCAGGATGGTCTCGATCTCTCGACCTTGTGATCCACCCGCCTCGGCCTCCCAAAGTGCTGGGATTACAGGCTTGAGCCACCGCGCCCGGCCTCTTTTCCTTATGTTTCTTTGGACCTGTCACTAAATCATTGGCAGACACTATGCAATTCATAAATGTAAAAGTTGCCAATATGACCAAACACAAAACCTGTCTGTTTCCTAACGCTCACTCTCCTGCAGCCTTCTATTCCCATTCTTTAATTGAGACTGCTGTCAGTTTGCTCTGGTTCTGGAATATGCCCTCACTTTCATCCCTGGAATTCTTTTCACCTTTTTCCTCTGTTGTATCTTTTGTTTCCCTGGATCCCACATCATCCTGTTTCTAACTTATGCCTTTGTTTTGATAGAATGTTAACCTTCCTAGGTTTCTGGGCAAAAGGTACATACAAGTAAAATTTTTTTTAAATCATTGTGAGGTTGAACGTGACAAATTTCATAAGAAGACATACTTGATAGTTTGGCTAGATAAAGAACTACAGGTTGGGAGATTTTTTATTTCGGAATTGCAAAGACATTGCTTCATTTTCATGTTGAGTTCAGGGTGTTGGTATTTGACTTCTTATTTTTATATACTCTCTGAAATCTTTTGAGACTGTCATTTTCTTGATTTTTTTAAAAAAATTAATGATGCTGTGCTTGGTGTGGGGGTCTTTTTGCTTTTTGTATCTTCTTACATGAAATAAGTTTTTTCATCTGAAAATTCCTATCTTCCAGTTCTGAGAAATTCTCTTTCTTATTTTTGTTACTTCTGGTCTTGTTCTGGAACACCTGTTAGGTATGTATTGAACATTCTGGAATGACTGTCATTTCTTTTCTTCCCTGCTTCCTATCTTTTTTATTTTGTACTCATTGTTGGCAGATTTTTAAAAAACGCTCGTTGTTTTTTTTTTCGAAGTTCTTTTTCTTGGTTGGTACTTTTTATACCATCTTGCTGTTTTACTAATGCAACATTTCTTCTGAAGAAATTGAGTTATTTGGTTTTTTTGTCATTGCTGCTGCCTGCATTGTCTTGTTCTTAGTGTCTCTGTCACATCGTCTTTGTTTTGGGCTCTTTCTTTTATAATAGAGGTCTTTAGATTTCTAGGACTCTGTGGCTGTTTTACTCATACTTAAGTAAATAATGCTGATTCTCCACTTTCCTGCCTATAACATTTAAACTTGGCTTCCATTGTTCAGGGAGCTATGCCAAGAGAAGGGAGGTCTCAGTATTCTGGAGGATTGTATCTAGGTCCTGTACTGCCTCTTGCACAGTTTTTTTTTTTTTATCCTGTCCGTCTGTTTCATGTTCCTCCCTGCATGCTTTCCCTGCGGTTTCTGGTACCTTCAAGTCCTAGGTCTTTCAGGGGTTCTGGCAGCATATTGACCTCCTCCCTAAACCCCAGTGGCTTAGGTTTCAGCTTGCTCTGGTCTATTGAATCACTTTCTACTGTTTGCCCATCTGTTTTCCATCTTACAGAATTTTATTCACATTTTATCTGCTATAGTTTCTTTTTCTATTCTCTTTGTCCTTTTGGGTGTATATCTTTTTAATTTCTTCGCTTTCATTTTAGTTGAGTTTCTGAGTTACTAGGTGATACTATGCTCACTATACCATATTTAACTAGAAATGATCTGCAGAGTTTTTTCTATTAATACAGTATTCAGGCACAAACATGTATACTTCCCCATTCCCCTATACACCCCAGCAAAATAGGGCATATAGTATATACACAGTTTTGCAACTTGATTTTTAAAAAAAACCTTTGTACAATGAGTTTCTTTAGTTTATAAAGCTCTATTTATGTTTTTAATCGTAAAGCTAAAATTTTTAACTTTATATGTGTATAACTTCCCTCATCTGTCCCCTATTAATGGTGATTTAGGTCTTTAATTTTTGCCACTATGAGAAATGTTTCTCTAACCATCTTTTACATACATAATTGCCTTCTTTTCACGTAGGTGATCTATGGAAAGCACTTAGATCAGCACCTGGTATAGATCAGAGGAGCTGTCATTATTGCTTGTGTTTTCTGGGGTCACACAACAAAAACATACTGTAATTTCTTCACTAGCTATCTCTGTGGAGCTTAGTGAGAACTTCTTAGGAAGCCTTTGAGAAATCTTTTTAAGTTACATTTTCTAGTAAATGTAAATTATAGGTAAGAAATTCCTGTATAGTTTAGCCTATTGTATTCACTTTAACACTGTCAAAAAAGTCTTTGTCATTTGTTGATTTGGTTTTGTTGTTCTTGTTACATAGCACTCCCACCAAAGGCATAGAGAACAAAGCTTTTGATCGCAATACAGAATCTCTCTTTGAAGAACTGTCTTCAGCTGGCTCAGGCCTAATAGGAGATGTGGATGAAGGAGCAGATTTACTAGGTATGATAGCTCATCTGAAGAAGTATCATACTGTTTTTAAAATTGATTTTTAAAATGATTTAATTGAAAAGTCTTTTAAAATGACCCCAACTGCTCAGTGGTACACGGTTATTGCCCTTTTAGATAATTATTGGGAACATATGCCTGTGATCATGAAAGTTTTAAATGAAAGCACCTTTGCTTATGGGTATGCTTAAAACTGAATTGCATTTAAATTTATATTTTGAATTCGTGCAACACAATTTATTGAACTTCTGCTATATTCCAAAACAGATAACTACACATACAAACATGGTGGGGTGTGTATGTGTGTGTGTGTATGGATTGATGCCTAGTTATTTTCTGACTTAGATTAATTTCATTACATTCTGTTGACTTTAATTAAGAAATTATAACACTTGACTTTTCTAAGTTTTCACAGAGTATATTATGTTTCAGCTCTGTGGGAAATATTATCATTTTAAAGTTTGTGTTGTAGAATACATGGTTTGAAAAGAATATTGCGTTTGGTTCTTACACTATTTATCTGGTGACCTTTGCCAAATAGCTTTGGACCTTAATTTCTTTGTGCTTAAAATGAAGGAGCTGGACTGTTGTTCACGAATCTGGCAAACTGTAGCTTACGAGCCAAATCCAGCCGACCTCCTGTGTGTATGTGTAAATAAAGTTTTGTTGGAATACAGCCACCACCATTTACTTATTGTCTGTGATTGCCTTTGCCTACCAACAGCAGAGTTGAGTAGGCAACTGTAACCTAAAGCCTAAAATATTTACTGTCTGACCCTTTATAGAAAAAGTTTGCCAATCCCTGCCCTAGATGATCTCTAAAGTTCCTTTCAGTCCAAGATACTGGCTCATATGAATTAGTTTTGGTATATCTTCCTTGTAACTTAAGACACAACAGAAATTCAAAACTGTGTAGAATTAAAAATATATAACTTTGGAGATACTAAGCTACAAAAAAATTTGTGTCTCTTGGTATAATTATAGTACAGACTACACTTCTCAAAAGGTTTTGTAAATTGTTAGGACTTTGGAGTGGAGTGACATTGCTTGCATTATTTTATGTTAAATTTATTGATTACCAGGTATGTCCTTGACATTGTGAAGTGTTTTTAGAGGAAAACACAAGTTCTATCTAAATATCTATCTAGGTTGGGCACAGGGGCTCATGCCTGTAATCCCAGCACTTTGGGAGGCCAAGCCAAGTGGATCACTTGAACTCAGGAGTTAGAGACCAGCCTGGGCAAAAAATACCAAATGGCAAAAAATACCAAAATTAGCCAGGCATGGTGGAGTATGCCTGTAGTTCCAGCTATTTGGGATGCTGAGCTGTGAGGATGGCTTGAACCCAGGAGGCAGAGGTTACAGTGAGCCATATCCTGTCTCATAAAAATAAATAAATAAATAAATAAATATCTAGTAAGAGAGATTGAGAACAGGTGCAGTGGCTTACATCTGTAATCCCAGCACTTTGGAAGGCCGAGGCAGGTAGATCATGAGGTCAGGAGTTTGAGACCAGCCCGACCAACATGGTGAAACCCCGTCTCAAAATACAAAAATTAGTGGGACATGGTGGTATGGGCCTGTAATCCCAGCTACTCAGGAGACTGAGGCTGGAGAATTGCTTGAACCTGGAAGGTGAAGGTTATAGTGAGCTGACACTGGGCCATTGCACTGCAACCTGGGCAACAGAGCGAGACTTAGTCTCAAAAAAAAAAAAAAAAAAGAGAGATTGAAAGTATATAAGTACATATAGTTAGACAGAAAGGGATTGTCACCATTAAAGTTTAAGTAAAACTTTGGAAGAAATTGAATGAATTGCATTTCTCAAGGAGGGCTAAGAAAGTTTAATTCTTAAGGAATACTCTATTTTTTATATTTAATATTACATTTTAATTTTAGTTGACACCAAATTATACCTGAAAGATTTCTTTTATGACATAATTGGCTTAAGAAACTAGCTACCTGGCAAAATTGAGGGGCAGATGAAAAAATGTTAGAAGAATTTAAAAATTTATATTCAGTACAGTAAAATTCACCAGAATCAATATACATCACCCTACAAAATTCGTTTATGCTGCCTGTTTATATTAAGAATGAAGTACTTTTGAATATAATTTGTACACTGTGTTAACTCATAATGCAGTAATGAGTAATATAACTTTTAAGGTTGGTGGCCCCAAACTTTTCTTTTCTTATAAAGTATTTAGAAGTCACATAGTACTTAGAAATAACTATGATCTTTTAAATCGATTTAAAATAATATCCTATCAGTCATGGTGCCTCACACCTGTAAACCCAGCACTTTGGGAGGCCTAGGCGGGCGAATCACAAGTTCAGGAGTTTGAAACCAGCCTGGCCAACATGATGAAACCTCATCTCTACTAAGTAAACTACAAAAATTAGCTGGGCGTCTGTAATCCCAGCTTCTCGGGAGAGTGAGGCAGGAGAATTGCTTGAACACGGGAGGTGGAGGTTGCAGTGAACCAAGATTGTGCCATTGCACTTAGCAAATTTTAATCATTATGTATGGACTCAGTACTTAGATCATCCTTTTTTTTGAGGCAAGGTCTCACTACATTGTGTAGGCTGTCCTGGAACTCCTAGGCTCAAGGAACCCTTTTGCCTATAGCCTCTCAAGTAGCTGGGACTACAGGTATGCACTGTCATGCCAGCACAACCTTTTTCTGACTTTAATAATTTAAAAGAAATAATCTCAACAATTTTTCCTTTATCCTGATTGGTATCTCATCCCTCAGCTTTCTTATTAAAACTCTCTTTGCTGGGTTTCTATGATAGCAACTTGCCTGTGTCCTTTCCTGCCTCTGACTCTACCTTTTCAGTCATCTTAGCAGGATCTGCTTCCTTTGCTCGTCTTTCAGGTATCAGCGTTCCTGTCCTAGGCCTGATACTTTGTTTGAGAAATCGTATTTGCTCTCATTGCTTCTCGGTTTTCACGTCCCAAGTTTTAATCTCCATCCCAGATCTTTTTCTAAAGCCCTAGACTCTTATTTCCTAATTGCCTACTAGACCCCTAAGCTAAGATGACTTGTAAGGCTTTACGTTTAACATGCGTAAAGGTCAGTTGGTCATCTTTATTTTTCTGTCCCTCAAGGCTGCTCTTGGGCCAACAGCCACTGTCTCAGTGAATGAATAGCTCCCCATCCTGCATCTCTCACTTTTCCCTCACAGCCAATCACCAAGGTTTGTTTGTTCCCTCTCCTAAATGTGTGTGTGTAAATATATACATATGTATATATATATTTTCTTGCCTTGCTTAAGTGATACATCCTCCAGGAAATCTGCTTTGATCCCCTTATTAAAGCCTAGTTGTCCTTGACATGTATTCCCATGGCACTGCATTTTATTATACAGCTCTTCATACTTACTGTCATTTTTTTAGGTACCTGTCTCCCTGGACAGACTATAAGCTCAGTGTGGCTGAGACAACCATGTCTTTGCTTGCTGTTGCATCTTTAGCACTTAGCAACTAAGTGAATGGGCTTGCTAAGTAGTTCTGATGTGGTTTCTTTCACTTCAAAATCTGTGATTCTTCTCCTTTTGAGATTAAAAATTCTTTACAGGGGAATTTGTAAGAGAGCAATGTACTTTTGTAAAAATACACATATATAACTACATAAAATTGTGCATCTTCTCAAGGGATTACCATATAACTCTGAAGCCCATCTATGAACCTAGCTTGAGTATCAGTGTTAAAACCCAAATGAAACTTCTATGATTTTAAAAACTGCCAGACAGGTTTTTTTTTTTTTTTGCTTGTTTTTAATAAGTAAAATTTCCAAATGTATTGGACCTAAGTTTGTGCTTCATTTAAGTCTTGAATAGATGTTACTGGGTGACAAGTCTTGAGAAAAAGGAAAGACAAAAAAAAGAGTCTTGAATAGAAATGAGGCCACTTTATATTTTTCTTTTTTTTTTTTGAGACGGAGTTTCACTCTTGTTACCCAGGCTGGAGTGCAATGGCGCGATCTTGGCTCACCGCAACCTCCGCCTCCTGGGTTCATGCAATTCTCCTGCCTCAGCCTCCTGAGTAGCTGGGATTACAGGCACGAGCCACCATGCCCAGCTAATTTTTTGTATTTTTAGTAGAGATGGGGTTTCACCATGTTGACCAGGATGGTCTCGATCTCTTGACCTCGTGGTCCACCGGCCTCGGCCTCCCAAAGTGCTGGGATTACAGGCTTGAGCCACCGCGCCTGGCCTCTATATTTTTCTAATAAAGAGTTTTTGTTGATCATTTCAAAATGAAATTTTAGATAATCCTACTGGTTACATATTTAATTTATAAACCATATTTTAAGATAATTCTTAGTTGGGAATGTGTACATTTAATGTAAACTTTATTTATTTGTCTATTTTTGGCCATCTTGGAAAGGCTTTATTTCTACTTCATCACGGTCTCATACAGACTCAGAGGTACCATCATGTGTTCCCATTTGGTATCCTCGTGACTTTTTGTAGTGTTTTCCCTTAAGAGTAAACTCTGTATGTTGCCAGTTAATCTTTTAACAGTAATTTTAAAATGTTGCTGCTATTGTATCATTGATGCAAGAAGACTAACAATAAAAGTACAGTACAAGGAAATTCACAACATATTACAGTATAGCAGACTGAGTCACATTTTGACGAGGACACAGTAGCAGTATATACATGCACCTGAAGACGTGCAAGCCGAGTAGGATAATATATGGATCATACAGCAAATTTTCTAAACCCCCTGAGGACTTTGTGTCTTTTCACAAATGTCCTGCATACCCTCCAGTTTACAGAATATCTGTCTTGCCTACTGGCTTCCTGGCTAATGTAAACTTTAGAAACTATATTATAGGGTTTGTTTTTCCTGTAGTACACATTTTGTTTTTTTTTCCTTTTTATTTTAAATATTTAGACTTCATTGTGTTTAATGATTTCTCTACATCTTGTCAATTTCTTTGTTTTCCTCTCTCATTTTAAAATAAATGAGTTTAGTTCTTGCTTTCTGAAAACAATCTAATTGAGATTCTCATTCATTTTTCTCTTGGGCTGCTTACCTAGGGGAATATTCTGGTGTGTATGATTTTGAATATTTTAATATTACTGCTTTTAAGCTAGGTGTTCTTGGCTGCTGTTCTCATCTAATGCTTTCTCATCATTTTTTTCTGCACAGCTGTTTTTTTGCCTTTCATATATTCTCAGCTTTCATGCTTATCTAAGTGCTTGAGAGTTGATAGCAAACATAGTTATCATATAAAGTTTTAAACCAGTCTAGACTCTTATTTCTTCTGTCTCTGTAGCTTTATTACAAAGTTGACATTCCAGCCATTGTATCTACAAAGGAAAAAAAAGGTAGTATTTAAAGCAAATACGTTGCCAAAGATCATTTTGGAGTTAGAATTTGGAAACTTTTTTGTGATTTTTGTTTTGTTTGGTTTGGTTTCAGTGTGTGAATAATACATAGGGAGATGATTAAGTAAGCTACTATTTCTGATATTTAATTCTTCCTGATGTAAGTACCCTGATCTTTGAGAAAATTAGAATATAGACAAAATATGAGTCCATGTGCACAGAATTTGTAGCATTCCTAGGTTGGCTGTATTTGTTTTAAGTAATTTTTAAATCATTTGGAAAATTGCCTTTTTTTAAAATAAAGGGACATGTTAACTCCTTTGTCTTATGTAGTTTTCTTTAGAAATATTTCTTTCCTGGCCGGGCGCGGTGGCTCAAGCCTGTAATCCCAGCACTTTGGGAGGCCGAGGCGGGTGGATCACAAGGTCAAGAGATCGAGACCATCTTGGTCAACATGGTGAAACCCCGTCTCTACTAAAAATACAAAAAAAATAGCTGGGCATGGTGGTGCGTGCCTGTAATCCCAGCTACTCAGGAGGCTGAGGCAGGAGAATTGCCTGAACCCAGGAGGCGGAGGTTGCGGTGAGCCGAGATCGCGCCATTGCACTCCAGCCTGGGTAACAAGAGCGAAACTCCGTCTCAAAAAAAAAAAAAGAAATATTTCTTTCCTGTTTACTTGGGTTATGAATATTACTTCTTCCATTGTATATGATTTTCCAACATTATTAGCTTGCAATTCCTTGAGATGAGTGAGTGGTGGGTTTCTTTGTTTTGTTTTGCTTTGATTTTCTGTTTTTTGAGTGATATTCCCTAGTGATATTCCCTAGTGTGTTATTTCATTTTTTCAGTTTCTTATGAGAAGCAAATTAATAGCTTTCTTCTCCGTAAAGACCACTCCACTGGATCTTGGATTAGATGCTCTACATGCCTATCTTACACTAGTCATTAAAATGGCAAACATGATCAAAAACAGCCACTCAAATGATAACTGAACATTATTATTTCATAGGTGGCACTTTGAAGGAAAGTTTGTATTACCGATTGAAGATTTTCAATCTAACTATATTCAATTTTTTTTGTGAGGAATAATTGGTAAATCATTTTTTAGGTATACCAGAGAGCATCCTTATGAACGAAGGAAATCATCTTTATTTCTGTCTTTTGCACATCATTATGCATTAAATCATAACATTGTGATTCCAGATGTTTTCCGTTTCATGTATAAAACTTTATAGATTAATAATCTGTTTTCATGCTGTTTCTTATGTAAAACATTTCTTGTTCTTTGTTTTTGCTTTACATGGAATGCATGGGCTTTAAGACCATAATTTCTTTGGTAAGGTTTCATCTGCCTTGGGGTTCTGTCTTTCTTTGGCCTTGTTTCTACCTATTCTCTATTAATAAGGTCTAATTTTTAGGCAAAAGCCTACAAGATCAGCTGTGATTTAGAAACAATTTCGATTCATATTAATGCTTTTGTTTTTTCCCCTAAGTAATGTTGGAATGTTAGAATATTTGGTAGAAAAGTCTTGATCCTTTTGAAATATTATCTGAGAAATGAAATATAGACTAACAGATAATAAAAATTGGCCACAGTTTCTAGCAAGCCAACCAGATTTAAAAAAGAAATTGGCCAACAAAATCTTTAGCTTTGTTTGTAATGAATAATTATTTATAATTTTATAATCTATTAAAGTAGATAAATCAATTGAAATTATAGACAAAATAAGATTAATAAAGGACAGATAAAATTTCTAAGATAAAATTTGTAACTATAGCTTATATTTTGAATGTATATAATTATCGATACATCTGTTTTTAAAGTCTTTATCTTTTTTCTTTTGATAGGAATGGGTCGGGAAGTTGAGAATCTTATATTAGAAAATACACAACTGTTGGAAACCAAGTAAGTATATGTGCAGTTTTAGCAACAGGAGATAAAGAATTTTCTTCTTGTCTGAGTCAATGACACTTCATCATTTTAACATAATACTAATGGAATCTCCCTGTCCCATCTCATTCCCTTTCTCTAAGTGTACACACATATGCACACACACACACACACACACACACACACACGTAGTGTTGGGACCTACGTTGCCCTGAATCTTCCTGTCCCATCTTGTTCCCTTCCTCTGAGTGTACACACACATACTCACACACACTGTTGGCACCTACATTGCCCTGATGGATATGTTTCCTTGCTCTGTTTTTTTTGTAGAAACATTTTCATCTCCTTTTCACTCTATAAGTATCCATGCCTTTTTCTTAATCTTCTGGATCTGTCCTTGTTTTACACTTTTTTTGCTCCCTTCCTGACATTTGTGTATTTTCTTATGTCTTCTCCTAGGGTTTCTTTTATTTCTACACAGATGTTTTGATGTATACTCAGCCTTCCTCTTCAGAGCTGTCTTTCATAGCTGTCCATTATTGGGTACAATTTGTGGAGTCTTGAGCCCTCAGGCACATTTAGAGGACAGATGCCCAGTCATGTGGAAAAGCAGACTGGGTTCCTTTGTCAGTTTGCTGTGTCAGAGCAACTTCGAAACATCTGTATATATCCAAGACAGAATGGAGTTATAATAAGGTCCTATGCACACTATACCCAAAGAAATCAGATCTCAGATTTTTTTCTTCAGTTTAGACTGTCTTGACTTTCCAATTTAGACTGTTTTCTCATTATTTATTAAAAGTAACATCAGTGAATAATTTTACTTTATTGATTGGGTAATGTATTCTCAGGAATTATAATAATAGTAACCTTATAAATACTATTTTTAAAATTTAATCTTTCCACTTTTTAGTAATTGATGGTCTGTCTTGTTTTATTCATTTGATATATGAGAAGAGTAAAACCTTAGACTATTTCTTTGTGTTCTTTTTGCATTTATCTACAAACAACATCAGGTAGAATGTCTTGAAGTATTAAATTATTTATCTTTATGGTTGTACAGTTATTTTAGTCTACAAAGGAATAGCTGAAAAATGGAAAGAATATTTACTTGTAATGATGCACTTGAAATGCGTGTTTCTTAGAAATGCTTTGAACATAGTGAAGAATGATTTGATAGCAAAAGTGGATGAACTGACCTGTGAGAAAGATGTGCTGCAAGGGGAACTGGAGGCTGTGAAACAAGCCAAACTGAAGCTAGAGGAAAAGAACAAAGAATTGGAGGAAGAGCTTAGGAAGTAAGTTTTAACCATGTTGTTCTAAACCAAACTCTTGGCCAGTTATGCCACAAAGGGTTACACATGTAACCCTGAGACTGAGACCTTCTGTCCACTCAAGCCTGGAAGGCCAAGAACTGCCTGGGAGAGGGCGAAGCGCTCCAGCCCATTTTCTGTGAGCAGGCCCTACCCGTTACTAGCCTGTCATCTAAATATTGTCATTTTTTATGTCTATGATGATGTAAATAGATAGAAACTGTTCAAACATCTTTGTTTTGACAATAAGGAAAGTTTTGTATCACGCTTTCTTTAATAATTGTTTATTTTTGAAAACAATGCTATGATATAATGACACTCCACCAGATGAAGGTGGCTAAATACCCTGTTTGGGAAAAGAAAGAAAATCCTTTAGTGGTAGTTAAAATTGTTGACCTACTCTCTGTCTCTTTTTTTTTTTTTTTTTTAAAGATGAGCTCAATTCAAATAACATGTTTGGTTTTTTTCCCCCCACCAGAGCTCGGGCAGAAGCTGAAGATGCAAGGCAAAAAGCAAAAGATGACGATGATGTAGGTTTACAGTTTTGGACTTCTTTTCTTACCTTACCGTGTTTTGGTATTTCAGGAAGATCTTTCTAAGTAAGCTTTGGATATAATACTGTAAAGATTTTTAACCGTCAGGACTTATGTTTATGGTCATGAATAGGATAGCTAATGCTTCTACATGGTATCCAGATGGCTGAAATTTCTAGCTCCATGCATTGTGCTCATTTTCCCTCTGTGGCTCTGTGCTCTTACCTGTATTTGCATGTTCAAGTTTAAGGACCAATTGGGACATTTTGGGGTTTTTCGTTGTTGTTGCTGTTTTGTTTCAAATTTTGATTTAGAAATATGAAAGCTTAATAATAAAAATTATTTAATAGTATTGAATAAAAAGATGAAGTCTAGAATTTTAGTACTAGCCAATTAGTTCATATTGTTGTGAACATACATAAGTATAAAATAAATATGAGCTTCTTGCTAATATCTTTAGCATACTCCTAATCTTTTTGTTGTTGTTTTTTGTTTTTTTGGAGATAGAGTCTCAGTTTGTCTTCCAGGCTGGATTGCAGTGGCACGATCTCAGCTGACTATAACCCTTACCTCCTGGGTTCCAGCCATTCTTGTGCCTCAGCCTCCTGAGGAGCTGGGACTACAAGTCTAGTTGGCTAATTTTTTGTATTTTTGGTAGAGACGGGGTTTTGCCATGTTGGCCAGGCTAGTCTCTAACTCCTGGCTTCAGGTAATCCACCCCATCAGCTTCCCACACAGTACTGGGATTACAGGTGTAAGCCACGAAGTATAGCCTCATAATCATTCTTGTAACAGATGTTTGCAGGTCAAAGGTCAAACTTAAGATATACGGTTGTTTTGGACAGAATGATCATTTGGTGCCCCTTTAGTCTCTGTTTTTTAGTATCTTATTTAATGATAACAAAAACATGTAAGATATGCAGGTTATGAATCATAATAGATTAACATTGTGAGCTTACCACCTAATCTGATAATTAGAATATTACTCAACATTGAACTATTCTGTGTTCCTCCCCTGCAGAGAAAACTACTATCCTATATTTATCATTTGTTTAACTTAAAAAAAGTAATTTTATCATACTACATATGTTTATATGGCTTAGTTTTTACTGTTTTTGTATTTCATACTATATTTAGTCTTGGCAATGTGCTGTTTTTCCTCAGTGGCATGTTTTTGAGATTCATCTGTGTTGTAGTATAGTGCTGTAGTTATCATTCATGTTCACTACTTTGTGATACCTTATTGAATGAATAGTTTACAATTTATGTACCTATTTTCCTGTGAAGGAATATTTAGTTTGTCTCAGCTTTTTACAATGCTGTTGTTACAAACATTACAGTACAAGTCTCCAGGTGGGCAGGAGCAGTAGCTTTTCCAGAGTACCTACCTAGTAGTGGGCTTGCTGTGTTGCAAACTCAAGATCTTTATCATTTGTTATTTAACTTTTATAGAGAGTCCCAAGTTCTGTAACAGAACAACAAAGGAGGACTGCTAAGGGCTAAGGTTAGCCTCTTTCTTACTGTCCCAAACCTTTCAGCTTTGATCCAAAATGTGGATAATGAAAGCCCTATAGGACGTTGAATTGAGCCGTGCTCCTTTGAGGTCTTACCCTTATGCTTACTCTATATTCACACACTTTATTCTCTCTAAGAGTAATTCTGGTGAATATGATTGTTGCACTTTGGTTGGTATTTTAGCAGCTCTTATAGTTGGGTACCTTGGTAACTAGGCAGTAAGTTTACCCTTAATGCTGGCCTCAGGTGGTATGTGGTTTTGTAATTTGAGATAAATGAATCTCTTTTAGACCTAACTTATAATAATTGTTACAGAGCCTGAATTTAAATAATGTTAGAGCAACATTTTTAGGTGAAACTTACAATAGCATATTAAATCTCTATAGATAACAATTTTGGTTTTAGCTTAAAATCTGTAGTATATTTTATTTTATTTTTTTAGTATTATTACTATTTTTTTTTTTTTTTTGAGACGGAGTTTCGCTCTTGTTACCCAGGCTGGAGTGCAATGGCGTGACCTCGGCTCACGGCAACCTCCGCCTCCTGGGCTCAGGCAATTCTCCTGCCTCAGCCTCCTGTATTATTACTATTTTTTAGAGATGAAGTCTTACTCTGTCACCGAGGCTGGAGTACAGTGACACTTACAGCTCACTACAGCCTTGATCTCCTGGGCTCAGGTGATTCTCCTACCTCAGCCTCCCAAGTAGCTGGGACTGCATGTGCATGTCACCCTACCTGGCTATTAATTGAATTCTATTTTTTGTAGAGCCAGGGTCTCACTATGTTGTGTAGGCTGGTCTTGAACTCTTGGCCTCAAGCAGTTATGGGCATGTTGGTGTGTACCTGTAGTCCAAGCTACTCAAGAGACAGGTGGGAGGATTGCTTGAGTCCAGAATTTGGAGGCTGCAGTTAGCTATGATTTCACCACTGCACTCCAGAGTGGGCAACATAATTAAGACCCTGTGTCAAAAACTATATTTTAACAAGTCATTTAAAAAATAAATCTCCCTGTTGATTTTGTTTGTATAAGGGCATTTTTCTTTAAATGATCTATTAGATTATAAATTAAGGAATGTTTTAAAATGTAAAGATTTTGCGTAACTCTGAGTTGAACACCAAGACATATATAAGCTTCCAGAATGATCTGTCATTTTCTTGTCATTATAGAGTGATATTCCCACAGCCCAGAGGAAACGGTTTACTAGAGTAGAAATGGCCCGTGTTCTCATGGAGCGAAACCAGTATAAAGAGAGATTGATGGAGCTTCAGGAAGCTGTTCGATGGACAGAGATGATTCGGTTTGTATAAGAACTTCATTATTTTCCTAGGGTTATTTTATAGGTTCAAATATTCCTTCATTTGGAACTAAAGTCCTGCCCTGTGAGATCTAACCCCTTTCTCTGTTTACTAGGAGAGACTTTCTAAAGTAACACTCAGAATTAGTAAGAGAATGTGATCAAAGGATGTGCTTTTTGGGCTAGCAAGGGATCTTGGAGGATGTTACCATGACCTCTAAAAGGCAATTATTATTACTTAGGAATGATGGTCATTTTTTGAGTATAGAAATCGATACTACTTTCCTGGTAATGTCAGGAAAAGATCAAAATTTCATATGCAACACAGAAAAAGAAATTATTTTGACTCAGGGTCTTTCTGTGAAATACTCTTGCTTGATTTCTTTCCCTCTTTTCTAACTGTTCGTGCAAAGTACACCCTTCCATTGGTATCTTTTAGTCAGTTGGATCTTAAATCTCCCCTAATGCTGCCATCTAATGGTCATAGTCTCAGTAATAGTGTTTCTTAAATTTAGAAAGAGCCCCTGAAAAGTTTGTAATGAGGGGATAGATTTGCCCCCTAATTTACCCATATTTTTGAGTTTGGATTGTGATATCAGATTTACCAATAATAGTATACATTGACATGTTGTTTTAAGTTTATGAACACATTCTCTAATTGCCAACTTTTACTTCCTTTTGATTACATCATTTATTTCACAGTTTATATGCCCTTTACCAATGTCATAGTGAAATGAAGTGTTTTGTGTAACATATTATTTTACAATTTGCTGTAATTGTAATTGCTTATAACTGCCCATAAGGAGGATCAGTATTCCAGTCTATATTTATTGGACAAGGAAACTAACCACTAAGAAGTGTGTTCTTAACTGCAGTGTTTAGTGGATATCAAATAAATAATAAGTAAATATTTTAAAAACTGCAGGTGGACTTCACTTTTCTATTTATTTATTTATTGAGATGGAGTCTTGCTCTGTTGCCCAGGCTGGAGTGCAGTGGTGTGATCTCAGCTCACTGCAACCCCCACCCACTGAGTTCAAGCAGTTCTCCTGCTTCAGCCTCTCTAGTAGCTGGGTTTACAGGTGTGCGTTACCATGCCCAGCTAATTTTTGTGTTTTTAGTAGAGACAGGGTTTCATCATGTTGGCCAGGCTGGTCTTGAACTCCTGACCTGAAGTGAGCTGCCCACCTCAGCCTCCCAAAGTGCTGGGATTACAGGGATGAGCCACTGTGCCTGGCCAGACTTCACTTTTCATTTCTGTTTTTAACTCTAGCAGCCAAGTGGTAGTCAGCAAGTCGAAGGTAATAGTAGCTTACTTTTAGCTTCTTCACTGAATTAAAGAATGTTGTTAATTTAGTTCGTTAAAAAAAAGTAGTGAAAAGGGAGCTCTGATTATGATATCAGAATCCCTACCACCTTATAAATCAATTTGGAATGTCTTATTTTCTGAAATTGTGTTGAATTACCTGTCAATCCAGTTTATCTTCTTCTCTGTTGTGGTCATCTTTTCAGTGATGGAAAAGTTTATATAGTCTTGTGAAAAATGGTCCCTCATTTGAAAACTGCTAAAGTTTCAAGCTATTTTGTGACAGCTGTGAGTACAGACGATAGAGACTTTTATGTAAAGGTGGGAATTTACAAGGCAATATTTTAATAAAAAGGAAAGAGGGTATCTTTTCAATAAAAATTTTAAAATATTATTCAGGCATGTTTGTTATCTGTCTAGCACTTACTACAATCCTCTCGGTAGATTAAGCTCTTTGAGAGAGGGATGATATTTTATTTCTCTTCGTAGAATTACTTTTAGCAGATTGACTGACACATGGTAGATCAAGGTAACTACAGTATTTATTGAATTTAATTGTTGACTCTCCTCTGTGAATCCCATGAACTTCTTGGATCTCTCGTTCTTCAGAAAGAAAGGCAGGATACCTCACTGATAACATATTTTTCTTTTCTTTTTGAATGTAGGGCATCACGAGAAAATCCAGCCATGCAGGAAAAAAAAAGGTCAAGCATTTGGCAGTTGTAAGTATCAAAAATAAAGATTTAGACAGACAGCACTTTGAAACAAGATAATTACAGTCAAAATTTATTTCCAAGAATGATTTTATGTCAGTTTTCGTTCCTTCATTTTTTTTTTTTTTTGAGACGGAGTTTCGCTCTTGTTACCCAGGCTGGAGTGCAATGGCGCGATCTCGGCTCACCGCAACCTCCACCTCCTGGGGTCAGGCAATTCTCCTGCCTCAGCCTCCTGAGTAGCTGGGATTACAGGCACGCACCACCATGCCCAGCTAATTTTTTGTATTTTTGGTAGAGACGGGGTTTCACCATGTTGACCAGGATGGTCTCGATCTCTCAACCTTGTGATCCACCCGCCTCGGCCTCCCAAAGTGCTGGGATTACAGGCTTGAGCCACCGCGCCCGGCCCTTCATTTTTTTTTAAACTGTGGGTAAGGGTTAAGTAGCAAAACTGAACTTTTTTTTTTTTTTTTAAATATATAGTGTGCCAACTCGGTAAGGCTGTTCTCAGGGACAAAAAATATGGTATTGTAAGCTGCATCATGTTGCTTATGCGTTTGTGCAATCCTCTGCCAAATTAAAATAATGGGGAATTATTCATAGACTTGATAATGACCTGGATCCCCATTAAGTAAGTTTCTGATTGGCTGGTTTTGTGATTGTAAGAAACTTGACAAAGTGAAGATGAGAAAGTGAGTGCTTGTAGGGTTTGAGTAGTATTGTGTATGTATTGGGCTTGAAGTATGTTTGTGCCAGAAGTACTATGTGTTTACTGTGATTAAAACTTAACCTTTTTTTGGTGAATCTGCTGTTTAATGGAAGTGTCAATTTTTTAAAAAATTGACCTGAAAGTAGTTATTTAAATTGAGCTTAATCAGAAAATGTATAAGATGTTTGTTAACATGATAATATGTGTTCTAGTACTGGATTATAATAAGCTATTTTTAGTACTAGCATACTAAGCTTCTGTTCACATCACGAAGCCATAACCTTGCTGTTTAACAATCATTTTTACCTTGCACCAAGAAGGAGCTAGCAAAAAAACTAATTTATATTATTTATTCAGTAGGGAATGTTTCCTCTACTTAAGAGCTTCTTGTTTTCATTATGGAAATTGCTAGTTAAGGAACAGGCACTGCAATTCTTTTTTTTTTTTTTTTTTTTTTTGAGACAGAGTTTCGCTCTTGTTACCCAGGCTGGAGTGCAATGGCACGATCTCGGCTCACCGCAACCTCCGCCTTCTGGGCTCAGGCAATTCTCCTGCCTCAGCCTCCTGAGTAGCTGGGATTACAGGCACGCACCACCACGCCCAGCTAGTTTTTTGTATTTTTAGTAGAGATGGGGTTTCACCATGTTGACCAGGATGGTCTTGATCTCTCAACCTCGTGATCCACCCGCCTCGGCCTCCCAAAGTGCTGGGATTACAGGCTTGAGCCACCGCGCCCGGCCCAGGCACTGCAATTCTAAGCAATAGTTTCTCTTCCCTGAATGTCTGAGTTTGGCCATCAGTTACTGCTAAGGCTGCATCGTGTGACTACAAAATTTTTTTTTTTGCCAATTTCTAACTCATTGCTTTGTAAAAGTGCTCTGAAATTTTCTCAGCATAAAAGTTTGTGGAAAGTCAAGGATTGTTCCTCACACTACATGTGACACACAGACACATTTTCTTCTTTTAGTTTCAGCCGACTTTTCAGCTCCTCAAGTAATACGACTAAGAAGCCTGAACCACCTGTTAATCTGAAGTACAATGCACCCACCTCTCATGTTACTCCTTCTGTCAAGAAAAGAAGCAGCACCTTATCTCAGCTCCCTGGGGATAAGTCCAAAGCCTTTGATTTCCTTAGTGAAGAGTAAGTATTTTCCAGATTAATGGTTATGTTCTAAATAAGTTAATAGTTCAGAATATTCTTGGCTTAGCTATAAGGATAATATTCTCTTATTAGCTATAAGGATTCAGCTAAATCTATAAAAAGTCATTTCTGTAACTTGGCTGCCTTCAAGTAAATTACTCGTAGTTAATGGTTTTTATGAAAATTGCATTTCAGTTTTTATGAAAGAGAAGGAACTTTTTAAAATGCCTCATTTTGGCTAGTATGATAACATTGATAGATACTTGTTAATAGACATGTTAAAGGTGTTTAGAGATAAATGGGAATTTATCCTAAATGTTTGAACATTTCTGTTGGTGACAAAGGACCTGGTTTTTTATCCTGACTTTACTACTCATTAGGTACAAACAGTTGGGCAAATTAACCTATCAGCCCCCAGTTTCTTTGTCTGTAAAATTAATCTGATAACCTGTCTCAAAAGTGTTTACATCCAATTATACAGTTATCTGTAAAGTATCTGACATATAGGTAGATTTGTTAACTGTGGTATATATACATAGCAAGTTATCTTACGAAAATTTTAATGGCCAAAAGAATGGCAAATTATTTTCAGAATCCTTTTAATGATATTTTACCTTGTAACTCCAAAGTTTGCCAAGTCAGTTTGCATTTTTATCTTCTGAAACAAGTTAACGAGATATAAAATCTAACCTATATTAATCTTCCTAAGCAGATATTGATTTACTTAATTTTTAAATCACTTCTAGCACTTTTTCTAGCATTAGGATATTCTCAGTAAATATTTCTTGAATGAACAACAACAGCAAAAAGTCAAAAATACTTAAGAATTTTCCCCTTTCATATGGCCAGCATCTGAAACCGGCTAGAAATTTGGTGGCTGATTATTCAATTTAATATAACAAAGCTGCTTGCTAACCTTTTAAAGCTTAGGCACTGAATTCACTGCACAAACTTAAAAAGGCCAGCTTTAGTATAACCCCCTTTTAAAAAAATTTTTTTTGAGACAGTTTTGCTCTTGTCACTCAGGCTGGAGTGCAATGGCTCGATCTTGGCTCATTGCCAACCTCCACCACCCAAGTTCAAGCAATTCTCCTGCCTCAGCCTCCTGAGTAGCTGGGATTACAAGTATGTGCCACCATGCCCAGCTAATTTTTGTATTTTTAGTAGGGACTGAGTCTCACCGTGTTGGCCAGGCTGGTCTCGAACTCCTGACCTCAGGTGATCCACCCACCTCTGTCTCCCAAAGTGCTGGGGTTACAGACATGAGTCACCATACCCAGCCTAGTATAACACTTTTTAAGGAGCTGTGATAGTTGGAATAAACTAATTTGAAATCATCCTTTTTGTTTTTGCTGTTTTAGTGACAGAGGAGAGATAAAACTCTTGTTGTATTCACTTAATTAAAAAGGGAAATCTTTTTTCCTTTTAGAACTGAAGCTAGTTTAGCCTCACGCAGAGAACAAAAAAGAGAGCAGTATCGTCAGGTAAAAGCACATGTTCAGAAGGAAGATGGTAGAGTACAGGCATTTGGCTGGAGTCTGCCTCAGAAGTACAAACAGGTAATAATGTGTGTGTGGTAAGAGGATCCAGCAAGAAATAACGGGGTGAGATGAGTGTGCCTGGGCGTGAAGGATTCACCGTATACATCCCCGTTCTGCTTATATCAGCTGCGTGGACTGGGCACACATTTAAGCATGGGGGGTGGTGGTTTTCAGGCTGTTTTCTAGAGCTGTAGAACTCAAATGAAATGCTCTGAGTCTGTGAGGAGAGGAGGAGTCAATAAAGGGTGGCTAAGTGCATGGAGTTTGAGGTATCCATTCTGCTCTAACCAGAGCAATTCTGGTTTAATATTTGAAGATTTCATTTTTTAAAAAACCAGCATCATTGTTTAAAAAATCACTGACATGGAACTTTTCAAACTGTTCATTTAAAATTAAGTTCAAGTCTTCAGGAACTTTATCTGTCTACGCCATAATTCCTACACCCAAAGGACTCACATGTTTGTGTACAAACATGTATGTGTGTGCATATGGGCACATATGTGTTAATTAGAGCTGCTTTTTGAGCTCCCATTGTATCCTGTTTATCGAATTGCTCAACTTGATTTTTCTGGTCTTTGAATGAGAATGGCAAAATTGGCCGATGCAGTTGCTCATGTCTGTACTCCTAGCACTTTGGGAGGCCAAGGTGGGAGAATGGCTTGAGCTTAGGGAATTCGAGACCAGCCTGGGCAACACAGCATGACCTTGCCTTCTCAAAAAAATATAAAAAATTACCTGGGTGTGGTGACACTTTTCTGTCGTCCCAGCTACCTGGGAGGCTGAGGTGGGAGTGGACGGCTTAAGCCCAGCAGGTTGAGGCTGCAGTGAGCTGTGATCGAGCCACTGTACTCCAGCCTGGGCAGTAAAGCAACCCTCTCCCTCCGCACCCCCCCGCACCCCCAAAAAAGGGAAGAAAGAAAGAAGCAAAATCAACTTGAACTTGATTTCAAGGAGTAAACAACAGCAGTGCTTGGCCATGTTTCAGTGGATCTGTAAGAAAGTCACTTTTGATGAGGTTTACTAATGTGCCTTTTTCTCTCCTCCTTCCACAATTATTAGGTAACCAATGGTCAAGGCGAAAATAAGATGAAAAATTTACCTGTGCCTGTCTATCTCAGACCTCTAGATGAAAAAGATACATCAATGAAGGTAAGTTCATTGTGAAGTTAAAGGAGATATTTCCTAAACTCTGGGTAGTTTTTTTTTTTCTAAAACCAAAAAAGTCTAAGGGTTACTTCTATGGTGGTGTTATTGTTCATTTTATAATTTTAGACTGTATTAAAGACCTGTATTTACAATATCAGTTCTTTAAAAAAAAAAAAAGATGAGAAATTCTAAACACATCTAGACTTAATATTCTTTTCTTTTTCACCTGAGAAGCTGTGGTGTGCTGTTGGAGTCAATTTATCTGGTGGGAAGACCAGAGATGGTGGTTCTGTTGTTGGAGCAAGTGTATTTTACAAGGATGTTGCTGGTTTGGATACAGAAGGCAGTGAACAACGAAGTGCCTCTCAGAGTAGTTTAGATAAGTTAGATCAGGAACTGAAGGTAAGTGTATGTACTAACATTTGACCCGGTTTATGAGACTATTTGTTTAATGCTTTCATCTAAAATTCACCTCTGGGTCCAGCTTCTAACTGGGATTACTATGCCCTGGCTTACTGTCCCTCAGCACTCCTTTAAAATCAATTTTATTAAGGTATAATTTACATGCAAAAAAGTGTGCACTTGAAATGGGTATAGGTCAGAGTTGTGACAAATCTATACACCTGTGTAATCACTCCAGTGAACAAGATAATAGAAGAGTTTATCATTGTTCTGCTTTACCTGTTAGGTTTTTTGTTGTTTTGTTTAGAGACAGAGTCTCGCTCTGTCACACATGCTGGAGTGCAGTGGCGTGATCATGGTTCACTGCAGTCTTAACCTCCTGGGTTCAAGTGATCCGTCCACCTTAGCCACTCAAGTAGCTGGGACTACACACCCACACCACCACACCTGGCTAATTCTTTTATTTTTTGTAGAGATGAGGGTTTCACTATGTTGACCAGGCTAGTCTGAAACTCCTGGCCTCAAGGAATCCTCCCACCTCAGCCTCCCAAAGTGCTGGGATTACAAATGGGAGCCACTGTGCCAGCCTAACTGCTAGTTTTTCATCTGCTAAATAATATTGAGAGGTGGTTGTTTTAGTCCGTATTCACACTGCTGATAAAGACATACCCGAGAGTGGGAAGGAAAAAGAGGTTTAATTGGATTTACAATTCCACATGGCTGAGGAGGCCTCAGAATCATGGCAGGAGGTGAAAGGCACTTCTTATGTGATGGCAGCAAGAGAAAATGAAGAAGATACAAAAGCGAAAAGCCCTGATAAACTCATGAGTTCTCATGAGACTTACTCACGAGACAAGAATATCATGGGAGGCCGGGCGTGGTGGCTCAAGCCTGTAATCCCAGCACTTTGGGAGGCTGAGGCGGGTGGATCACGAGGTCGAGAGATCGAGACCATCCTGGTCAACATGGTGAAACCCCGTCTCTACTAAAAATACAAAAAAATTAGTTGGGCATGGTGGCTCATGCCTGTAATCCCAGCTACTCAGGAGGCTGAGGCAGGAGAATTGCCTGAACCCAGGAGGTGGAGGTTGCGGTGAGCCGAGATCGTGCCATTGCACTCCAGCCTGGGTAACAAGAGTGAAACTCCGTCTCAAAAAAAAAAAAGAATATCATGGGAAAGACCACCTCCCATGATTCAATTACCACCCCCTGGGTCCTTGTCACAACACATGGGAATTCTCAGAGATACAATTCAAGTTGAGATTTGGGTGGGGACACAGCCAAATCATATCAGTGGTTGTATTTTTACCCTTCCAAATAATCTGAAAATAAATTTGAAATAGTATTGCCTTTTACTGTAATAGCACCACCTTATGAATATTTGCACATACGTATCATTTTAAACATTTTCCATCCTTGTCTATATAGGAACAGCAGAAGGAGTTAAAAAATCAAGAAGAATTATCCAGTTTAGTCTGGATCTGTACCAGCACTCATTCGGCTACAAAAGTTCTTATTATTGATGCTGTTCAACCTGGCAACATCCTAGACAGTTTCACTGTTTGCAACTCTCATGTTCTATGCATTGCAAGTGTGCCAGGTAAGAGTGAGTCATGAGTTTCTCTGCCCTCCCCTCCATCCACACCATCTACCTGCTGGGCACTGATGTGGTAGCTGAAGATGCAGTTCTGTACCTTGCTGTCATAAAGCTTATGCTCCAGTTGGGGAAGATTAAAAAACAAACTGGAAACCATTGAATAAAGGAGATATTTTTAGGTAGTGAAAAATACTGTGAATAAAATAAAATGATGGTAATAAGAGAAGATAACTGGGAGCCAGAGGACTATTTGGATTAATTAATAAGGAAAGGCCTTCTAAAGTTTTGGATTAAACATTATGTGATGTTAAAACATTAGTTTAAAAATTAAAGAGGTGTGTGTGATATATCCATACGTTGGAATATTATTAAGCCACAAAAAGGAATGAAGTTCTTTTTAATGTTTTATTTTTTTGTTGTGGTAAGAACACTTAATATGAGATCTACCCGCGCCCCCCACCCCGGCCTCCACCCTTTTTCTTTTAGACAGAGTCTCACTCTCTTGCCCAGGCTGGAGTGCAGCAGCACAATCTCAGGTTACTGCAACCTCCACCTCCTAGGTTCAAGTGATTCTCCTGCCTCAGCCTCCCAAGTAGCTGGGATTACAGGTGCCTACCATCATGCCTGGTTAAATTTTTGTATTTTTACTGAAGATGGGGTTTCACCGTGTTGGTCAGGCTAGTCTTGGAACTCCTGACCTAAAGTGATCTGCCCGCCTCGGCCTCCCAAAGTGCTGGGATTACTGGCGTGAGCCACTGTGCCCAGGCTGAGATCTACCCTCTTAACACATTTCTGTTTTTGTTTTTTGAGACAGCATCTCACTCTGTTGCCCAGGCTGGAGTGCAGTAGTGCAGTCACAGCTCATTGCAGCCACGACCTCCCGGGCTCAGGTGATTCTCCCAACTCAGCCTCCTGAGTAACTGGGACCACAGGCACATACCACCATACCTGACGAAGTTTTTTATACTTTTTGTAGACAGGTTTTCATGATGTTGCCCAGGCTGGTCTCGAAGTCCTGGGCTCAAAAGATCTGCCTGCCTTGGCCTTCCAAAGTACTGGGATGCCCAGTCCTCTTAATAAATTTTTAAGTATACAGTATGTTATACTATAGGTAGAAGTTCTCACACATGCTGTAACACAGAAGAACCTTGGAAATGCTATGCCAAAGGAAATAAGCCAGACACGAAAGGACAAATATTGTATGATTCCACTTACATAAGATATCTAGAACAGACAAATTCATAGAGACAAATTTGTTAGAGGTTACTAGGGGCTGGAGTGAGGGAGATAAAAATGGGGGGTTATTGTTTAGTGGGTAGAGTTTCTGTGTGAGATGATGGAAAGCTTTAGAAATAGGCCAGGCATGAAGGTTCATACTCATAATCCTAGCACTTTCAGAGGCCAAGGTGGGACGATTGCTTGAGCCCAGAAGTTCAAGACCAATCTGGGCAATATAGCAAGGCCTCATCTCCACAAAACAGCAACAAATGAGGCAGGAGGAGAGCTGAGGCTGAGAGGTCGAGGCTGCGATGGCTGTGATTGCACCACTATACTCTGACCTGGGCAATGGGAGTAAGACCCTTTCTTTCTTTTTTTTTTTTTGAGACGGAGTTTCGCTCTTGTTACCCAGGCTGGAGTACAATGGCACAGTCTCTGCTCAATGCAACCTCCGCCTCCCAAGTTCAAGCAATTCTCCTGCCTCAGCCTCCCAAGTAGCTGGAATTAAGGGGGCCTAGCACCATGCCCAGCTTATATTTTTAGCAGTTTTTTAAAAACTTTTGTTACAGTACATATATATATATATATATATATATATATATATATATAAACAAAATTTGCACTTTAACCATTTAAAAGTGTGTAATTCACTGGCATTAATATTTACAGTATTGTATAGCCATCACCACTATTTTCTTTTTCAGACAGACTTTCCCTCTTATTGCCCAGGTTGGAGTACAATGGCACGATCTCGGCTCACCGCAACCTCTGCCTCCTGGGTTCAGGCAATTCTCCTGCCTCAGCCTCCTGAGTAGCTGGGATTACAGGCACGAGCCACCATGCCCAGCTAATTTTTTGTGTTTTTAGTAGAGGCGGGGTTTCACCATGTTGACCAGGATGGTCTCGATCTCTCGACCTCGTGATCCACCCGCCTCGGCCTCCCAAAGTGCTGGGATTACAAGCTTGAGCCACCGCGCCCGGCCAGACCCTTTCTTTTAAAAAAAAAAAAAAAAAAAAAAAAAAAAAAAAGGCTGGCATGGTGGCTCACGCCTGTAGTCCCAACACTTCGGAAGGCGAAGGTGAATGGATCGCCTGAGGTCAGGATTTCAAGACCAGTCTGGTCAACCTGATAAAACCTCATCTCTGCTAAAAATATAAGCTGGGCATGGTGCTAGGCCCCCTTAATTCCAGCTACTTGGGAGGCTGAGGCAGGAGAATTGCTTGAACTTGGGAGGCGGAGGTTGCATTGAGCAGAGACTGTGCCATTGTACTCCAACCTGGGCAATAAGAGGGAAAGTCTGTCTGAAAAAGAAAATAGTGGTGATGGCTATACAATACTGTAAATATTAATGCCAGTGAATTACACACTTTTAGTAAAGTGCAAATTTTGTTTATATATATATATATATATATGTACTGTAACAAAAGTTTTTAATGTGAGATAAATAAAACAATTTTCTAAATTAGATTTATTTTTGTATTATAAATATTTTACATTATATTGTAAATGCCTAGTTTTTAAGTATTTTACTAATATCTGAGTCATTGTGTATACTTGGAGTATTTAATTTTTAGCAGTAATAGAAGCTTATACTTCAAGTAGTAATCTTGATGATTTAATAGAATTTCTTGTTGGCTGGTGTCGTCAGATATAATTAGTTTGTTTTTAACCTTCTGTGGCTGCTGAGGAGCTCATTAAGAACAGAAGCTGGGTGGGCATGGTGGCTCATGCCTGTAATCCCAGCACTTTGGGAGGCTGAGGTGGGTGGATTACATGAAGCCAGGAATTCAAGACCAAGGTTGGTCAACATAGTGAAACCTGTTTCTACTAAAAATACAAAAATTAGCCGGGCGTGGTGGTTCACACCAGTAGTCCCAGCTACTCAGTAGGCTGAGGCAGGAGAATCGCTTAAACCCAGGAGATGGAGGTTGCAGTGAGCTGAGATTGCACTACTGTACTCCAGCCTGGGTGACAGAGTGAGAGTTTGTCTCAAAAAAAAAAAAAGAACAGAAGTTTCATTTCTCACATTTTCATGGTTATTTGGACTTGTGTTAATAGAAGTATTATCTTAATTTTTAAGTTACCTTCCCATATTGTGAAGATTTGATTGCATAAATTTAAGGCTACTTGTATTCAGGTAGCTCTACATCTCACCTGCATACTCTCATTTCAAACCTGTAATTATTTTAGTGAAGAAAATGTTATTTATAGAAGTTTACTTTGCTGTTACAAGAAGATTTATTTTTCAGGTGCACGAGAAACAGACTACCCTGCGGGAGAAGATCTTTCAGAATCTGGTCAGGTAGACAAAGCATCTTTATGTGGAAGCATGACAAGCAACAGCTCAGCAGAGACAGACAGTCTGTTAGGAGGCATCACGGTGGTTGGTTGTTCTGCAGAAGGTGTGACAGGAGCTGCCACTTCCCCTAGTACCAATGGTGCTTCTCCAGTGATGGAAAAACCACCAGGTATAGCCTTTTATTTTACCTGACATCTCTGTAGAGTCCAAGGCTACCCTCAGATGCCTCATTGTGGACTTAATTTAGATCTTAAAGTAACAAGGATGAAAGAACTTGAAAGAAGATGCTGTAACGACTATTAAATGGAATCAAGAATTCTCAATTTCATGATACAGTGTGAAGGAGTGGGTAGATGGAGTGGAATTCTATAACAGGGGTTTGTGTTGGGAAATAATTGGAGGAGAAAAGCCCAGTCTCAGAATAGTTAGTGTTTTATTTACTTTGTAGAAATGGAAGCAGAAAATAGTGAGGTTGATGAAAATGTTCCAACAGCAGAAGAAGCAACTGAAGCTACAGAAGGCAATGCGGGGTCAGCTGAAGACACCGTGGACATCTCTCAAACTGGAGTCTACACAGAGCATGTCTTTACAGATCCTTTGGGAGTTCAGATCCCAGAAGACCTCTCCCCAGTGTATCAGTCAAGGTATAATAATTAGTCATCAACTTAGGAAACTGGGTGAAGTGTACAAATTAAAGGAACCAAAATAATCTCAAACAGCCAAAATATTTCCACTAATTAGCGTCATTGTGGTGGACTAAAAGACACCTATTCTTGTGATATCTTCATGTATATCCTCCCCCATCATTTTGGGTAGATATTTGCCCCCATTTATTCTATACACATTCCAACTTAAAAAAAATAATTTTTCTATAAAAGTATAATGATGTATCACTCAACAGTGGGGATATGTTCTGAGAAATGTGTCATTAGGTGATTTTATGATTGTGTGAACATCATAGAGTACAATTACATGAATCTAGAGGTTATGGCCTGTTACATACCTAGGCGATATGGAATAGCCTGTTGCTCCTAGGCTAGAAACTTGTACAGCATGTTACTATACTGAATACTGTAGATAGTTGGAACAAAATGGTAAGTATTTGTGTGTATAAACATACACAAGGTATTGTAAAATATAGTAGTAGTATCTTGTGGAACCACCACCATATATGCTGTCCATCATTTTCTAAAATGTTTTTACCGGATGTATAACTATATATTAGTCAAAAATCTTCCTGTTCATTTTCTCCTCTGGTCTGATTTTTTTTTTTAATACTTTCTGTCTTCCATTCTTTTGGTAACTCTTTGTCATTTTAATCCTGTTCCTATTCTCATTTTCACTCCAGTTATCAGCAGAATTGGCCATTGTTTGAGTTTCCCACATGGGCGTGAATGACCTTTTTGAATTTAGTGTTCATGCAAAGATTTTATTAAAAAGCAGTTCAACTGGTTTCAGTGGCTCATGCCTATAATCCCAGCACTTTGGGAGGCCAAGGCAGAAGGATTGCTTGAGTCCAAGAGTTCAAGACTAGCCTGGGCAACATAGTGAGACCCGCATCTCTACAAAAAACTTAAAAGATTAGCTGGGCATGGTAGTGTGCACCTGTGGCCTCAGCTATGGTGGGAGGATTGCTTGAGCCCCGGGAGTTGGAGGCTACACTGAGTCATGATCTCACCACTGCACTGCAGCCTGGGAAACAGAGCAAGACCCTGTGTCAGAAAAGAAACAAGCAAACAAAAGAAAACAATTTGTTTTAGGCTCCTCTTTAAAGGATTGGTTAATCTAGACCCATTTAGTGAATTATTTCATTTTCTTTCCTACCTTTTCTAGATCCTCTCTAGATGAGAGTCTCTTTAGATCCTTTTTAAAGTTTAATATTCTTACTCTTAGTGTATAAAGTAAGCAAGATTAATTAATAACCCATTTATACCTAGTGGTCCATTATTGGAATGCTAAGCTTGTGGAAGTTATATCCTACTGCTCAAGGTCATCGCCAAGGTCTGATTTTTCCCAAAAAAATCTTGCAGCCTCTGGCATAAATAGGTTAATATTTAATTTTTTTTTTTTTGAGATGGAATCTCACTCTGTAGCCCAGGCTGGAGCACAGTGACACGATCTTGGCTCACTGCAACTTCTACCTCCCAGGTTCAAGTTATTTTCCTGCTTTAACCTCCCAAGTAGCTGGGATTACAGGCGTGTGCCACCACACCCAGCTAAATTTTGTATTTTTAGTAGAGACAAGGTTTCACCATGTTGGCCAGGCTGATGTCAAACTCCTGGTCTCAAGAAATACACCCACCTCGACCTCCCAAAGTGCTGGGATTACAGGCATGAGCCACTGCGTCCGGCCTGAAGTATTAATTTAAGAATAAGTCATGTTTGAATTTGATAGCCTGATTATATATCTTTTACTAAATATGCCCTGGCAATTCAAAAGAAAGTTTTTGTGATAGAATGTTAAACATATTCTAACTTATTATTTCAGATAATTGTTTATATATCTCCTTCCTTTTCTTTCTTTCTTTTTTTTTTTCCGAGAGTCTTGCTTTGTCGTCAGGTTGGAGTGCAGTGGTGCAATCTCAGCTCACTGCAACTTCCATCTTCCGAGTTCAAGCATTTCTCCTGCCTCAGCCCCCCATGTAGCTGGGACTATAGGCGTGCACCACCACGCCCAGCTAATTTTTGTATTTTAGTAGAGATAGAGTTTCACCATGTTGGCCAGGATTGTCTCGATCTCTTGACTTCGTGATTCTCCCGCCTTGGCCTCCCAAAGTGCTAGGATTACAAGCATGAGCCACCGCACCTGGACTCTCCTTCCTTTTTATATGTGTGTATCCCTCCTTTCTTTCTCACCTGAGAAGAAACTATGATAAAATCCAAAATAAGAGACAGCCATAATAATAGTCTGAATAGTAACTGCTGTATTTAGTTACCATTTCTTACTATCTTATCTGCTTCTGGGCTTCCATAACAATTTGGGCTTCCATATTGTTATTTCTGGTACAATTGTTGAAATATGTGATACAAGCATTGACTTGGCTTTTCTGGAATTTTGGTGTTTGTTGTTTATTTTTAACTGTAAGTTTAAGCCAGGTGTGATAGTGTGTGTACCTCTGGTCCCAGTTATTCAGGAGGCAGAGGTGGAAGAATCACTTGAGCCTGGGAGGTCAAGCCTGCAGTGAGCCCTTGTTGTGCCACTGCACTCCAGCCTGGGTGACAGAGCGCTACCCTATCTCTAAAAAGTAAATAAAATAAACAAACTAACTTAAGTATAGAAGTATTCAGTCCCTGAAAACTGTAATTAAGTATACTCAGATTTCTCTCCTTTTGCCCTACCTTTCCAGCAATGACTCAGATGCATATAAAGATCCAATATCAGTACTACCAAATGAACAAGACCTGGTGAGAGAAGAAGCCCAGAAAATGAGTAGTCTTTTACCAACTATGTGGCTTGGAGCTCAGAATGGCTGGTAGGTGCCAACACTTTTAACGTTAGAATATGTTTATTGTTTTACTTTTGCTTTTGAAATCAGAAGAAAGTAAAATGTGGTAAACACAAAGGCAAAAAGTATGGATTAATGCAAAGCATTTTACACACACACACAATTTGATGTGTGTTGCAACTACCACGTAAACTGGACTTGCACTGGTTCTGAATGGTAAGCCATATGTTTCTTTGTCACAGAATGTTCCCTTTATATAATATTCTTGGAAGAAGAGGTACATAAAATTTTTAAATTGGGGTGATCCAGAAATAGAAGATCCTGAACAACACAGAGACAGAGAATATTTATGTAGGCTAGAATGTGGGCAGGAAAACTGGGATTAAACCAACATGTTGGCTGCAGGAAGTCCCAATCCCAACTTTTAGTGGATATTTTATGAGGATAGGCAAAACAAATCACAATCTGAAAAGTCAGATGATGACAACTAATATTATATGGTTTGTTCACTTTCCAGTCATGTGGAGAGTTTACAAAATTGTGCATTTCCAAAGGTTAAGCAAGATGACTGTTGCAAGCATCTCTAATCCAAAATTTGAACCTTTTTGACCACTGGTATTATGCTCACAAGTAATGCTCATTGGAGCATTTTGGATTTTTGAATTAGAAATACTCAACTGTTGTATATAATGTAAACATTCTAAAATCTGAAAAAAGTTAGAAATCCAGGCTGGGCGCAGTGGCTCATGCATGTAATCCCAGCACTTTGGGAGGCTGAGGTGGGCAGATCACGAGGTCAAGAGATTGAGACCATCCTAGCCAACATGGTGAAACCCCATCTCTACTAAAAAATACAAAAATTAGCTGGGCATGGTGGCGCATTCCTGTAATCATAGCTACTTGGGAGGCTGAGGCAGGAGAATTGCTTGAACCTGGGAGGTGGAGGTTGCAGTGAGTCAAGATCGCGCCACTGCACTCCAGCCTGGGCGACAGAGAGAGACTCGGTCTCAAAAAAAAAAAAAAAAAGTTTAGAAATCCAAACACCTCTGGTCCCAAGAATTTCAAATAAGGGTTACTCAACCTGCCATGCATCTTTTCTGTATGAGTCCAATACTCTAAAGTGAAGAGTTGGCAAACTTAGTGTAACTATGCTCCAGTAGAACATTATGGGCACTGAAATTTGAATTTCAAGTGAATCTCCCCTGTCACAAAATACCCTTGATTTTTCCCACAACCTTGAAAAATGTAAAAACTATTCTTAGCTTGCAGACTGGATTAAAACAGTTGGCAGACTGTAGGCCATAGTTTGCCACTTCCTGCTGCAGGCCACTCTGTCATCCAAAAGTTATAGGTCTGTGTAGTAGACAGGTAAGGTAATTCACAAAAAGAGTTTTGCCCAAAGACTAAGTGTGTGAAACTGACTGTGCATTGCTCTAGTTCCTGTTTTTCAGTCTTCATATGTTTCCCTTTGCTCAGCAGCCTATTTCTCTACCTTAGCCTATTTCTCTACTTACCTGTCACTTTTCTTTTCTGACCATTGTACAAAAGCAGCAGCACCTTTTCCTAAAATTTCTATGTTACTGTTCTTTCCTTCTGAATGAACTTAGTAATATTATTAGATATATGCAGTGTCTTGATGTGCTCTATGCCTTACCAGTGTTGACTTTGTTCTTGCAGTTTGTATGTCCATTCATCTGTAGCCCAGTGGAGGAAATGTCTCCATTCCATTAAACTTAAAGATTCGATTCTCAGTATTGTGTAAGTTTTATTTTTGAAATTCTTCTTGTTTAAACTTTGCATTTTAATATAAACTAGGTTTTAAGACTTTTAAAGCTAATACATATTTCATGACTAAATTAGTATCCATATTTGTTTGGTTTTTTAACCCTTTTTGTGGAACTAAAGAAGTGAGAATAAAACTGTATAATAGAAAACCAGTAGAAAGGAAAACTTGCTTGATTCAGTCCTCAGTTCTTTAGTACTGCAGGAAAGAACCAATACATATTAATTTATGTTTATTTTAGAATATTCTTTATGGTTAGTAAGTATGTTGACTGGGACATTGATTTACTCGTTCTTTTCTGTGTGTTCACTATAAAATCAGACGGTTTGTCTTTGAGTCCACAGAGCTGACACTGTTGGTTCCACTCAAGGTGCATGTCTCTGGTCTGTGGACTTTATGTTGATTGTCTGTGATGAGAAGAGAAGCTTGGGCCAGAAAGTAAAATAGCTGAGATATCACTCATGCTTTTGGTTTACTTCAGCTGACATTTTTTCATAGCAGGACATGCACAATGAAGAAAGCGGTTTGTTCCTTTATGTTCTGGTGTCAGCTCCTCATCTCATCACAGATTGGCCCTTTGTGAGGCCCTGAACTAGTTGAGTACCCTATGGTCCCTTCTATTCCTAAACGGAGAGTTCTGAACTCCCCTTTCCTGTTTGCAGACACGTGAAGGGAATCGTGTTAGTAGCCCTGGCTGATGGCACCCTTGCAATCTTTCACAGAGGAGTGGGTGAGTGGGGATGTGTATATAACAGGGACACTAATTTGTGGCTTTGCAAAGCATTTTTAAGTAGATTTGCTTATTATGTTTTAAAGAAATGATACTCAATAGGATAAAAAATAAATACTAACAATACACAACATCAGTAAATATATTAGTGCCTGCATGGAGGTATACATTAACAGATACCTTAGGGAAAATGTATTTACCACAATGGGCAAGTAGTTTAGCATTTTATGGTACTTTAAAATAATGTGATAGGGAAACATTTGTTTTTCATTCATATACTTATGCAATTAGGAGAGACTTGGTATTTTTTTTATGTCCTATGTTTTAAAAATAATTTGTGTCCACTTAACATTTGGACTTTTTTAAAAAGAATTTTATAATTGGGTAAGGTTTAATCATTTTCATGTCACCTTATTTATATTTTCCCCCTTTAAAACCATTGTTTCATCTATAGAGGGGTGGTGGTATCAGAAACCCTACTTGAATGAATTAAATTGAGGGAATTGATGTATGTATTCCTCATAACTCCTTGGTACATGTGTCAACCAAAACTGATACGTCATTTTCTACCCACTCGATTGTTATATCTGGGAAGTATTATGAAACGTAGATAACCATGAATTTGGATTTTCGAACGGCTTTTCCCAAAATCTCCTATCTTTCTGGGCTTGGGGAAATGTTGGGTAGATGACAGTTAGTTGCTTTTGTAATTGATTGGTGCCTAAATCATGAAAAGAGCAAGAGGGCTCTGTTTTACCTTTTTCAGCCCTTTATCTGTATTTAAACTTCACAGTAAACTATTAAGAAAGTTCCATGTCATCCTCATTTTATAGATGAGGAAACTGAAGCACAGAGCATTTTGGCCGCTTTTTCATGGTCACTCAGCTAATAAGTAGAAACGCCTAGAAAAAAATTAAACAGTAAGTGTTTTGGTAAACTGAATTAAAATAATATTGACAACATAAGACAAGTAAAATACATTTAGTAAGTGTCAGTATAAAGTCCTGCATTTGAGTTCAGAAGAACAAGATGGGGAGACAAGTCTGAACAGTGAGAATTACCTAAAGGTTGACTATAGACTCAATATGAGTTTACTGCATTAAGCCTCAAAGAAAAAAGTATTCAGGACAGGACTGGTGATAATCCTGCTCTACTAGGCTAGATAAGACAGCATATTCAATGGACATCAACAAAACAGAGTTAGGTTGAAGGGTCTATAAACTATGGTAGGTACCACATGCCGAAGATACTTGGTTTTGAAAGGAGAAGACTTAGGGCTATAACGAAGAAGGTTGGATTGGATTTATTCTTTTGTTTCCACTCTGCAAGACTGCAGACTAATGGGTAATTACATACAAAGAGGCGGACTTAGCTAGGTATGGGTAATATTTTTCAACTAAAGCTGTCTGAAAATGGGATGGCTGCCTTATGAGGCAGTGTGCTCACAAAAGCTAACAAAGCAAAGCAAGGTTCTGGTGACTGGTTCTCCTTTGTATTTCTATTTATCACTGAAAATGTAGTATGCATAATTCCTAAAGTGTTAGCAATGAGTTACCCTCAACTTCTACCCAAGAAAATAAATCAAAATGCAAGTGATTGAGAGACATTATTCCCAAAATAATCTTAAGTCATTTCTAATTCTAAAAATATGATAAACAGATAACTTGTAACTGATTTATTATCACATCACTGCTTTTGTGAGCATGTTTTAAAGGGGGTACTGGGTGTCAGTTTGAAGCAGATGATCTTTGAGGATCTTTTTCAACTTGGTAGCTTATGAAATAAAGAACTCAGTCTGCAAATAAAAGGTATATTTAGTATATGGTACTTTGGGTGCTTCCTCAATAAATTTAATTATACAACAAATGTTTCTTGTGTTGAAATTGAGTAGCAGGTGGTATGCGTTAACTATAATCTTTTATTTCTTTTAAAGACGGGCAGTGGGATTTGTCAAACTATCACCTCTTAGACCTTGGACGGCCTCATCATTCCATCCGTTGCATGACTGTGGTACATGACAAAGTCTGGTGTGGCTATAGGAACAAAATCTATGTGGTGCAGCCAAAGGCCATGAAAATAGAGGCAAGTCAGCCTATGTTTTCTGTATTTATTGAATTTGTATTATCCAAGGACTGTTGGACTATAATTATTTTCAGCTTCTTTAGAAATTGTTTTCTTGTTCTGTGTGTTTTAGGGCACTTGAGTAATGTATTTGAATATCTTAGCTTTCTGTATTACTTCAACTCTCTTGCCGTTTTTGACCGTGAGGGGAGGAAGTAGCTTTTTTAAAAAGGAAAGAGGATTCATACATGAATGTTTACATGTGTGCCTGTGCATGTATCCAGAGATATATATGTGTTTTTGTTTGAATACATGATTCTTGATATGTTTAGTTGTATGAGGATTGGTTGAGAAGACAATTCCTCCCTGCCCTCCCCATGTGTATCCAGGCACATCCACATATGTGTCCTAGACAGAAATAACATTGCACTGGGAATTTGTTGTAAAAATGAAAACCTCCTAGTATTGTTTTCTTACAGTTTGTTTTTTTTTTTCCCTTTACCACAATACATAAGTGCATTCTAATTGTTTAGGGATAAAAAAACTGATAGGAAAATTTGAAGGTGAAAGCTTCACCTTAAAATTTTCACCCTCCCCCAAATCACATTTCTTTCCCTAGAAGTCCCAAAGTTAACCACTTGGTATTTGTTTTTAATATCTATTCTATCTGTCTCTCTATCTGCCTGTCCATCCATCCATCCATCCATCCATCCACCCACCCACCCATCCATCCACCCACACATAGGTCAAGTATCCCTTACTCAAAATGCTGGAGACCAGAAGTGTTTCAGATTTTGTATTTTTTCAGATTTTGGAATATTTGCATATACATAGATAATGAAATATCTTGGGTATGGAACCCAGAGTCTAAATATAAAATTTATTTATGTTTCATATATACTTTATAACAGTGAAAAATATGATACACCATTAATGCAGTAAAAAATAATAATGTGTTCGGGGTGACTTATGGTGTCACATCAGCACTTAAAGACTTTCAGATTTTGAAGCATTTCAGATTTCAGATTTTTGGATTGGAAATGTTCAGCTTGTATCTCACACACATATACAGCAGTGTGGTTCCTTTTAGTTTAATTATATTTTGGCATTTTTGTTTGTTTTGAGACAGGGTCTCACTCTGTCGCCCAGGATAGAGTACAGGGGCATGATCAGGGCTCACTGCAGCCTCAAACTCCTGGGCTCTAGCACTCCTCCTGCTTCAGCCTCCCAAGTAGCTAACATCACAGGCACACACCATTACAGCTGGCTGATTTTTTAAAAAGTTTTTTGTAGAGACTGGGTTTTGCTATGTTGCCCAGACTGGCCTCAAACTCCTGGGCTCAAGCAGTCTTCCCCCTCAGCCTCCCAAGTAGCTTGGAATATAGGCATGCACCACCATGCTTGATTAATTTTTGTGTTTATAGTAGAGTTGGGGTGTCACTGGGTTGCCCAGGCTGATCTCAAACTCGGGCTCAAGAGATCCTCCCACCTCGGCCTCCCAAAGTGCTGGGATTGCAGGTGTGAGCCATCAGCACCCAGCCTGATGAATTATAATTGTGATCTTATTTCAACACAGGGCTCTGCAACAACACAAAATCCAGAGATAAAATCTTTCTGTTAGGCTGGGTGCAGTGGCTCACTCTTAAAATCACAGCACTTTGGGAGGCCGAGGAGGGCAGATCACTTGAAGTCAGGAGTTTGAGATCAGCCTGACCAACATGGTGAAACCCCATCCTCTACTAAAGCATAAAAATTAGCCCCGCATGGTAGTGTGTGCCTGTAATCCTAGCTACTTGAGAGTCTGAGGCAGGAGAATAACTTGAACCTGGGAGGCGGAGGTTGCAGTGAGCCAAGATTACGAAATTGCACTCCAGCCTGGGTGACAAGAGCAAAGACTGTCTCAAGAAAAAAAAAAAAAAGAAAATCTTTCTGTTGAACATTGTTACATAGTGTGGATATGTTAGTATTGCTTTTATAAGTTGGTATCCTATATAGTGCTGAAATCCAATATCTTGTTCTTAGTTCTTTATTTTGTTTTGCATTCTAGGATGAAAGCAATTGTGTATATAAGAGTAATCATGTTTAATATATAACATTTGGGCTTATCTTTTAATAGTCTGCTAAGTTGTTGTGCAAATTAGCACAGTTTTAAATAGGTATTCCTATGTAGCAAAATTAACTTTGTGATTGGACAATCTCTCCTAGAAATCTTTTGATGCTCACCCCAGGAAGGAGAGCCAAGTGCGACAGCTTGCATGGGTGGGGGATGGCGTGTGGGTCTCCATTCGCTTGGATTCTACTCTCCGTCTCTATCATGCACACACTTATCAACATCTACAGGATGTGGACATTGAGCCTTATGTAAGCAAAATGTTAGGTAAGCTTCCAATGCATTTTATCTTTTACCAGTCAAAGAGGGTGTTTTGTTTTGTTTTATGTTATTTGTCTATTTGTTTATTGAAATGGGGTCTTGCTTTGTTGCCCAGGATAGAGTGCATGGCTATGCACAGGTGCAGTCATAGTGCACTCTAGCCTCGATCTCCTGGGCTCAAGCTATCCTCTCACCTCAGCCTCCGGAGTAGCTGGGAGTATAGGTAGGCACATGCCACCTTACTCAGCCTTGTTTTTATTTTTAAATAGCCTAAAATGCTGGGTAGAACCAATGAATTAAGTTACCTCAGGAATAGTGAACTTTTATCACTGAAAGTGTCAGACAGATGTTTCAATCTACCTTGTTTCTTTGTTTGTTTTCTTTTGAGACAGGGTCTCACTCTGTCACCTAGACTGGAGTACAGTGGTGTCATCATGGCTCACTGCAGCCTTGACTTCCTGGGCTCAAGTGATCCTCCCACCTCAGCCTCCCTATTAGCTGGAATACAGGCCCACATCATCATGCCCAGCCACTTCCCCCGCACCCCCCCAAAGAAATGGGTTTTACTCTGTTGCCTAGGCTAGTCTTTAAACTCCTGGGCTCAAGCAACTGGCCCACCTTAGCCTCCCAGAGTCCTAATGTTACAGAAATGAGACAGTGCACCTGGCCCCTTATTGTTCTTGATGGAAAGTTGGGATCATTTTGGACTCCTCCTCTCTTATTCTCCACATCTGATCTGTCATCAGGAACTGTCAAGTCTGCCTCTGAAACTATATTTAATCAGTTACTTCTTTGTCTCTGCCAGTATCCTTTTATCCCCAGGTAACCATAAGCCTCCTAACTGGGCTCCTTGTTGCCACTCCAGTCTGTTCTTTGCCTATAACCAAGGTGCAGATACTACCATGACACACTCTACTCTTGCCTTTAGGTGAGGTGACGCGACCAGGAGACCTTACATGTTCTCAAACACTCTCCTTGCTCACACCATGACAGCTCAACAAGCTCCTTCCCATTTCAGGGTCCTCACATGTGCTGCTGTATTGTCTACCTGGGAAGTTCTTGGTCCCTTTTTAACTTACTTAGCTTTCAGGTCATAGCCTACCTGTCATATTCAAGAGAGACCTTCATTTAGGTCCTGTCATAGTTTTTCTTCATGGGCTTGTCATTATTGTGATCTCTGTCCTACAGACCCTAACTCCCATGAAGATCAGGGACCATCTTTGTCTTATTCCCAGCTGTATCTTTAGCACCTGACCCAGTGCTATAATGATTATTGGGAATGTCATGAAAGAATCCTTTCATGAAAAATGATTGAACTGAATCAGTGGTTTTCAACCATTTAGAGTTACTGCCCTCAGAAAACCTTCTTTCTAGCTATGTATACACATTCAAACACAAACTAATTTCAGGGATGTACTTTGACTGGAGGTTAAAGGTTCCTAGGATAGGCTGAATGGTGGTTAAGCCTCCTTCTAACACTGATTCTGTGATCATGCCCTCAGTTCTTGTAAGTAGAACTTATGAGTGACTAATGTATTTTTAAAATGTATTATCTGTTCAATAAATTTGCCTATCAAATCACTGAAAATAAGATCAGTTGCAAAAGTTAACTTGAAATACAAAAATACATTTATTCTTCCTAAATTATTTTTATATAAAACTTAAAAATTTTAAACTGCTTTAGAACCTAAGTATATAACTGAGGGGAAAAGTGTAGATTTTGTTTACAAATATTTTACTCTATGCAAAGAAAACTTAAGAGCAACCAGAACTTTTTCAGCTTGTAAGAGCAAAGGACACTTGATTTCTGTGGGTTGGTTTGTTTTTAGAGACAAAGTCTTGCTCTGTTGCACTGGCTGGAGGGTAGTGGTGCTATCAGTTCACAGTAGCCTCAAACTCCTGGGCTCAAATGATCCTCCCACTTCAGCCTCCCACATAGCTGGGACTACTGGTGTGCCACCATGCCTGGCTAATTTCTGTGCTTTTTGTAGAGATGAGGTCTCATTATGTTGCTCAGGTAGTCTCAAACTCCTGAGATCAAGCAGTCGTCCCACCTTGACCTCTCAAAATGCTAGGATTTACAGGCGTGAGCCACCGTGCCCAGCCAGTTGCACTGTTTTTCGCTGGAGTTTTTTGTTGTATGTGTTGGTTTGATTTTACAGCTCCCTAAGTAAATCCTATGTCACAGTTCTGATGTGCCTTATTGCCTGCATACTTGAATTCTAACTAATAGGTATGTTACTCACTTTTAAGCTTTTCTTTTTCCATTGACCCCAAATTGTCAGATAGACAATAAGCCCCAATAAGAGTTTACTTTGATATGAAGCTTCAGGAAACATCCATTTAACTCTAGTCACATTTCCTCTGTATTGTATCAATCCTGCTACTTGTTTTTGATTTTGTTTTGTTTTGTAATCCTGCTACTTCTAAGGAACTTGGAATGTAACACACTGCCTGCTCTAGTTTCTCAATAAAGTGTTCCCTACTTTCTTTACAGGTACTGGAAAACTGGGCTTCTCTTTTGTGAGGATCACAGCTCTCATGGTGTCTTGTAATCGTTTGTGGGTGGGGACAGGAAACGGTGTCATTATCTCCATCCCGTTGACAGAAAGTAAGTATATTTTTAGGTAACTGCCATGGGACAAATAGGAGAATTATAGGAAATAGTTATGTCTGGAATTCAAATCTATGTTAGCTCAGAAAATCAATGATGGCAAAGATCTAGCTATTGTTAACTTCACTCAGTGAAACTTATAAACTCTAGGAAAATAAGTTTTCATGTATCAAGACCAACACTCATAATTAAAAGGTTTTCATTATGAGAAGCTCCTTTTTACAATTAAGGAATCACAGTCCTATTTCATCTTTGAAATAAAAGTTGAAGTCCATTTTTCTTAAGCCTTAGTATATATGCCTTTATCCAGAAACACTACTTGGCATTCATCCTAGTTTTTCATATCTCCTAGCAGGTAGTTTAGGATATTCCATTTGTCTTATTTGAGGTTTGAAAAAAGTTGTGGAATAAGTTTCTCAGGAGTTCAGCAAGGCTTTCCATCTATCTTCTATTTTAAAAGAATGTGATTTATTGTTTTTATGAATAAAATATGCCTTGTGTGTTTCTCATATGATGTCCCATTACATCAATCATCCATTAAGTAAATGTTTTTGTGTTGCAAAATTCATGGCAGGGAATGGTTTAAAAGCAAATAATGTAAGACCATAAAATACATTAATAAATATACACCTCAGAATCACCTTACCTTTTTTCAGGCCAGAGGAGGGACAAAGACTAGAAGCTATTTTGGAAGCCTTTAAAAGAACCCAAGTTTTCAATCCCAGTTGTCTTTTCTGCAGTTACTTACAAGTCATATTTAGACTTCTCCTTATATCCAAAGAGATTCCAGGATCCCCTAGAGTTCATTTCAGTTCTTTATAAGAGGTTAGCATAGTCATTGGAACAGAATTCCTTTTTTAAAATACACAAACACACACACACACACACACACACAGAGAGAGAGAGAGAGAGAGAGAGAGAGAGAGAAAGGAAAAGAGAAATAAAGGAGAAATTTTAGCATTAGGAAATGCTGCACATTGAGCTCTTAGTATTTTGATTCAGATTCACTAACATTGCTTTTTTATTTAAAAAAAAACAAAACCACCATCAATCAGATTTTCTTTTTTAAGCAGAGATTCTATAGAAACTTTGGGAAGAACTTTATGTGTTACTTGGTATTATGCCAAGTGGGATCTTGTTAATTTCATTAGGGGCTTTGAGCGCCAGGTTTACCAGATAGAAGACACTGAGAGTGGTGGCTCACAGTAATTCTCTCCTCCCTGTCGTACACCTCTCCATGTCCCCTTTCCTCCTTTCTCACTTTAGCCGTAATCCTCCACCAGGGACGTTTACTGGGGCTGAGGGGTAAGTGCAGATCCTGAACCAAGCTCTTCTTCCTGGCTTCTGATAGCCACTATAAGGCTGTTACCACTCCCCTAGAATATCCTCTTGAATGTTCCTAAATGTCATCCACTTGCAGTCACTGCATTGCAGCAGGTGTCTTTTTTTTTAAATGTTTGTTACATGGCCACCAAACTGCTCAGCAGCTTAGTCTATTTATCATCTTTTGTTGCAGCTGAACTTTCTTTCAGACTTTACTTTCCTTCCAGTATAAACATGAAACATCTCTTAAAGCTGTCATTAATTTACATTGTTTACTCTTGTTACCGATCATATTTCTTTCATTTACTTAACTTGCCTATGGAATGGGGATGTTTTGTGAGTCTGGTGTTTTACAGTAATGCAGCACACCATCAGTCTGATACCAATAAAAACTACTTTATTGTAGTGACTGGATTCTTGTAGGAACAGCTTTTTACCAGTCCCTTCAAGGGAAATATTCTTTTTTTTTTTTCTTTTTTGAGACGGAGTTTCACTCTCGTTACCTAGGCTGGAGTGCAATGGCGCGATCTCGGCTCACCGCAACTTCTGCCTCCTGGGTTCAGGCAATTCTCTTGTCTCAGCCTCCTGAGTAGCTGGGATTACAGGCACGAGCCACCATGCCCAGCTAATTTTTTGTATTTTTAGTAGAGACGGGGTTTCACCATGTTGACCGGGATGGTCTCGATCTCTTGACCTCGTGATCCACCCGCCTTGGCCTCCCAAAGTGCTGGGATTACAGGCTTGAGCCACCGCGCCCGGCCTCAAGGGAAATATTCTTACTGCGAGGGAGAAAAATCAGAAGATAAACTATAAAGAAAGACTATTTGAAAATATACCCATTTACTTTAAACTGTATAATGGTTAGTTTTCTAACATGGACATTAAAAACAAAATGAAAGAGACACAACTAAGATTCAAATTTGTTTTCTTTTTTTTAACTAATTAGATTTTTTAAATGAATAGATGTATTTAAAAAATAAGCTTACTTATTGCTAGACTGGCAAAATCCCCTACTCCATTTACTGAGGTACTTAAAAATAACTAGCATGCTGTATCTCTTTTTTTCCCAGCTTTGTCTTGAATTGGCATTGCCATCCTTGTTTTATCTCAACTGGCTGTAGCTTTTAGATAATATCATAAGGATTAACCAGTAACCTCTTACATTCATTACTGTTTTCTAGGTGAAAATATTTGGTATTTGGTTTTTCTGTTGCAGCAAATAAAACCTCAGGCTTACCGGGAAATCGTCCTGGAAGTGTAATCCGCGTATATGGTGATGAAAACAGCGATAAAGTGACTCCAGGGACATTTATACCCTATTGTTCAATGGCACATGCACAACTTTGCTTCCATGGGCACCGGGATGCTGTCAAATTCTTTGTGGCAGTCCCAGGTATGTTAGATTATTCTGTTAAGATGTTTCATGTAATTGTCTCTCTTCAGTCATCTCTTGGTTCCACTACCTAATATTCTAAGGCTAAGTACTCGAATTGCAGGTAATTTAAATATCTACGAAGGAAGTTCTATTATGGAGGTGTGAATAAAGTGCTATAAGGATACTTGAATGAAGTTATCTTAGACTATTTCTCCCACCCTCAAAGACACATTTGTTGATTTTTCTTTAGGAGACTTGCTTCTTTTTGAAAAGCAGTAGTATTATTTTGTCCTCATGGATTCCTAAAAATGGTCTTGATCTAATAAGGGAAATCACTAGAAAGAAGCTTCCGTCATCAAGGCTGCATGGAGGAAGAAATAGAGAATTCGCTCTGGGACCTTTAGCAGCTTAACAGTGAAAAGCAGTGGACTAGGGAATCTGGGGCCCAGGCCCTCTGTCTCTGCCACTAACCGTGAGCAAGTCATTTAACCTCAGAGACTCATTTCCTACCTCCTGCGTGGTTGTGATTAATATCTGCTCTGCCTACCTCATTTGTTATGAAAATTAATAAAAATGCTATTGGGAGCTATAAAGCACCACTCAGACAAAAGGCAGTAGTGATGATGTCTAGTGAAAAATGAAAATTTATCCATTGACAATACTAAAATGATATTCCTGACCATCTGTAAGCAGGACCCATGTTTTGAAATTTTTTTCCCATAAGAGGCAAGTTTAGGAGCTAGACAAATTTCAAATCTGATTTTGCCCAACCAACTAACTGTGTGATATAGAAACACCAGTGTCTTAGTATATTAGGCAGGGTTCTCCAGAGAAACAGAACCAATAGGATGCATGTGTATGTGCGTGTGAAGAGAGAGACATCGTAAGGAATTGGCTCACACAATTGTGGGGACTGGCAGGTCTGAAATCTGCAGGGCAGGCTGGCAGGCTGGAGACCCTGGGAAGAGTTGATGTTGCAGTTCAAATCTGAAAGCAGTCTGGAGGCCACATCTCTCTTTCCTTGGGATCCCTCAGTCTTTTTCTCCTGGGGCTTTCAGCTGGTTAGATGAGGCCCACCCACACTGTGGTACATCATCTGCTTTACTCAAAGTCTCATCTGCTTTACTCAAAGTCTATTGATTTAAATGTTAATTACATCTAAAAAAGACTCAAAATGATATCTAGACTGATGTTTGACCAAATATCTGTGTACCAAACTAACACATCAAATTACTCATCATACTTATTTTCCCAAGGATGTTCTAAAGATTACATGATTATATGTGCATAGGACAAGGGCTGGCATATGGTACCTTAACCAATTACTCAGTTATTAAACAACAATGATAATTAGCTTTCTGAAACCTCATTTGTACATTTTATGTAGTTGTATAGTCATTTCCTTCCTAGAAATGGGATTGTTGGTAACAGTGTTTCTCTTGCTTTAAAAAAAAAATGAAAATATTGCGGAATCCCCTTTAAATCTCCTTTGTATCCCTAGCTAATCCCACTCTCCTCTCCTTTTCCTCTTCACTGGTAACCACTCTCTTGACGTTGATGCATATCCTTTTGCCCATGTTTCTGTATTTTCACTATGTTTGAATGTATTTATAAACAATATTTTTTTTTGTGGTTTGGACTTTATGTATGTTAAATGTGCTTCATATGTATGCTTCTATAATGTGCTTCTCATTTTTTGAGATTTGTAGATATTCATACATAAAAATCTAGTTTATTTAACTCATATCTGAATAAAAATGCTACATTTTATTCATTCTTCTGCTGATGGACCTCTAGGCTTCTTCCCTTTCTTTTTTCACTATTAAAAACAGTACTGCAGTGGACCTTCTTGTGCACATGTGCAAGAATTTTCTGTTGGGTATAAATCTAAAAATGGAATTAGCAACATGGCTGTTGTGAGGCCAGTGGCCCTAAAGATTAAACCATTCTGGTTGGCCTTATCAGTAATACTACTGTGCTTTTGCTTCTGTGGCAAAACTAACTAGTCTACCAACAAAAGTCATCTCTGGCATGCTTGCTTTCTTCCAAAGTATAATTGAGTAATGCATGAATGCATCCCTATGGGGATACATCAGACTTCCTATCTGCTTTCAACATATATTAATTTTGTTACAATGTGTAGCGTTAATGACTGTCCTGCTAGCTCCTGGAGGTGTAATCTGTGTAGTTTGACCAACACCAGCAGGTTCTGGCAAGGAAAAAAAAAACCATAATTAAATCTTGCTATGGATGGCTTAGAGATTGCTCATTTGTTCATGGTGTGAATAATATTTAAACGTTTCTCTCTACTATTTCACACTCAGGGATTCTACCTTAGAACTTAAGCTTCAGAACAAACAGCACATTTACTAGTAATTTTGTTTGCATAATCTAAGTTTAAAATAACCTGTACTTTCCTTAAATATGACAGAAAAGCCATAGATTTGAAATAAATTTAAATGTTAATTATGACTCTCATAGGGCTTAAGTTGAAGACTTTTCTCGGTCTTTTACACAAATAAGCACATTTCTTTTCAAGGGAGAGACCTTTTCCACCGTCTCTCAAATCAAAAGGTAGACTATACTAGTTTGAAACAGGTAGGCTGAGTACAGTGGCTCACACTTGAGCCCAGGAGTTTGAGACTAACCTGGGCAACATAGCAAGACTCTTAAAAAATTTTAAGAGACTAGGCATGGTGGCTTAAACCTGTATTCCCAGCACATTGGGAGGCTGAGGTAGGTGGATCACTTGAGGTCAGGAGTTCGAGACTAGCCTGACGAACATGGTAAAACCCTGTCTCTACTAAAATAACAAAAATTAGCCAGCTGTGGTGGTAGGTACCCGTAACCTCAGCTACTTGGGAGGCTGAGGCAAGAGAATCGCTTGAACCCCAGAAGCAGAGGTTGCAGTGAGCCGAGATCATGCCATTGCACTCCAGCCTGGGCAACAAAAGCGAAACTCCATCTCAAAAAAAAAAAAAAAAAAAATTTTAAAGAAAATAGTTCGAAGCAGGCAGCTAAGACCCACCTTGCCACACATATATCTCATATTGGATTTGGGGCCTATTCCTGCTTTGTTACAAAATTGCTTTACTTAAATTTTCAAATTGGGCTTTTTTTTTTTTTTTTTTCCTTTGAAACAGTCTTGCTCTGTTGTCAGGCTGGAGTGCAGTGGCACAATCTCGGCTCACTGCAACCGCTGCCTCCTGGATTCAAGCAATTCTCCTTCCTTAGTCTCCAGAGTAGCTGGGATTACAGGCACACACCACCACACCTGGCTAATTTTGTTTATTTTGTTTTGTTTTTGAGACAGAGTCTTCCTTTGTCACCCAGGCCGGGGTGCAATGGTGTGATCTTGGCTCACTGCAACCTCCATCTCCCAGGTTCAAACAATTATCCTGCCTCAGCCTCCTGAGTAGCTGAAATCACAGACATGCACCACCATACCTGGCTAAGTTTTTTGTATTTTTAGTAGAGACAGGGTTTCACCATATTGGCCAGGCTGGTCTCGAACTCCTGACCTTGTGATCTGCCCACCTTGGCCTCCTAAAGTGCTGGATTACAGTTGTGAGCCACCATGCCCAGCCTTAATTTTTGTTTTTAGTAGAGACAGTGTTTTACCGTGTTGGCCAGGATGGTCTCTATCTCTTGACCTCGTGATCCACCTGCTTCGACCTCCCAAAGTGCTGGGATTACAGGCGTGAACCACCGTGCCTGGCCTTTTTATATTTATTTATTTATTTATTTTTTAAAGACAAGGTCTTGTTCTGTCACTCAGGCTGGAGTACAGTTGCACAATTACAGCTCACTTTAGCATTGACTTCCTGGGCTTAAGTGATCCTGCTTCCTCAACCTCCCAAGAAGCCAGGACTACAGGTGCACACCACCATTTCTGGCTAACTTTTTTTGTAGAGTTGAGGCCTTACTGTATTGGCCAGACTGGTCCCAATTTCCTGCCCTCAAGTAATTCTCCCACTTTGGCCTCTCAAAGGCATGAGCCACCATGCACAGCCTCAAATTAGGTTCTTAAAACCTTCATATAAATGTTTTCTGATCCTGTAGAGCCTTCTAGCTTCCCCAGTATTTGGTTATTAGAATATATTTATCTTTTTGTTTAACTCTACAAATACATGTTTAAAAAAATCAGTCTCCCTTGCCTCCTTCTGTGATAATTAATACTCACTTTTGTTTCTCTATGTAAAACAGGTCAAGTCATCAGCCCACAGAGTAGCAGTAGTGGCACGGATCTAACAAGTGAAAAACCAGGGCCATCTGCACAGGAGCCTGGTAGTCAGACGCCCTTGAAGTCCATGCTTGTCATCAGTGGAGGAGAGGGCTACATTGACTTCCGAATGGGTACGTCATTGGTTCTGGAGCTCAGTTTGCACTGTGTGCTGTGACTTGGATTTTCTCCCAAAGTAAATAAGAAAACACTCTGATAATGATTTCTAAGAGGTTGTTTGAGTTCTTTACATAGAAAAGGATTTTGTGGTTTTTTGTTTTTTTTTCTTTTTAGCCCTCTCTTCCTCCCTCCTCCCTTCTCCCTCCCTTCCTCCCTTCCTCCCTCCCTTCCTTCCTTCCTTCCTTCCTCCCTTCCTTCCTTCCTTCCTTCCTTCGTCTGTCTTTCCTTGGTCGGTCCATCTGTCTTTCCTTCCTTCCTTGCTTCCGTTTTTTAGATGGAGTCTTACTCTGTCACCCAGGCTGGAATGCAGTGGTATGATCTCAGCTAACTGCAACCTCTGCCTCCAGGTTCAAGTGATTCTCCTGCCTCAGCCTCCCAAGTAGCTGGAATTACAGACATGTGCCACCACACCTGGCTAGTTTTTGTATTTTTAGCAGAGATGAGGTTTCACCATGTTGGTCAGGCTAGTCACAAACTCCTGACCTCAAATGATCTGCCTTCCTCAGCCTCCCAGCTGGGATTACAAGGCATGAGCCACTGCACCCAGACCTTGATATTTCTCTTCATAACAAAATGTATTTGTTTGAAAGGAACATTAGAAATAGCATGATGTAGTCACTGTGGAGTTTTATGTGAAAAGCGTAAGATTTAGGGTCAGAAGGCCTTGCCAAGTCATTCAACTTCCTAGAGCCTCAGTTCTCTAAGTGGCAAAATGGAGAAAGAAAACTATTTCATAAAGTGTTGTTTGTGTCAAAACAACTTCATTTGTTCATTTTCTCACCTAACAAACATTAATTGCACATCTACTGTGTGTACCTGTCAGTCTTAAACTGGAGATATAGAAACAAACCAGACAAAGCCTTCATCTAATAGATTATAGAACAGTGCAGAGATAGAGACATGTTAATAAATTAAAATATTATTGATGCTGTGGTGGTAAGTAGTCAGTTATTTCCAAGGATGGGGAGAGAAGGAAGTCAAGAAATGATGCTTGAGGTGACTCAGCACTGTTTAGTCTTAGCCCAAAGGGTCAGGTTGGGGAATGGGGTGGGGAGGACCAGGGATTGGCACTCCGAGGTAAGAGAAAGCTTGGGCATAGGTTTAGAAATATGAAAGCATATGGAGGATGGACTGGAGGTTCAAGACTAGACATAGGAAATGAGTTGGGAAAAAGTGAACACCCAAGAAAGGTAGTAACAGTGAGAACAGATAAGAAGCATGATGGGGCCGGGCGCGGTGGCTCAAGCCTATAATCCCAGCACTTTGGGAGGCCGAGGCAGGTGGATCACGAGGTCAAGAGATCGAGACCATCCCGGTCAACATGGTGAAACCCCGTCTCTACTAAAAATACAAAAAATTAGCTGGGCATGGTGGCGTGTGCCTGTAATCCCAGCTACTCAGGAGGCTGAGGCAAGAGAATTGCCTGAACCCAGGAGGCGGAGGTTGCGGTGAGCCGAGATCGCGCCATTGCACTCCAGCCTGGGTAACAAGAGCGAAACTCGTCTCAAAAAAAAAAGCATGATGGGAATGTGGGGAAAGAAGAAATGGGCCATAGAACTCAGGACTGTCAACAGGAGAAGCAGGTCTGGAGGGACAGAAAGAGGAGTCCAGTGCTGGACATGTTGATCTTGAAGAACATAGTGATGATTTAGGTGGGGCACTTCCACTGGGTTTCTGAATATACAGGTCCTCTATCTTAGTCGGGAGGGGATTGGGGGCTGTCAGCGTGGAGTGGTACTAAAGGCCATGGAGGTTGGTGAGTTCACCCAGGGAGCTGAAAGGAAAGTTTCCAGTGGCAAAACCTGGTCTCTAATGAAAATATGAAAATTAGCTGAGCCTGGTGCTGCACATCTGTAATTTCAGCTATTCAGGAGGCTGAGGCAGGAGAATCGCTTGAACCCAGGAGGTGGAGGTTGCAGTGAGCCGAGATCACAGCACTGCACTCCAGCCTGGGCAACAGAGTTAGACTCCAGCTCAAAAAAATAGAAAGAAAGGAAAAGGAAAGGTTCCAGGATAGAACCCTGAATTCATATTCCTATTAAAGATCATTAGAGCTTACGGAGGGATCTAAGAGGGAATGGCCAGACAGATAGAAAGAAAACCTGGAGAATTGATGCTCGTGAAAGAGTAGTGCTTTGTAAATTGTAAGATACTGTACAAATACAAGTTTATTTGCTATAATTTTTTTTTTCTTTTCTTGAGACAGAGTCTCTAACACCCAGGCTGGAGTGCAGTGACATGATCTTGGCTTCCTATAACCTCCATCTCCCGGGTTCCTCCTGCCTCAGCCTCCTGAGTAGGTGGGATTATAGGCATGTGGCACCATGCCTGGTTAATTTTTGTGTTTTATTTTTCTTTGTTTTTAGGTGTTTGTTTTTTGAGACGGAGTCTCTCTCTGTCACCCAGGCTCTGGAGTGCAATGGTATGATCTTGGCTCACTGCAACCTCTGCCAGGTTCAAGCAGTTCTCCTGCCTCAGCCTCCCAAGTAACTGGGACTACAGGCATCCACCACCACACCGGCTAAATTTTGTATTTTTTTTTTTTTTTTTTTTTTTTTTTTAGTAGAGGCAAGGTTTCATCATATTGGTCAGGCTGGTCTCAAACTCCTGACCTCAGGTGATCCGCCCACCTTGGCCTCCCAAAGTGCTGGGATTACAGGCATGAGCCACTGCACCTGGCCAATTTTTGTATTTTTAGTAGAGATGGGGTTTCACCATGTTGGCCAGGCTGGTCTCGAACTCCTGGCATCAAACAATCTGCCTGCCCCAGCCTCCCAAAGTGCTGGGATTGTAGGCGTGAGCCACCGCACCCAGCTTATTTGCTATAAATAAATGGATCCCTTGGACTTGCCTAAAATCTCAGTGCTTCAAAAAGTTCCCAGACATAAGGCGCTAGATAATTTGAGAGAATATGATAATGTTGTAAATCAGTAACAAATACTTTAGATATGAATTCTGTAAAGGAATAAAAAAAAATTGGGTCGTTTAAATGACAACGTGACAAATGTGATTAGTGTCACTAGTGTCTGATGCAAAAAATTTGTTGACACTTTTAAGGGAGGAAGGCCATTAATGTTATGTTTAGAAATTGATTCCAAGGATGTCAGCAGGAATGGAGTCATTTCAAAGTGTTTTGAATAATGGACTACTGGTGAATTCCCTTTCATGAGAGGAATTGTGAGGGACTCCACTTGGCTGGGGTAGTTTTTCTAACTTTGTCTTGGAGTGCAGAATGGCAGTTGGAACCATACTGAAGAGTTTGTTAATAAAATCTCAATGTGGTTTTTCCATTTCCACTAAAAATTCCTTCCACTGTGAATCCTGAAAATAGAACAAAAATTGCCTAACCGGGTTTGGCAATATATCTAGTTATTTCCAGCCTGAAAAATAGACTTGTCTTTAGCATAGGCTAATTTTAATAAGTGAATATGCTGTTTTTAAAAAATCAGATTTGATCTTTTGTTGGGGTCCATTTCCTTTTTCATTTCCTGATTCTAACAGTCCCATTTTTTAAAAAATGATTTAAACTTAAAACAGGCTGTAGAGACTCTAGCAGACAGGACAATTTTCTTACAAATAAAATCTTCAGAACAACTCAGAAAAGAAATGCCAACAGCCTTTTGTCTCAGCCAGTTGATTTGTTATCATTGTAATTTTTTAAAATTTAAGAGCCAAACTTGATCTTTTTCCCTTCTAACTACCTAGTTATGTTTCTGTTTAGAGATGGGATTTTGACCTGAGCGTTCTCCTCTCTCTAGTTTGACACTGCTGTGAAAGGCTATTACAGGGTTGGATTAGGGAAAGTTTGGCCTGCAGAGAAAAATGCAGATATTTAGGGTTTTTTCTCTTCTGCTGTTTCTAGTCAGCATTGTCAATATTTTCTTTTGTCCAGCTGAAAGTCCCATGGGGCACAGGACAAAATTCTGTTAGATCAGTGGAATATCTTTACGTCCTGTGGTGTTCATGTTTTTAGGATTCTGCTGAAGAATCCATCCCACTAGACAAGTTACCACTGGATTGTGCCAAAATAACCCCGGTCTGTGACAACAAATATAATTGATGCAAGCTTATATTGAGAAGAATGGTATGCACCACGTGCCTGCGCTTCCCGGGCCAGCTGAATGCTGACCTGCAGAAGCTGGCGGTGAACATGGTTCCATTTCCCCGTCTGCACTTCTTCATGCCCGGCTTTGCCCCACTGACCAGCCGGGGCAGCCAGCAATACCGAGCCCTGATCGTGGCTGAGCTCACTCAGCAGCTCTTTGATGCTAAGAATATGATGGCCACCTGTGACCCCCGTCATGGCCGCTACCTAACTGTGGCTGCCATTTTTAGAGGTCGCATGTCCATGAGGGAGGTGGATGAGCAAATGTTCAACATTCAAAATAAGAACAGCAGCTACTTTGCTGAGTGGCTCCCTCACAACGTGAAAATAGCCGTCTGTGACATCCCACCCCAGGGGCTAAAAATGTCGGCCACCTTCATTGGTAACAACACAGCGATCCAAGAGCTCCTCAAACGCATCTCTGAACAGTTTACAGCTATGTTCAGGCACAGGGCCTTCCTGCACTGGTATATGGGTGAGGACATGGATGAGATGGAGTTCACCAAGGCTGAGAGCAACCTTAATGACTTGGTGTCGGAATACCAGCAATACCAAGATGCCACAGCTGAGGAGGAGGAGTTTGAGGAGTATGTTGAGGAGGAGGAGGTAGCCTAGAAGCTTCCTTTTCTAGGTAAAGGGGGAAGCAGTGTGGATTTTTTTAGTGTGTTCTGATAGCCGTTGTCACTACACACTTCTTTGAGTCTTTACATCTTCTGCTGCATTTTAAAGCATTTTCATAGCATTTTAAAGCATTTTGACTGGTCTCAAAAAAAAAAAAAACCCATCAGAATATTCAGAGAAGTAGGCCTCATAAACTTTAGAGCTCTAATAAGTCAGAAACAGGGAACGTTTATTTAAATAGTGTAGTCTTAATTTCTTTAATATAAAACCTGGAGAGGAGTGTGGTGTACCCCAAACTGGGCCTTGGAAGCCAGTGTGTTTGGTCAGGACACCACTGATCACATTCACTCAGCTACCATGCAGAAGAACCTGTATCTTGGCTCTTTGTTTCTTCTTTTCCATTATACGCTGTTAATTCATAACCTCTCTTAAGCTTGAAAATCATTGGAAGAAAAACCCAGTAGGTGATGAATCTGCCATCTTCAGTGTTGCAGGCTGATTATTTTAATTTCCATATGCTTGTATTGATTATCTCCAATTGGAGACTGTTACACCTATCATATAATAAGTGTGAGTTATTTGGGTTTAGTGTGCTCTGTACCTGTGCTCATGCATTTTATAACACTATTTAGTCTCAGTTCTTAGTTTGAAATAAGTGAGAGTCGACTCTTTATTTTGGATGAACACAGAATTGGACAGCTTTGCTTTCTTAGCTTCCCATAGCTGGTACCATCAGTATGCAGACATATTGGGATTGCTTTTCAACATAGTATAATAAATTCAATTTTATAAATACAGTGTGAAAAATGAATTAACCTTTTCTGAAGTCGAGCAGTGGCTTGGGTGAATATGGGTGAGGATTCTGATTCATAATATTTCTTTTACTGTTTACTCTCCAGTGGAAGATCATACAACTTTTGGCATCTTGTTCATGGACTAACCACGGGCATTCTGTCTGACTCACGTCGTTCTATATTTTCTGTGCTCAGCCTAACTTGAGTCTTCTTATCATTCACTAGGTGATGAAGGTGGAGAATCAGAACTTCTTGGAGAGGATCTTCCACTTGAACCTTCTGTCACCAAAGCAGAAAGGAGTCACTTGATAGTGTGGCAAGTGATGTATGGCAGTGAGTGAGTCCATTGGAAACAGGTGGAGATGGGGAAGCCATCTCTTCTGCATGGTTTATTTTTCCTTTATTTAATGCTCTTTTTGTGAGATAAGTTTCACCACATAATGTGTGAGCATTTTTTCCTGTTAACTTTATATTACAAAATCTGTTCTACCATAACAATACAGAGTAACTAGCTGTTATACTGCACCAGTGTTATAGGTAACTTCAGAATATTATGAACCAATCAAAGAATGTTTACTTCCTGCAAACTGGTGAATTATAGAAAGCAATCCAGATGTGGTTTACTCTGCCACAGTCTAATGTCATTCATTTCATTTGATGGGGTCACTTTTTAGCTGTCACTAATAGTGGAATTAATGGGAAACACTTGATAAATGAAACTGTACCCTTAAATACAATAGCCGAGTTTTCCCCAGTGTATTGTAAAATTGACACACACTAATATGAGATGGATTATCAGGATTTATCTAAATGTCCCGAGAGGGCTAAAAGCTAACTGTAAATTACTCTAACTTTCACTTTCAAATCTGACAAATCTTGTTTATATGGTATATAAAACTTTGTTTTCATCAGATTTTCGGGGGGTTTTATATTAAAGAAATTAAGACTACACTATTTAAATAAACATTCCCTGTTTCTGACTTATTAGAGCTCTAAAGTTTATGAGGCCTACTTCTCTGAATATTCTGATGGGTTTTTTTTTTTTTTGAGACCAGTCTCATTTTCATACTGACATGTCTGAAAGGTTTATTATTTATAAAGCTTAGAATGTACTCTGGGAAGCTTAGAAGATACTTGAGCACTGGGAGGATTTTTTAAAGGAAATGTGTTTTGTATTTCTTGTACCAGAGAATGGTAATGTTGATCGAATTTTTTCCATGTAAAAAATGTACCTGTTTGCCAAATGTTTCTAGATTGCTTTTACCTGTTAATACAAGTAAAACTGTAGTGGGGATGGAGTCTGGCCTAAGTACCGAATGAGGGATTTAATTAGAAAAGTGATTTTCTTTTGTTCTGTATCAAACTGCAGAACAGCTGTATACTTGGTATTTTGTATGTGAATAACATTTTAGCTTTTGTGCCCTTTTGAGCTTAAAGGGTTATCTTCAGACGGGAAACCTATGAAGGAGAAGACAAAGCTAAGATACCATAAAGTAAAGGTTGACATTACGTATTTTCATTCACTATGCCCATTAAAAAAAAAAAAAGGATTATTTTGGGCATGATGGCTCATGCCTGTAATCTTAACACTTTGGGAGGCTGAGGCGGGTGGATTGCTTGAGCCCACGAAATCAAGACCAGCCTGGGAAACATGGTGAAACCCTGTCTCTACGAAAAAAAAAAAAAAAAAAAAAAACCCACACACACAATAAATTAGCCAATGTGGTGGTGCATGCCTGTAGTCCCAGCTACGTGGGAGGTTGAGGTGGGAGGATCACCTGGGCCCAGGAGGTGGAGGTTGCAGTGAGCCTTGATAACACCACTGCAGTCCAGCCTGGGTGACAGAGCAAGACCTTGTCCCAAAACAGACAAGCAAACAATACATTAAAGTCTGGATTTAACTGATTTTCTTACTTAATAAGTTTTTTAAAACCATGATGCTGCAATTTTTCTCCCTCTCAAGCTTCTTGACAATATGTGACTTACCCCTTTTTATCTGTTACTCTAAGCAAAGCTAAATACAATTTTTTTTTGTTTTTGAGACAGAGTCTAGCTCTGTTGCCCAGGCTGGAGTGCAGTGGCAAGATCTCAGCTCACTGCAACCTCTGTACCCTAGGTTCAAGCAGTTCTTCTGCTTCAGCCTCCCGAGTAGCTGGGACTACAGGCGCATGCCACCACACCCAGCTAATTTTTATAGAGACCAGGTTTCACCATGTTGGCCAGGCTGGTCTCAAACTCCTGACCTCAGATGATCCACCCTCCTTGGCCTCCCAAAGTGTTAGGATTACAGGCGTGAGCCACTGCACTCAGTTGAAGCAAAGCTAAATGTAATTTTACTTACTGAATTAACAGTATAAACCTATAGGATAAAGGCCCCCTAATCATCAGAAAGACGACTGGAAAGGAAAGAAAGCAAATGGAGATGTCAAGTTGTCTAAGCATTCTTAAGTGATTTTTCTGAACTTTTATACAAAGATGTTTGTAAAAAGTACACCAGTGGCTTTTACACATATACATGATTAGGCTAGATTGTGAAGTATATGTCATTTTATGAGTCAGAGATGTTTGGATCCATTGGGCCCACGTGTGTCTATAAGCACATTGTGTACACAAAATTGTAGCCACTCATGTATTAAAAGAAAACTGTTTTGGTAAAAGCTGTATTAAAAGAATAACTTTTTGCTTGAGCTAGTCACTTTTTTTCAGGGCACCAAAATTTAGGCTAGTTTTTCATAGCTTGTTTGCTATGTTTTTATTTCATTTTAAATCTGAGCCATTTTTGGCAATATCTTTTAAAAAATCATTATGGAACATTTATTGGAAATGTATAGAGTCACAAGAAAGAGACACCAAAGTGTTTGGGAATTTTAATCCCAAGAAGTAAACATCCCTGAGTCAGATCCCATTTGCTGTTGTTCAGCCATGTTTGTATGACTGAATGTAATTTAGGAAATCAGGAGTTACAGATGAAAAATACAAACATGTAACAATGGTTGTAATTGCTTTTTTTGAACTTACTGGCTTTAACTTAAGTAATATAGGTGTGTAGTTATTTTATCTAAAGATGTCAGATTATCTGTGGCCCTGTTAATTAACTGCAGGGATCAGAGAGAGGACAAAAATGCCTGTATAATTTCTTTTAAAGGCTTGTCCTTATGTTTGTAATTTCGGTTAAATATTTTCTACAGATTGCTTCACTTCCCCTTTCCCCCAATAGCAAGTTTATATTCTTGTAATGTTTACTTTGGTCAACATGGTAACTTTTGGAAGAAAATGCCAAAATGTAAGCTTCTCACAAGCAGCAAAGGGGTGTAACTGCCTGTAGCCACCATATCAAAGGCAGAGAAGAGGCTTGTGTACTTTGGGTTGATCTCACCATATAAAAAAAGTGGAAGAAATAAGGGATACTTGAGGGTTTCTCATTTTATTACACCTGGGTCATGTATAAGGTTGAACCATATGAAATTGCCAATGTTCAACCATTACTGATCTACAAAAGTGACAATATCATATGCCTCAACCTAATACTTACTATTAAACGCAGGTTAAAATCTCTGTGAGGCAAAGGGATAATGTTCTCTAGGAACTCACTTTTGAGAGTATTTTTCTCTAACTCCTGTGGATCTAAATTTTAAAAATAGGAAGGAATCACCTAATAACTGCAGCTTGTGGAGAGTGTAAAACATTTTGAGCACAATATCAGCACATAAACTTTTCAGATTGTGTTTGCACAGAAAAGGTTAAAATCAATTCTTTCACTTACTGCATTGTTAATTTCTTATAAAGGTCTTCCTACATTTGAGACTAGACCCTTTAACATAGGCTGCCTTAGTAACAAAATAAAACGGATGTCTCATAATATTAACTGTCCTAAAGAACAAGTGTCTTGCAAATGCCATGGAACAGAATATTTATTTCCTTGTGAGTATTATGACCATTACCAAAGGACTGAACCAGATTTAGAGCTCTTCTCAGTTGATCATGTTCAGAAAGGGACTCATTTGTAACATGAGAAACGTAGAAGAGAAAATGAAATATGGAAATCATAAATGCTTTTCTAACAGGGTTATGCTATTCTGTAACACTAAATGTTTGTCTTTTCTCTTGAAAGGTTGTTTTATTAATTTTGCCATACACTTCTCAATATTTGAATATATCTTAACCATTTTATGTTCCAAATTCGTTTTTTGTCCAAGACATTCTATCAGAATTTTACTTGCCTCTATAATCTGAAAAATGGGTTCTATAATGTCCCACTTGCTGTCTCTTAGAGACTGAGCTTCATTTCTATGAGCAAAAAGCTCATTTCGCAATGTAGTTATTTCAGTATTTATTTCTATGATGGAATCCCTGGGGTTCGGAATGTAACTTTGTACATGAAATATATATAAATATGTATATGAAACATGTATGAAGCCTAGTGTGTTTTGTTTTGTTTTTAACCTTTCCTGGGGATCTGAACTTGGTTTTTATTTGCAAGTCTAATAATCTTCCCCATCACACATGTCATTTCTGAGAGTCAGGACTGTTGCCATTGACACTGGCTGAAGGTGAGCCCTGGGGAATACTCACACTGGTCAGCTTGGCTCATGTGTTCAGATGAAATTCGAGAATAGAGCTTGAGTAACAGCCCACACATGACACTAAGGCATATACTGCTTGCCAGATCATTCAATAATAAGAGGCAGGTTGTAGTGTAATTTTAATAATGCAGTGTGCTTATTTGTGATCCAGTTGCTTGGGTGAGACTCCGGAAGGAAGAATGATTACAAAACTGATCATGCGAAAGCACAATGTGAATCCAGATTCAGTGCAGTAATGTTTAGTCTCATCCAGTGTGTTTTGTTTGTGCCTTCAAGAAACATGATAGTAAAAGTTCTAACATGATAGTAAAAGTTGCCCCAGTTGGCATGTTAATAGGACTGTTCACCAGATTAAGGCACTGTTCAGTGAGGTTGGATGCCCTAGAACATAATGTATAGCCCGGCTCATTCCTAGTCTTTTTTTTTTTTTTTGTGGAGACAGAGCGTCTTGCTCTTTTGCTAGGCTGGAGTGCAATGGTGTGATCTTGGCTCACTGCAACTTCCTCCCAGATTCAAGCAATTCTCATGCCTCAGCCTCCAGATTAGCTGGGACTACAGATGTGCCCCACCACGCCTGGCTAATTTTTGTATTTTTTAAAATATATATTTTATTGCATTTTAGGTTTTGGGGTACATGTGAAGAACATGCAAGATTGTTGCATAGGTACATACATGGCAATGTGGTTTGCTGCCTTCCTCCCCATCACCTATATCTGGCATTTCTCCCCATGTTATCCCTCCTCAACTCCCTACCCCCTGCTGTCCCTCCCCTAGTTCCCCCTCCACAGATCCCGGTGTGTGATGCTCCCCTCCCTCTGTCCATGTGTTCTCATTGTTCTAATTTTTGTATTTTTAGTAGAAACGGGGGTTTCATCATGTTGGCCAGGACGGTCTCAAACTCCTGACCTCGTGATCCACCCACCTCGGCCTCCCAAAGTGATCCACTGTGCCCAGCCCATTCCTGGTTTTTATAGGACTTTCCCCTGCCTGCCTCTTAGCCCCTGGGGAACAGGGCAGGAGCATGAGCCTCATCACTGGAACTGTAGTCTGCCTTGTCCCCCTTGTGGAAGAACTGTCTTTCAGACTAGTGGAGAGAGACTGCTTAACCCCCAGGCTCTTCCTTAAGCAGCCCCCGCTCCCTCAGACTCAGTGTAGGCATGAAAGCCTGGAGATCACAGAGGCCTGGACTTCCTCTGCAGCCGCAGTCAATTTATTAGGAAAGGTTTTACAGTTAGGGGACTTATCAGAATGCCTTAAATATTGGATAATTGATACTAGTTTGCTTTAAATTCATTTTCTTTAGAAAGACATAGTGGTATGATGTGAAAGAAGGCTGTATAGCCCAGGCTGTGACCCTAGGCAAGTCACTTTACCAGAGTACCCACAGTCCGCTGTGAATCAGACCCTCCTGTGGGGTCCAGACCAGGCATCTGTAAAGTGCCGTAGGTAAGTGTGATTCGTAGCTGAGGTTGAAGAATGCTCCTCTAATGTATTTGGACCTTCGTTTTCTCATGTGTTAAAAGGCAGCGTGGCTTAGGTAATCTAAAAAAATCCTAGCTCTGACCCTCCCTGGTTCTGTGGCCTTGGCTCTTGATTTGCCTGGCTGTTGTCTATACAGATAAGGACCACTCCTGCTTATAAGTCCATGGTCACCCAGTCCCTCATGAGGCCCAGATCAGCTGGTGGGAGGGATTGGATTAATGAGAGTTTCCTATTTATCAGAATGATACCGTATAAAAGATGCCAGATTGTTTAGCTCCTTGCTTTTAACCACAGAACATTCATTCCCACCCACAGAGAAAAAGGTGTTACGGGGCCAGGCGCAGTGCCTCACACCTGTAATTTCAGCACTTTGGAAGGCTGAGGCAGGCAGATCACTTGAGGCCAGGAGTTCGAGACCAGCCTGGGCAACATGGTGAGACCCCATCTCTACAAAAAAGTTTAAAAATTAGCTGAGTATGGTGGTGTGCACCTGTAGTCCTGGCTACTCGGGAGGCTGAGGTGGGAGGATCACCTGAGCCCGGGGGAGGTTGAGCCTGTCTCCCCCCCCCAAAAAAAAGTTACGATTTGATTTGAGGCACCAAAGGAGACATGGACCAAATAAGTCCTGGCTCCGTGGGGACAGTGACTTGACTTAGAAGTTGCAGTTCTCAGCTAAGCCAGGAGAGAGAGGCATGACCATGATCACCTAGGGTGCTATGCACAGAATAAACTTATTTTTCTTTTTCTCTCCTCTCAAGAATAGACTCTGGGCCAGGCGTGGTGGCTCATGCCTGTAATCCCAGCACTTTGGGAGGCCAAGGTGGGTGGATCACAAGGTCAGGATTTTGAGACCAGCTTGACCAACATGGTGAAACTCCGTCTCTACTAAAAATACAAAAAAATTAGCTGGGCATGGTAGCGTCCACCTGTAATCCCAGCTACTTAGGAATCTGAGGCAGGAGAATCACTTGAATCCAGGAGGCGGAGGTTGCAGTGAGCCGAGATTGCGCCACTACACTCCAGCCTGGGCAACAGAGCAGGACTCTGTCTCAAAAAAAGATTATCAGACTATTGGGGAACATGGGCAAACGATTAGCAGGTGCTTCTGATCCTCCCATTGGGAACATCTGCCCAAGAGGAACTCAGGCTGGGCACGGTGGCTCATGCCTGTAATCCCAGCGCTTTGGGAAGGGAGAGGGAAGATCACTTGAGGCCAGAAGTTTAAGACCAGCCCGGGCAACATAGCAAGACCCCATCTCTACCAAAATAAAAATAAAAAATCAGCCAGGCGGGTGGCATGGATCTGTAGTGCCAGCTACTCGGGAAGCTGATGTGGGAGGATCACCTGAGCCCAGGAGGTCGAGGCTGCACTGAGTCGTGATTGCATAATTTCACTCCATTCTGGGTGACAGAGTGAGACCTTGTCTCAAAAAACCGCAGAGCAGCCCTGCTGGCTTCACAAACACCTGTTTTCCAGGAGCACAGAGCTTTATTCTTTCTTAGCCGGTTGCAATAAACTTGCACATGATGACCTGCCAGCAGGCCCACCCCAGTAGTCTTTCCTTCCTGATTCATGCACAGTTTAACTATAGGGTATTTTGAACTTAACTGCTACAGTAAAAGCTTAAAGGAAATATTTCATCTCCATTAGTCTGTATTCATGTGGTAGGGCTAATTCCTGATTTTTTTCCTAGAAAAAACCATAACCATTTACTTGTTATGCCTAGCTTGCATTAGCACCACATCTGATCGTTTTTTCAAAGTATTTAGCCCATAAATTCACAGTTGATCTTCATAGAAATCCCTTATTTAGAGTGTTACGGCTTTCAGATGACCTGGAGGCCTAACCACAGGTGCAGCCTTGCCCATTGGTAAACAGGGCCACCTGAGAGAAGTGAAGGCTCAGGTGCCTGAGTGGGTGGCGCCAGCATTAACTGAACACTAGAGGCCTCTGCAGGTGTGTGGGGCAGGGGCTGCCTCTCCAGTCAAGAGACATGAGTTTGAATCCTCGGTCTACTGTTTCCTAGTTTTGTGACCCTTCGCTCACAGTTTGCTTACTGTCAAAAGAGTTACACCAGGGTTACACCAGTGAAGGGTCACCAAACGAGGCCCTGCTAGTTTAGTCTTACCACCTGGCCCTGCTACTCAGTAGCCGACTTTTGGGGTTCCTAGATGCCAAGTATCTGAAGATGACTGTGACACTCTCGGAGACTGGGCTAGTCAAGGAAAGCCGACACGGAAATGGTGATGTGATCAAGTACTGTGGCTGCATATTAGAAGCCACGGTTGAACAAATGATACAGGTATGGTATCTACTTTGTAATGTGATAAAAAGAGAAAAACTGTCTGCCTGCAAGGCCTGTTAAACGCAGAACATTCCTACCTCTGTTCTGTTTACCAGCGTTCCAGGCCTCGTCTGTCCTAACAGAATCGTGTTAGGAAGCAGGGGTCGCTTGGGCCTATTGGACCTGCTGGGGAATTCTGTTCTCTGTTGTCTCACCCCACCCCCCATTTTAAGGAAAAGGAGTATTCCATGAAAATTAAACACAAGAGAACTTACTCACTTTTGCATCTAAGAGTTAATTTCATTCTATGGAGGCACATTGAGGGGCATATTGAAACATGAAAGACTGGTAAATTTGACATTTTCAGATTGCCACCACAATTATTCTCTGTTGCTCATAATGCTTTATGGTAATAAGTAAACTCACAGTCACTGCATATAAGTGGGTAGAGCAGATATAAAGGACCAAATAAGATAGTAGCTTCATCAGATGTACAACAGTGTGGAACAGTGGCAAGGATGGTTGTATGCTTTTCTACAGGATTAACAAGCTTAGCATCACTCCTCCCAAGCAAAAATGCAAAATTCTGGCTCACATATCACACCAGAGGGGTCTTTGGAAGAAAGGGCTGTCACCTTGAGGTTCCCAAAACATGGCTTTTATATGAAGTGGGATTAAAATTTTGCAGGACGTCTCAGGTGCAGAGATACCCAAAGAGAGTGGAATGGTGTCTCAGAAACTTGAATTTCCTCATAGATCTTCTTTTTTTTTTAGACGGAATTTTTTAGACTTGTTGCCCAGTCTGGAATGCAATGGCATGATCTCGGCTCACGGCAACCTCTGCCTCCCAGGTTCAACCCATTCTCCTGTCTCAGCCTCCCAAGTAGCTGGGATTACAGGTGCCCACCACCATGCCTGGCTAATTTTTGTATTTTCAGTAGAGACAAGGTTTCACCATGCTGGCCAAGCTGGTCTCAAATACCTGACCTCAGGTGATCCACCCGCCTCAGCCTCCCAAAGTGCTGGGATTACAGGCGTGAGCCACCGTGCCCATCCAAATT